TTCCATATTTTAAGGACAACGTTACGGTCCGAGCTTTATTTTAGGGGTTAAATTTCATTTTACTCGTTGGGTTAGGTATTTACTATTTCGTTTTTCTGGGATGACAGCCACTCTAAATCTTATTCCAAAACCTAAATTTAAGAACTATACACCGAATTTCAAGGAAAATCCGGTCTGAAAGGTAACACGCATACACCAGCACACACTCGCAAAAAAAAAAAAAATTCGCGTTTTAGTATTAGTATTAGTAGTATTAGTAGGATTGTTGTTAATTTAAACGTGGCCAATAATCGCGTTTGAAATCTCTGGTATAGGAGTGGAGCCGCGAAATTGTTTTATAACCGAAATAATTCTAGAGATGGGTTTTTTTTTTCGGTTTCAGCAATTTCCGAAGCATCCAAGAATTAAGTGGATAATACAGGTTCCTATCTAATACCTCTAGGTATATATTTTATCTATCTACACTATCTTTTTTTCAAATATCTAGTTATAAAGTTGCCACTTTAAACTTTTTCGACGTGTTTACTGTCCTAAATAGCCTTCCCCGGTAAAACTTCTTCGGTCGTCCGTGTTCGGTATAGGTAGATGCAGTGTAAATTACACGACGGTATCTCAAAATGAAGATTTCATTATTACCGATCTAATTTAATTTCGTCCGGGCCGGCGGCAACGGGAAAGTTTCATTGTTTGTTGCGTATTTATGTATATTAATAGTGAATGGCGAACCGAATGTATATACGCGCGGTTGAAAACGAAATCGAGTATTACGCCCGAACCCATAGTACGCAATACGGAATATATACTTGGAGTATATCTAACGACTTTCGTACACTAAACGTCCGGCGCTCTGTAATAATAATATCTAAATTTGTTTCATAAAACGTTTAAAAAACTCGTGAATATATATATATATATTTTTAAATATGTATTTTGTCGACGGTTCGTTACGATCGCGGATAGTTGTATCGATAAGATCGTTGTGTGTTACGATACGCGAACGAAACTCATTACGTTTGTGACGTTAATATTCGGAAAAAAATAACATATATATATATATATATGTATACAAATATTTATCGTTGGGACGGTTGTTGTGTTAGACGTATACAGATAACGAATTTATTGCTATCCGAGTTAAATAAATAAAAAAAAAAAAAAGAAAAAGAAAAAAAAAAACTTTGTTAAGAATAATAAACGAGTAGTCNTGCTATCCGAGTTAAAAAAAAAAAAAAAAAAAAAAGAAAAAGAAAAAAAAAAACTTTGTTAAGAATAATAAACGAGTAGTCATTGTCGGCGCTGACACGTTTAGGATTTCGTTTTGCATTCAAAGCTTTGAATTTTAAAGTCGGTTTCTCCGTCGTCGCGACGACGACGTTGATAAATATACAAGATCATGCTATAGTGGCAAAGATGAAGTCACAACTCTAGACGTCAAAACAAAGTATCTGTTCTCATTAAAAATACGTCTTGATAACAATATAGCACCATAGACAATAATAAAAAAAAAAAAATTATATTTGGTTCATTCACAAGTCACGTGTTTTAGTAATAAGCAATTATACTCGTAAATTTTGACGTTCTAACAAACTCGATCCTTTGATATAACTTCTCGTGTTAGTAACGTCGCCAAGTTTTAAGAAATCTTCGTTTACGTACGGTCTGTGCGTGTGTTTGTTCTCTTTTAAAACTCTTTTTCAATTATTTTAAATGATCTGTTATTTTAGTGTTATACATTAAAAAAAGACTAGGATTTTTCGTCCGATAGTACTTTTTTTTAAAATTTTTTTTTTGAAATTCCCTAATACCTTTTATATTTACTGTTAATGCTTTTTCGTTTTGGCAAATGCTCCAACTTTTTCACGCAATATCTCAAAAGATTTGGAAATTCTTGCCGATGTTAGTTTATTTGAAACATTTATCGACACTTTCAACAGTTTACCCTCTAAGTTTTTTTTCTTTTTGGTGGGGGGCATATAGGATTTTTTCAGAAACTTTGTTCGAATTAGTAAGAATGATCCAAATTATCCGTAGGTACCTACTTTAACTTAAAAAACGCAGATTTTATATTTTATTCGAAAAAAATGTCTTGATTCCTAACAGTTTTTTAATTAAGTTTGCGGGAATAATACTACTAACACCATTCCACCGATAATAGTTTTTTCGTTTGTAATAATTTATAGTTGCGTACAGTGTACATTAACTAAAGTTAAGTTGTTAAATTATTCTGTATATATCATAAATTTTTAACTGTCCATCTATAACAGCGGTCTACCGGTGAATTACGGTGTCAACATTTTTTTTTTTTTTTTTAAGTAAAAATAATTACACAAAATTTAACGGGGGCCGGGGAAAAAAAAAGAACTATATTGTGTGTGTGTGTGTGTGTGTGTGTCTTTATTGAAATTTATCGTGACAATGCGTTGTTATAGTATAGCTGAACATCTGGTATATAAACGTACAAAAGTCAATTATACGCTCACTTGTTTGTTATAATGTCTATAGTAATAATTATTTTACCGCGTGTAAAATTTTATTAAACAAGCGTGTCGTCCGTAGGTTAGACAAATAATAATTGCGCGTGTTATTATTATAATGTTTTCCGCATTGTCGGTGACGGTTTTTTTTTTTTGTTTTTTCTTTCTTTTAATCTTTATCATCTCGTATACGCAATATACATCCGCACGCGTGGAATATTTATACATATATAGAGCATCTCCGGTGCCAAGTCATTTACATCGGAAACGTTAGAGCTCGCCGCGAGAGTTTCTCCGCACATTTAATAGATATATTTATACGCGCGCGCACACACACGCGCGCACACATATATATATATATATATATATATAACCTCCTTGGCATCCGTACAATCGGCGCTTTTTATCCCCCTCCCCTCCGACCGCCGTTCTCCCGTCCTCGTAATATTATACGACGCCCGTTCCCGTCGTTTTTATGTTCCCGCGTATGGCTCGGGAACGGGGCGCACTGTACGGTCTGCACATACGCGGTATACAGAAAGCGCAACGCGCACACACATTGGCCGAATTTAATCAAAATACTAACCCTGGGGGTCGCGTCACTCGGATATATTCTGTTACGCGCCATATATATATATATATATATATATAAATACATATATACATATCCACATATACATATACGACTCGTGTATATATATATACTCGTATGAATCGGCATTCGCAGAGCCAAGCCGAGTATTATGTATAGGGACGCCGTTTTCCGGACGTCCGGACGGGAAGTTTTATCGCCCCGTCGTTCGGCCAAAGGACGCCGCACACAGTCGCCGTCGTCGTCGTCGTCGCCGTTGTCGCCGCGGTCGCCGTGCCGGTGAACAGTACATAATAGCGGGCGCGCCCCCCCCTCCCCCCCGGTACGTAACCGTCGTTTGCGGCGCTCGAACCCGTAATCCGTGTAGCGGTTCTTCGCTAAGTAGGCTTAGTTTTCCGCGGGGGCAATGGAAACTCAATTACCCGGCTGGGGCGCGTACGTTACCGAAGTAGCGGCCCGGTCCGTATCAACGCCGGCGGTAAATCACGGTTGTGCGTATACTTGCGCTTTTTCGTTTTTTTTTTCCTGAAGTGAAACTTTTTACGGTAGGGTCCGCACGGAAAATTGAACGTGCCGCCCCATACCCGCCGCCGTCACGCGTTACCGCCACGTGTCGCGGGGCCGCGGCCCGTCGCCCGTACGACCGCCGCGTGAGCCCGCGTTTCGCCCGGGCGACTCGGATTACCCGGCGCCTCGCGGGTTCAAACATTAACGTTAGTGTCGAATTCGGATTCGACGATTTCAAATACACACGAATCGACGTGTCGAATTGGAGACGGGCCGTTGTCCTAATTCGAAAAAGGGCCTTCCCGACCTCTCAAAAAGAGATTTATATACATTAAAATAAATACCGACTTTGGATTCGACGATGTACAAAACGTATATTTTTACATACGAAACGACGATTTCGTACAAGATTTGAGTAATATTGATTTTGACAGGTTTTTTTTTTTTTTTTTTTTTTTTTTACGAAATTAGTCTCTTACAACGCCTATTCGATAACAAGAAAAATAATTTCCAGGTACGAGTTGTACGTCTTTCTGGAAATTTTGTCAATTGACCACGCGGAACCGGAGTCGTCCGCGCGATTCGTCCCTAAATGATATTTTTACTATATTTATAATACGCGCTCGAGGGAAATTGAAATTAAAAACTATTCACAAGCGTGGTGTCGTAAATAAGTTATTTAACTGTTATCGGGTACCGTGATCGCATTTGGCCGCGATACGTTTATGCGACGGACTGGTAGACATGGAGCTTAGACGGATTGAGCGTCGTCGACAAAAAACCTACGGGCTATAAAAAAAGGTTTAGAGTGGACGCGAAAAATCGTCACCGGATATCCGCGCTGTGTGTGCGGAAAAGAAAGAAAAAGAAAAGAGAAACGGTTACGATTTTATCCTTTTTCTTCGGTCGGAAAACTTTGAAACGAATAGGGGACATTCGAATGGGTGTCGAAAATCGTCTTACTTTACGCACGAATAATCCGAGCCTTGTTCCCGGTGATTTTCGCGTGCGGTTAAGATATTTGACGAACTGCGATTTGTAACACAATATACACGTTGCATTTTACAAATCTTCTGTTCCCCATTAAAAAAAAAACCGATAAACTTTCTTTCGAAACATAATCCGCGTACGCGTATTGGAAAACTGTGAGCAAATATTTTCGGGACATAGTAGTTACGGAAAATTCCGCGGTTTAGTCATGAATCGTGTTTAATATTTTATTCTATTTTTTTTTGTTTATTTTAATATTCATGTTTTGTGTTTGTATTCATTTTAAATTATCCAGATGATGATTAGATATAATCACTAGAATAATTACCCGAACGAATAAAAAAAAAAGATATAATAACAATTTAAATACCCAGTTAAAGATAAACAATCAACAACTCTATTCGCTAAAAATATTAAAAGTGTACCGGATTCGGTACATGGATATCGGAAAGGTCGCGGCGGTCGATTTAATAATTACTCGTACCGTATTAATATAAATTGAATATTTTACCCATTGTTTCGAATAAATTCGTGAAATACGGATTTAAAAAAAAAAAAAAAAAAGCAAAAAAGATTTACTATTAGAAACGATTATGTCTTTCGAATAATGGTTCGGATAACTTGTTTTTCATTTATCTGCGGACAATGTTAAAAAAATTCTGCTACACCCATCTAGGTAAAACCCCGTCGCTTATTCCGCACGGTTAATAAGTTTCGTGTTATACTGACTCGGTTAAATTAAAAAAAAAAAAAAAAAACCCGTATTAAATCGCGCGCAAAGTATTACATTATTATTATTATTATTATTGTTATTGTTATTGTTATTGTAATAACGGGTTCGCGGTCGCGTGGTGTAAAATTTTTAATAATATTTCGGAATATCGTTACCGTGTTCGTGCGCTGCGTACCGTGCGGCGTTTACACCGCCGAAGTATTTGAAATAGTTTGCGTCCCGGATAGCCTACACTCGCGGATTTTCCACCCCGTCCCGTCCGTCGCGGTAAATTTCCGGAAATCCGCGCGGTTTTTCGGTTCCCCGGACAAAGAGCCGCGGCGGGCGGGCGGGCGGGCGGGCGCCGGGGCCCCCGAGTCGGTCGAACCGGCCGTTTTCGGTTCCCGCCCGCGTCGTATCGAATGCGCGCGACGATTGCCGTTGCAGACCGTTCGGCGACGATCACCGTAACACGCGGCATGTTATATTATCGTTATGTCGCCGAACATGTGCACACACACACACACACACACACACACACACACACACACACACGAGCGCGGTGTTCCCGACGGCGTACGGCGCGCGCGCGCGCTTGTGTAAGGGCGGCGGCGGCGGCGGCGTCGTCGTCGTCGTCTGTCAGAACGACGTCCGTCCCGCGCCCGTCGCCGTTTCCGCGACGCGCGTCCGTCGTCGTCTTTGGGACGCGGTAACGTTTGACAAACGGTTCCCGGTACGCGCCAAGCCAACCCCACCCCCCATCCACCTTCCTCCTCCACTCGCCCGCGTTTTCGGCGCGCCAACTCGGCCGCGCGTGTTCCTCCGACCGACGCGGAAATATCGCCGCGGGCGTTCATCGACGAACGCGGCGTTCCGGTTATGCAATTTCGCTACGCGGTCCGTTCGTCCGGATAGAATAACGCGAAAACCGTAGTACGCCCCGGGAAAACGCGTAACGGATATATTATCGTCGTCGTTATTATTATGCCGCAGCCGCAGCCGTTTTTGTTGTTGTTGTTGTTGTTGTTGTTATGTTGCAATAACATTATCGCGCGCGCGTGCACACGAAATATACAGTACGGGCGGTATTGTAGTGCACCTGTAATAACGGCAACAACAATAGTAATAACAATACGAGATCAGATTGATACGATGTTATACGTGCGCGACGCAACAAAACACGCTGCGCGCTGTTGTGATGCTGCGCGACCGTAAAGGTAAATTCGAAATATAATAACGTCTAGATAGCCGCCGGAATAATATTATCCGCGGCGAAAACAAGAGACGCGCGGCGATCGAATGTCACGCGGCGATATCCGGATAAATAATAACCGGCGTGACTTTTTACCCGGACAAACAAAACCGAAACAAAGTTTATTGTGTTCGCGTGAATTGCCGCGACGGTTAAACGCCGAAGTCAGACAGTCGACGTGCACCGGACATGGTACGCGCGAAGCTCGCGCGACTGATTCCCATTCGATCGCTATTTCACCGTCAGACCGCGTTAATATTGTTTACATATATTTTTTTTTTTTTTGTTATCTATATAATTTCTACTAAATCGATAAACGGAAAATTTCGTTTGCGTATTCGTCCAGAAAATTCAGTTGTATTCGTCTCGGATCAGTTGTAATTTATTTCGCATTTACCTACGGGACGAACGATACGTACGGAGATAATTCGTCCAAATAAAACGCAACACTCGACACACACGGCGGCGCCGAAGTAGTAGCAATTTAGTCGGGCGAAATAAAATGTATAGAGGCCTCGACTTAAATAGACGCGAAAAGATTTAGAACTAAATTCAGATACGAACTTATTTTGTAGTTAAAGCAGGTGTTTTTTTCCTAATGAAGTATTCATTAGGTTTTACAATCAGACTACGGTCCAAAATAAAACGACTCTGTGCTTAATTTTCAAAAGAAGTTGGACCGTGGCATGTCTTCAATAAGGGTTTCGGCGCCACTGCATACACACATATTTAATGCATATCGCGCACGGTAGAGGTCTGAAAATTTACATTTATATAAAAGCAAACGTACGGGGGCCCACGTGCACCACGAAACCGAATTCACGAAATTCAATCCGTAAAGGGTTTACGTGGAATTTTCGGTACGCAAATTGGTTTTTTTTTTTAAAAAAAAAAAAAAAAACACAGTAATTATTAGTATTGTTATTTCGGTTGTCGCGGGTAAGGAAGGTCACGAGGGAGTTAAAAAAAAAAAAAAAAAAAAAAAATCAATTAGCCGGCATTAACTAGTGCGATGGAAAAGCGATTTTGTATTTTGTTTTTTCCCCCCCAATACCGTGGACCGGTATAACCGTGCGCGACGACTTTAACGTGATAATAATGATAAAAATACGAGATTAGCCTATACGTATACGTATTATCTACACACGCGTACACGCACGCACGCACGCACACACACACACACAATATAATTGTATTAGGCATCTACGCGGTCCTACGTGCGTCCCCGCCGACGACGTTGGTTTCGCGTCGGGGGTGGTAGATGGCGGCGGCGGTACGGCGTGTATCACACACCGGCGTATACCCGTACGGGTACACTTTCACCCGGTATAATAATAATATAAGATTGTGTTATTAGTTCGGTCCTTGCGTGCGTGACCCGATTCCGTCGCGGGGACTCGTGCCGTCGTTCGCCGTCACGGCACGGGGCCCTCGATTCGCGCACGCGCCACACGTCCCGCAGGTTTCGCGTGTAAAACGCGGCGTTATTTATTTTATTTCTCCCCCACCCCACCGCTCCCGCGTTAAAAGTGCCGCGCGGAGAAACGGAAGAATCTAACGGCGGAACGTACTAAATACAACAATAATACGAGTTCATCGCGGGTCAACCGCGCCCGCGTTCCCCGGGAACGCGTGTTTTTTTAAATTTTTATTCGGCGTAAACCCGAGCGAGTCGCTCGATTTTTGGTAAACGACGGCGGGCGCGCACAAGTATACGCTAGTCGCCCGCAGAAAAAAGTCACCGTATGGTGTAGCAGTCGTACGCGGAGAAAACAATAGAAATGCACGAACGGAGTGCGCGTTCGATAACTGCCGGATAAACGGTTCGCCGTTTCGCGGATTGCCGACGGTATCGCCAACGAACGGCGATAACGTTATGGCGATAGTGAAACAAAAAAATCCACCGCGTAAAAGAGCAACAGCCTCGCGATATCGTAGCGTCGCGACGGCGACATGGCGCCGCCGCCGGACGCGCGAGCCGCTGCGCGTTAAACGATACGCGCCGGACGGGCGTCACGTTATCGTCCGTCGTCGCGGCGTCTCGCCCGGCCGGATCGCCCGCGCGCGTGTCCGCGGAAAGCGACCAGCGCGCACAGCGTTCTCGCGCGGCGCCGCCCGAGACGTCCGAACGGGGCCGCGTCTCGTCCGAACGGGGCCGCGTCTCGTCCGAACGGGGCTGCGTCTCGTCAGCACGCGGCGCGCGTCGTCGTGCCGGCGCCGGGCGACGGGACGGACACTGCGTAACGCGTTTGTGTTTGTGCGTTGTGTTCGAGCGTGCGCGCGCGCACAGAGACCGCGTACGGCGGACGGTACCCACCGGTTCCGGCGGGCAACCGCACCCGCGGGCGACGCGGCGGCGCCGTTGTTCGCGCGGCCGTCGGCAACGGCGCAATCCGAAGTCGTGCGGTTTTTTCACTTTCGGTGGCCGGCCGGGGGGTGGGGAGGGGGAGGCACGCGTCACCGTACCGCGCAACGCACCGAGCGCCCACGCGACAACGATAACCGACCGAATTCGCTGGTAAACGTTTCGGACGCGAATACTGCGAATATCGCGTTCAAAAGAGTGTACGAATTATGGACGTGGCAACGTTTGTAGCGCGGCTTTTTTCGCCTCCGACTTGCAAATGTCTCTCTCTCTCTCTCTCTTTCTCTTTCTCTCTCTGTATACATATATGTATAGAAATACAACTCAACGATGTAAACTATTGGTTACGATCGGCCACGGGTATTATTTAAAAACACACGGGTCGACGTGTATTTACCGGTACACGTACGTTTTACAATGCCAGCGATCTCGGCATTGACCATCGCGCAATCACGTCCAGCGGCGTAAAATATTAATATTTTCGATTTAAAATAACATAATTTTTTTTTTTTTATATATTTATTATAAAATCATATGTTGAGTATACGCAGTTAAAGTTACATCGGAGATAAGGTTTTTTTTTTTTTTTTTTAAAACTGAATATTGGAATTATAAAAAGTACATGACTATTATTAAGTACAAGTGAAATCGTAACCTCTTGTCCAAACCTATTTACAACCCCGTCTTTATCCAATGATTCGAATGGAAGTAATAATGTACCGTCAAATTAAAACGTCACCGGCCAGCTGTTGAAATTTAATGCCCGCCGCTACCCATCGAGTTTGGTGAAATCCTCAAGAATCCTTTGTAAATATCTCTAGTCTAGATCCTCGGAAAAATGCGTTTAAAAATCTGAAAGTTTTATACATTCATGTGTTCTGTGTTATGCCGATTGCCGAATACTTCGGCGGCCCTGGAATTTTCGAAAAACTTTTACATTTTTAAGAGTATGCGAACATTTTTAAATTTTGCTTCGTATAAACTAACATTTTTTTTGTTTTCGTTATTGTTTCAGTGTCCGAACACAGCAGGATATTCTCCGGTAACAATACTCACACGGACTACTTTAAGACATTGCTCCGGGACGGCAATAACATTTTGATCGGAGCCAGGTAAATATAATATTTTATCACGTTCATAAAACGTAGGTATGTTAATATCCATACTATGTGAGTTAAGTTTGGGACACTGATTTATCGAATCGGTCGCCGTCGTAATACATATTTAGTACTCATTTCATCCGCCAATTCTATAGAGTATAGATGCTACTACATCACGGATTTGTAAAATCGTGTTGGACGACCGCAATAAGGTTCATGGTTCCCGCGGAGGTACCCCGTTAAAGAGTATATATAGCGTATACTTTTTGTACAAAGCAGTGGTGAAACGTTCAACAATACTGTGACCGAATTATAATTGAAAATAAACATTTTTTTTTTTTTTTATTATTCGACTTGTGTTAAAATAAAATACATAGGTAAATATACTGTTATAATGTTCCGTATAGCGGAAAATATAATAAAATTACTATATTAACAAAGATTATAAAATTTAAAGAGGCGAACATCCAGCTAAATATTAAAACAAACGTATAAAATAAAAGACTATCGCAACGAATTGTAACCCGTATCGCCTTCGTAAACAGTTTTAAAATACAGTCTTACCTCCTAAATAATAATCTTTAAATTTCGTAAATTTGAATTCATATTGTAAATATAAAACGAATCGAAATTTCACTCTCGTATTGTATTATATTCCTCGTGGCGGTTTTAACATAATGTAATTTATCATTAAGTAAGTTTAAAGTTCGTGTGCAATTACTGCATTAGTTGTTATTACGAAGTTTTCCAATACTAACGCAGGAAACCGAAACATCCAATGTGTAAAACGTTATTATAATCCGTCTAATCGGTTACTCACCGGATTTAGTAATATTGTCTATTCTATAATATTCGTAACGTATTGTCAATATGTGTGTCATCTTAATAGTGTCAATATATTATTGCAGATTTGATATTTTCGTTTGAGTTTTAATAATAATATAAGCATGGTACGTTTTATAGAAAATCCTCTCGCGAAAAATTCAACGACCAGAGAATAGGTAATATTCGTTCATTGTATAATTTTTACTTACTATCAAAATTGGTAATTTAATCGATTAATTGACCATTTTTTTTTTCTTTCAATAAATAAATTTACTTTACAGACCTATACAGGTTATAGATTATCTTTATATTATTATATGTATAGTTACGTTAGGTATTAGGTAGGTATTAGGATTTTGATGCATATTCGTATTCGTTAAAAATATCATTACTATACGAATTTACGTTTCAATTTATTTATATGCCAAATGACTGTATTTCATATCTCACTTGGCAAATTGAAGAAAAAAAACCGTACTCGTATTTCGAAATTGCTTCTAGTGGTATAAACATTTATAGTGGCAATATATTATAAACACGCAGTATTCTTTGTTCGTTTTACTGCGGTATACACGTATATGTATGATGCTAACTCGCCGTGCTTGACTTCAAAAGTAGAAAACTTCCGAAAGCCTTTTCATTGGATCACTCTCTATAGTCGTCTATTTCGCTTCGACTTTAATCCGTTTGCAATTGAACCACTCGTTTTGTATTTTTCGTGCACGGGACTTTCCCCACTCCACTCCCGAATACATTTCGTGTTTGTTTTTTCGTCATTTCATATTATTCTTTTCGTATATAGGTAATTTTCTTTCGGCTTTCGTGTACATAAAACCAGAAATACCTCTATGGTTATGATCTTGCCGATATACTCGAAACGGAGGAAATAATATACGCCTCGAGGCATGACTGTCATTTGCAATGTCTTCTAAACCTGGCCATTGTGAGTCTCGTAAGGGGATTAAAAACTACATTTGCTCCGTTGCTGCTTTTCTACGTAGTACAATGTTTGCGGTGTATATTTGTTCTTACTTCTCACTTATATTATCATAACATCTAACTAATCGACAATTTTTCGGCTAATTATGAACACATTTCTTTCTCTCTCTCTCTCTCTCTCTCTCTCTCTCTCTCTTTCTCTCTATTCCTCTCTCTCTCCGCGGCCAACTAATTTCGTGTTTACAATACGAACACCCTCAAGAGGTTTAAGGCAAAAACCAAAAGTCAAGCCTTAATGTTGATCGATACCAAAATAACCTTCGAATCTAATTTCAAAGCGCAAAATGTTGCGCTGGTCGCACTTTGTCAACAATAAATAGAAATAACTGATTAAAAAGTGATAACAACTGCCTCTTTAAGCGGCCAGCGGCCTCGTCGGTAACTCAGTGGCCCGACCTTATTTTCTTAGACTTTATTGTTACAATTCATTATTACGTGTACTTGGCGTATTTTTAAATTGACAGATTATATATGGAGCAGACAGACGAGTGTTATAAATTAATCTTTAAATTTCGAAAAAACAAATAATAATAATAAATTATAAGTAGGTATCTAAAATTAAACGTTAATTAATAAAATAATTACAGTTTTCGTAAAAATAACGACACGCCGTTTTCATAGTTTTTAAATGTTATCCTATAATGTTATATTTTTGTATTTTCTACGGCATTTATTTATTTGTATTTGCAACAAATATTGATTCTGGCGTATCTATTAAAATATTTAATAGGTTTTTTTTTTTTTAAAGCTGTTAAACTATAAAGGTTAGTTGGTATATAAATATATTATGTACGCATAATAGCGAATAAACCGAAAACCGTCTCTGTAAAAATATTTTCGTAGAATATTTAAATATTAATAAGCTACTTAAACATTTAAAATAAATTTCGAGTTTATCCTATCGCACGAACTCGGTATTTATTTTTGAACCCCTTATTCGTATATTATAACAATATTAAAATGGCTTTTATATATTATTATTATTATTATTACTTTATAATACGATATGCTTTATATATATTCTTTAAAAGTTATACTTTCGTCCGTTTTATTTGTTTTTATTTTTGTTAGGTACCTTTTGTTGAGGAAAAAACTTTATTCGAGTAATACTTCTTTAAAATAGTTTTCCGCTACCAGCTATATATTATTATACATTATAATAATGCTAATACCATACTATTAGTTACAAATAAAACAAGTATAATAATATCAGCCGTGAAGTAAATATTACATTAATTTTTTTTTTACAATATACGAAATGGATACACCTGTAAGTTTAAACTTTTTTTTTTGTGAATATAATAATATTAAATAATCTCTATTAGATTGGACCAGGTTAGGTTATTAGATATTACCAGTCATTTTTTTTTTAAATTATATTTACCTTGTTTTTATTTTTGTAAATGTTATGTCTAATTACATGTCTAATAAGATTAATAGCCTAATATTTATAAATATTTATTTTTTATTATCACGATACTTTTTTTTAACGTCATGCATTCATTCTGTCATGTTAATTTGTTTTCCATTATAATTCTACCTTTTTGATTTTGAGTAGGTAAGTATGTCTGTTTTGTTTTTCTCTCGGAAAATTCCTCTTTTGGTAATTGAGTTATTCCGATTTTTCACGTCATAATGATGGAATTTCCGTCTAGTGGTAGTTTACAAAAAACAGTTTTATCGATTTCCAAATAAATTTAAAAAACGAGACTACCAACGACGATACATTTGTATTTTATCTATTTCGATTCTCGGGTTATGGCTACGAAAGGGGAAAAATGTCTAGTTCTATAGATACTATTTACAGTTTACTGAGCTCCGATTTGAATCGGTTTTTGATTGCAATGGATCATCAGTATATATAGTTAATATTTTTATAAAATCTAAGTAAATTTTTTTTGTTTATACCATTCCATCCATACAAATTGCATACTCCAGGGGCGAAACAAATGAAGTCGATTTTTTAATACTTAGGGGTTGGTGTATGGTTAATACGAAAACGACTAAATATTAGTACTGCCTAACTACTAATTTAGTTAGAATATGTGAACATATCGGGAAACGTTGGTACTGGCTAGATTGTAGCAGGTTTCGTGCAGGGTTAGTTTTGGTGCGTTTCCCTATCGACCTACCCGCGGTACGAATTTAAAGGCCGTTGTCCGGTTTTTTCTATCGATCCACGGATATCGGTTTTATTATACACGCCTAATATAGTGAATATTATTATATCTACACGTTATTAAAGATTAAATTCACCTCGGCCGTTTTCATATATATATATATTCGGAATAGGTATGCCGTTATAGGGTCCGGCTATCCCGTAGAGGAATTCGAAGTATACGCGTATATGTACAGTAAATTAAAATTATTATATTTCAAAATGGCCGTGTATTTGTATTATTATTAATTTGAATACCACGCGTTTATACCCGTGTCTCGTATAATATATACTCGTATATTATGCCGCATAGTGTCTGGCGCGATAATAATTTATAGTTTTCCTTATAATATATTATAATAACCAACGTTTTTATCCGTTGAAAAAAAAAAATGTCTGTACCGTGATCGCGAACGCGGGGAAGCCAAATAATTTTATCAAAACGGATTGCTCGTACGTCTCGGAATATCGTTCGTCTATCGGTTATAATTTATTGATAATATTTGTTTGTAAATTCGAATAGATTTCGATCATTAATTATATTACACGCTCAACGTTTAATAATTTATCAAAATCGACAGCATCACTTCCGAAACAACCTTTCTCTTCGCGTGCAGTGTTTATAACTTTGCAGATATCAAATTTTATTTTCCCGTAGACATTTATTATAGTTATAACTTTAAATTTCTAAATGAGAAACGACTATCGCGCATAGTTTTACACTTTCAACGTTTACTGATCAACTGACTTTCGATTTTTTATTTTTCTCTACGATATTGTTTTCTAAATAGTTATTTTCTATTTATTATGAAATATTATTCAAGTTTGATAAATTAGTTTAAGGTTTCGAGCGCAGTGAAAAATGTATTGTTTTGCTATGACTTATTTTTTTTTTTTTCTAACGAATTTTTTCCAGAAATACTGATCCGATTCTTAAGTGTAGCATTTTTTCTGAAAGCAAATTTTATCATTTTTTCGATGTTTTTTATGACTTAATAATATCGGGAAAAACTGGAAGAACATGTAGAAAAAATAAGACAATTTACGACAGTGATGGCTTCGTTATTTTTGTTATGATTTGGTTCAAAAATAATCGTAGAGATTTGAGTTCCAATTTTGTCGAACATCGTAAAAATCACAGAGTTTTAGAAAAAATTTTAACTGAACTATACTCAGAAACGTATTTCATTGGCAATTATTTATTTTATCTATGAGGGTATCAGCTCTTTTTTATTAAAAGAGATAATTGTTATAATGCCCGATAAAATAGACTTTTTATTCGTTGTATAAATCATAATATGTTTTGAAGGCTTTCCGCATGGTTTGGGAGCTGATCATTAATTGTTTGAAGGTCACGCGTTCCATTAGATATTATAATAATACAGTAATAAAATTGATCGAATTTCGTATAACAATAATAATAATAATACAAAATAATGATTGGAAAATTAATTTTTGAACGTATTATCATAATAATATGACCTTTTGGAAAAAAAAAAAAACAATTTTCGAACACATGACCTTTTCATAATACATCTTTTCAAAAATAGAATATTGGTACTATTGTAATTCTCGACCGTCAAACAGACGTTCAGAACCTATAATTTCTATAAAATGTCTTTCTTATATTAAGTATTTCGTATCAATTAGCCTACATTGATTTTAGTAGATTTCCGCCCGTTTAAATATTTTATTTAACCACACTATTTGAACGACCTTAATATTTGATGCCATTCGAATGTGTATGCGTATGTGTTTGTGTTTATATACTGTTTTTGTTCAAATCCCTGCACCGAGTGTGCTATTTTGTAAGTATTGTTATTTTGAATTTCGTTATTAAGAGGGCGTGATATCCGCACGCGTCGTCTCCGTCATACAAACATACACGGCATGTCATATTTGCGTTCAGTAGTGATAACATTGTGTTATTAGTTTTAACGTTAAAGTGATTTGACTTTTATTAAATTTAATTATATAAACATTATCCGGGCAACGTCAGCGCTATTTTATCGATATTTAAATTGTAGAATTTGAGCGTAGCGAGAAATGTATTGGTATTACAATGGTGTTAATTGTTTTTTTCTGTGAACAATTTTTCTACTAGATATGTTGCTCCGATTTTCAATTATTGTATATTTTCCGAAGGGAAATTTGAATACAGTGTTAAATCTTAAAGAGGTCGTTTTTTTTTTTTTTTTTTGGATTTTCCCAGCTATTTTTATAATAAATAGCAAAAACTGGGGGGGGGGGGAAATAGGAAAATCGGAAAAATAGCTTCGATATAATTAATTATCGCTAAAGAAAATACATAAATATTAATCTATGTAAAATGATTTTACCACAATATGACACATATATTGTTAACAAAGCAATACTATTTACCGAACTCCACTCAAAATCGTTTTTCGTTAGCAATGGTTAATCGTTGCGTACAGATATTTGTTAAACTTCCCCTCTACCATCCCAAATTCTCACCTACAATAGTGTACCATCCATCATGCAAATTATGTCCGTCTCTTTTTAAGTGTTACGAATATGTAAAACATTACAATTTAGTAATGCTTCGCTTGTCTTGTACGTTTATGAGACACGTGCGGGTATAGTTTTTGTCGATTTATCTGTGGTAGCTCTAGCGTTTAATCAAATGTGGAACTTTGTGTTTTAGCGCTCGAGTCATTTCGCTGGACTTTTTTATTATTATTTTTTTTATGAAAGTGTAATTATTATTATTTTATTTTTTTGTTTTTTTTTTTTTTTTTACTATAGGTACCATATATACCATATACAATTTTTAATTATAAGTAGACACTATACTCTGATTTACATTTTATAATGCACTACGGTTCGTATATATATATATATATATATACACTGTAGATAACGATGCAATAATATTTGAAGTAAGAGACTGCATTGTGAATAATTATTATAATTCGCGTAGACGAGGTTTTTACCGTTTGCGCGAATTATTCATGAAATCTCGGAATTTGTACCTAAAAACTTTTTTCCCCTAATGGTCTTACACACACACACACAACACACACACACACTTACACACACCGAACAGGCAGCGAAACCATCTCGGGATGGATGTACACCGTTTGGAATTCACAGCGTACCCGAATAATCCTGCAGGCAAATAATCGCCGTCACTATATCTGCGTTAAATGTGACAACGCGTTTTGGTCGATTTCCGATCTCTGCGGCGCCAACGGCTTACATTATGTTGCGGCAAGTTATTATATAGCCTTCGCTTTCGGGGGCCCCGTCAATGTATAAATAGGATCATCGAAATCCTTTGCAATCTACAGAATTGGCCGTTTTATTGTACGATGATACATGTCCGCGAAACGTTGAAACCCAGAACACGTACGCCCGGGGGGCCGACGGGCCGACGGACACATCGGCAAAGGAGATGAGTTTCTTTGGTAATTGGCTCCTTCCATCTCCGGGGGTCTCGTACCTCCTCTCGTCGGATTTATATATATATATATATAACTCAATATCTCCGGGAACTATTAACTGTCCGCAAAAGGCCACGTGGACGGCGTTACTAATTGCGCGGCCTGTATAGCCACCCGCACTACTGTGGTCACGTCACACCCGAAAGTGCGGGAACTACTAATGCATTTCGAAATGTCGAGATCAAAAGATTAAACTAACAGTTCCAATAAAACGTAGGTATTAAGTTTACCGAAAATATTATAAAATATTGTGAAGTTCCATTAAAGGAGCCTCCAGCTAGCCGGCGCAAAAAGAAAATCTGAAAATAATATTTCCCCCCTATAATAATAGAGTGTATTATAAGTGTATGTATAGGTGCTCTCTGGAAAAATATTTCGTTATATATTTATGTAGCGGTACATTTTTATGTTTTATTTTGCTGCTCATTTTTTTTTTCTTTTGCGAATCTACGTCGTTGAGAGAACTTTAAATGAATAATAATATGATCTTATGAAAAAACAATTATATTTGGTCCGTCGTATTGCAATGTTCAGAGGTCGTTTCATGACGTCTTTAAGGAGTTTCGTATAGGCAATTCTCTTGTTAATTTTTTAACAAAAACGCATAAACTCAAAAAATATTTAAAATCATTTTCTAATTCATTTATAAGTTGACCCGTGTCATTATCATAAGTATTAACCGTGTAATCGCGAAATAATCTAATACGTTCGCGGAGAAACTGTTTTGCACGGAAAAAATCTACTTGCGTTAAAGACTTAACTTAGATATCGAATTTTATCTATACAAAAAATGAGAACTAGCATCGCGCAACGTTGAGATTAGTTTTTTAATTTTTTTTCTATGAAAATAATTATTGAAGTTTCAATAACCTATGATCATTCGATTTTAGAGCAATTTGTTGGTATTAGTAATATCGCAAAAATAAAAACAAACAATTCTCCTTTTTATTCGACAACGCTTTATTTGTGGGATATTTGTTTTACTGTTTCTTCTGAAGGTTTCAAAAATTGTTATTATTATACGCTTTGTGTATAGGTATACAGATTAATTGTATACCTGGCCCAGTATAATCTATTATATTTATTTATTATTTTTTTTTTTTTTTTTTTTGTAAGTATTATTTACAAATTAAATGTTTTATCCGTTTCAGAATTTATATTTCTGGACATTTGAAGAGCGATTTTTCAACTATATTTATTTATTTACTTTTTTTTTTTAACATTCCGTATAAATAATTATAATCCAGTTTTATAGTACGATCGCCATAATGTATATCTACCTGTACAAAATTGTGTGTTGTTTATGCATGTCTTAACAGTGTAATAAAGTTTTTTTTTAGGTAAATAATAATGTGTAATATTATTTTTTTTTTATTGCTAAGCCAATGTGTTTTATTCAGTTGATTAATTTTATGTAAAGTTAATTATGCAAATAAGTTATGTTTTGTTTTTTATGTAATAGGTTGACATAGTTTTTTTTTGTTTTTACATCCATAGTATTTTTACTATACAGACTTATTAATTTTAAAATGATATATGCATTATCGAATGCTAATTAAAATCATGAGAGCTTGCGATTGATTCAAATCATTAAAAATAGTAATAATAATAAATTAATGTAATGCATTTTTAATAATTGAAATTCCGAAAAATGTTCAGAAAAAACTGTACAGTTTCCGAGATTTGTATTTCAAAATGGCATATTTTGAAAAAAAATAAATGGCTTTTTTGGGAAATCTATAGTTATAGAAAATTGAAAACAAAATATTACATACAGCATCTACACCTTTTTCTTTTACATTTAATAATCATTTGATTGTTTCTAATATTTCTATTACTTTTGATAATTCTTCGGTAAAAAAAAAAAAAAAAATCTTAAATTGTTATAGGTATTTTAATGTACAAATATAAGCAACGATAAACCGTTGCTAACGAAAAACCGATTTTGAGCACAGTTCAGTTGATAGTGATGCTTTGTCATCAATATATATGCCATTATGGTAAACAAATTAAATAGGCATTATATATTTTCTTATATACATTTCCTGGAAAAACCCTTGGCAAATTCGAAAAATGATCTCTTTAAAGTACCTCCTCAGTCTGATTTTCTTTATAAAAAGTGCTATTATTGTAATCGGAGCAAAATTGCTTGTAGAATTCTTGTACACAGAAAAAATAAAAATAATAATAACAATAATAAACATCTTACTCAGAAACTAAAAATGTGATTCTCTGGAAATGTTAACTTTCATCAAAAATTTCCAGTTTTTTCGATTTTTTGGTAATTTTTAATTATTATTTTAATTCATCATATATGAGCACTATACTAGACAAACAAACAGCGGGAATTTCAAGTTTAATGGTGGCATAAGTATGTTCTGTCATATATGTAGTGTCTTATAGTGGGTGATGGGTGATATACTAAAAGCTATTTAAATTGTTAACGGTTTCGTTTGTGATTTTTCATTTTAATTTTTTTGTAATAGTCGCTGGCCATTTTATCCATAATAATGTAATATAATGTAATACTGTTATCGTTTAATATCAGTTTTTATGCCTCGACATTCTATCAGAATTTACAAGACAAAAATAATAAATGTGAAAAAAACGAAAATAATTTATTATGTTTTTCACTATAAAATTACGTTTAAAGTCCATTAGGTAAATTAAATGTCCAATACGAAAACATTCCGTGTATGCGGTGTGTGTATGTGTGTGTTGTGTGTGTGTTGTGTGTGTGTAGGACGTAGGTATACGAAAATAGATGTACGATATATGCTCGTGTTTTTTTCCTTATTTCGATATTCTGTGGAAAACATATATTACTATTATTTGTTTAAACATTGTTATTTAAAATATTGTATATTTTACAAAATGGTTTCGGCGTCATACTCGAGTATATTAAATTTTATACGATATTACAAAGGAAAATAAATATTGTTATTGTTAATACAAATTTCGGGTACTTATACATACATAATAAATTATGTATTTCGTTAATTTGCTATTCGGCAATTTGTACGCGCGAGATTTTCGTTTCCTCCTGCTAATGTACCACGGTTACATTCGTATTCTAATTTGGTCGTTCGGAATAAATATATATATATAGGTATAATTATAACCCTCGTCGCCGAACAAATTAAATTTCGCATTTTTATTATTAATATATTATACGGTAGTAATTTGTAAGAGGTAAAAAAAAAAAATAAACGCGTACGAATAACCGTGTAGCTACGTCTTTCGGTTTCGATCCGTGTTATTACCTATACATATATATATATTATAATATAACGACATTATATATGTGTACTGTCGAAAACCGTCGTAAAAAGAAAACGCGAAAAACTCAATAAATATGAACACGTTTCTGTAGTATACGTATCATTATCGGTTGTTTAACCTATAATTTTATTTATAGTTCTTTATGCGCACGTAAATATACATACATACACAATACACAATTATTTAGATAAACGCAACGACGGCGCCGTTATAGCGGATTTTTCTAGGTGCTATTTTCCCGAGCCGCACGGGGATCGAGAGAAAAATATTTATTTATATATTTTTTTTTTTTTTTCCCCGTTTTGTAAAGAACATAACGTTATATAATATAATATCATATACACGGCGGAGAAAAATAAAATGGGGTCGTATCTCGTTACGATGCAAAAAAAAACACAAAAAAAAAACAAATGAACCCTCGGATCACGCGCGCGACCGCGATGGTGTGCAGTGTAGTTGCTTTTCGGTATTGGCGGCGAATGGGCGTTTGAACAAAAGCACGCCTCGTTAGAGCGACAAATGAACAGGATACGAGTATATAATATATATCCATACATACATACATACATACATACATACATACATATACATATATATATATATATATATAGTTACTCGTTCACCGAAGACGACGAATATGTCGTTTGCGGGGCATTTTCTCTTGGCCGAATTTCGGTCAGGTAATGACCAAAGGCACTCGAAACCGAATGGACACGGGGATGTTGCAGGAGTTTCCCCCGTTTCTTTCGAAAAAGTCTGTGCACACACACACACACACACACACACACACACACACACACACATATATATATATATATGTGTGTGTGTGTGTGTGTGTGTACACATATTCGACGTCGAATTCGCTTGACGTATAATAGGTATGTTTAGTAAAACGGCGTTCGCGTATCACACACTGCTGCCGTGCGAATCCTTTGGCCATTCGAAGTTAGCGAACGGTTCGTGCGGGTCGTGGTGCTCCCATGCACGGCAGATTCGTTTAGCGAACGTTTAATAATATCCCAATTAAAAAATACGGGCATATTTCGCGAGATCGGTGGGCCGTTGTTGTAGGTGAGATGTTGTACAAGTAGAATATAGAGAGGACTCTAATTTATATATTTTGTACTCGACGGTAAACCATGTGTTAACGAAAAATGATAAACGATATATAAGTTATATGACTGTGTTGTATTCGTTTTTATTTTGTTACATTTTTTAATTTTTGTATTCAAACAATTTTCTAATCACCTGTTATACTAATACCTATATATTATTTACATTTTTTTTTTTCTTATAATTATTTGTTAAGTTATATCATTGTATGATACGGACAGATAAAACATAATACAACTTAAATAATAAACATAAGCAACAAAAACAAAAACTAATGAATAAATGTAAATAGTAAAATGTAAATTAATTAAATACAATTTTAAGTAATTTTATTAACTCAACTTTCTGTCTTATCATATCACGTGAGTTCAGTTATAGTCGTACAGTTAAGTTCATCATCTATTGCACAGCGTCCGCATTAGCTATGCGGATCTTATTTATAATACCTTTTATCTTGTTTGTGGACTTTTTTTCAACTGTATGTTTGACATTCGATTAAGACTACTCAAAGTTACAAAGTGGAGATTACACTCTATCCCTGTTTGTGCAATAACCATAATAAATTGCATACAAATAATGAAAACCAATTTGACGTTATTGTGTTTTATTTATGTAATATTATTGACATTGCTTATGTCCTTACGGCAGGATTGAATTAGTGTTTTTTCGAATTAGATACATTTACTATTTTTGAATTATCGTGAAAATCAATGGTCATTAGAAACAAAAAAAAAAAAAAAAAAACCTAATCTTAAATACTACGACAGCAAATTGGTTTATTACTTCGTTTGTTACCGTCCAAGACAGCGGACTTGTCTAATCACGGTGGACAATTTCTCACAGTTTTTTCTCCCCTCAGACTCAATCAGTCTTTGTGTCATATCGCTGCAGTGAAATCGCTGTCCTTTCTCGTTACATGATGCGCGTGTAATATATTAAGTGAATCGGAGGCAGACTTGTACAACGATACCGCGGCGTATAGAAGGCGAGGGAAAAAAAGTATAAAATATATCGAATCAATAATGTCTCCCAAAAAGTTTACCGCGCTGGTGCCGGTGAACCCATGGGGTTCGGGTGACTTTTGCTTATAATTATTACCTAGTGTGTGTATGTGCGTGTGTGTGTGTGTGTGCGTGCGTGCGTGCGTGCGTGTGTGTGTGTGTGTGCACCTTGTTTATATATATATATATATATTGTTTTATTATTTGCTTTGGAGTTTGGTCAAAAGAAGGGGTGTTCGATTGAAAAAGTGAAAATTACAATCTTACGAGCGTTGGGAGGTCCCCAGGCGAGTAAAATCCCTTGCCACCACCAAACTTGTAGCCAATATTGCTTATATACTCCCGGTACAACGTCCGTTCAATATATATATTTCTAGACCTCGGCCAGATCGGCCTCCGATATAATTGGATCTCGCGGGAAAAAAGATTCTGACCGAATATTGTTTTTGGGAAGATATACGTAATAATATAAAGTACCCACCTACTCATATATATAAATATATATGTATGTATGTATGTATACCTACCTACCGGAAGAAACTATCCGATTTTATTTGTTCTCCTCCTCCACCGCGTACTAATGTGATTATTCAATATTCCCGTTTCTCTTTTATAATGCTAGCACAAAAGTCAATGTTTCATATGCCAATATAAGTTTTCAAAACATTGTTTATACCGTTGTAGTACAATTCGAAATACCAGAAACGCTTGGCACGATGAGTTTTCCGTGGTTGTTGATAAGGAAATCGGAAGGTGTAGGATGTAAGATAATTCAGTGTATATATACTGAAAGCAACAATGAATAATTATAATAAAAAACGATAGTGAGTTGAGCTCGATTAACTGATAAGATTACATAACTACTATTGCTCGAGTTTTTTCCCTTCGACTTAAATGGTCACACAGTTTTAACAATTATAATAATAAAATATCCTGATGTATCGTCATATTTTGTTGTCAATATTTTTTTTTTTTTTTTTTTTTTTTTGAAATTGTTGAAGTTTTTTGAAATTCTTGAAAATTCCGCATTTTAAAGGTACTGTGTAAACAAATCGGAGAATTTTTACAGGCCTGAAAAATGTTTTCCAAGAAAAAACATGTTTTAATATTAAAACTAATAGCTTCTTAGCTTTAAATTGTAATGTATACATAATTGTTTGTTCCCTTTTTTTTAATTTGTACACATCAGAGAATAGTTCAGTCTATTCGACTTAAAATAATATATCGCGTCTTTTATATTATTAGAATATTATTTATGCCTCAGAATATCATGTATTTTGGTTTAAATCATTTTCAAATGTATTCTAACCTTCTATGAGGTTTTTTTTTTAGATTATTTTATTATGAAATCTCGGAAATCTAAAACATTTATGGTTCAATGAAATAAGCCTGATAATGTTAATGTTTAAAATATATTTTTCTTGTAATTATTTGATAAATTTTCTGTTCACAAAATTTCAAAAAATCTTCAAATAATCTTCGAAATTCATTATTTAAAAAATTTGATTGTAAATGGTATCATTTAAACATACACGATAAAAATTAAGCCAGTTTCACATTTTTTTTCTCGATTAAACCATCGTTAAGTTTCAGTTCACCAATCTTATTGTCTTTATTAACTATTTGGGTTGACCACCGCAGTCTTAAAGCTTCACAAAATTTGTCTCTTTTCATAGCACACTCGAACTTCTTCAAGATATTTTATCTCATTTTATAAACAACGCACGCACGTCAGTTTTAGTTCAACAATAATACTATAATACATGCAATTATTGATTAGGCGTACGAGTGTACTTTTAAGGTCTTTAGAGAACACATTATCAAAAATGCATGTACGTGAAAAATTGCGAATAGTTTGATCCTTAAAAATGAAATGATACTCATTGGTAAAAATTATAGAAATATATTTTATATATTCAGGTCTCCCTTTACTTTATTATAATAATATTGACTGGCTATTTATTTTAATTTATGTTTAAAAAAACTTAGCGTATCCTTATTATAAAGTACTATTTGTCCTTAAAGATCATAATGAATAATTCATAAAATTATTATATAAAATGCGGATTATAGATTAGGTGTTGCATCATACACAACGGAGTTAATTTATAATTTAGTTGGTGAACTTTTTGAACGAAATTAGTATTTAAAAAAGAAAGGGTTCCGAAAATTAAACTCTAATTAGAATGAAATTTATTCAGGTAATTGGAAAATTATAATTACATTTTATTTTATTTTTTGTTTTGTTTTTTTTTTTTTTTATAGGAACGCAGTGTACAACTTAAGTTTGGCTGATCTGTCAGAAAATCAAGTGAGTTTTTTTATATTTATATATTTTTTTTTCTAGAAAATTATAGAGCGATTATCTTTTTTTTCTCTTTTTATATACTATCTATCTACTATACTATATTATATGGGTATTTTTTATTTTCTGACTAACGAAACATTGTAAAATGTATAATTTATAATGTGGCAAAGTATAATATTATGTATACACACACACACAAATATATATATATACCGGTTGTGTTTGTATAGAATGAATATATTGCGTGAACATCATAAAATGTCTTGTTCGCGTGTTTGCTGCGCCTTTTATAATAATATAATGTTATATTGTTGATGAATCGTATCGTTAGGCAGTTCTAAATTTTTTTTTGTTTTCCAATTTTTATATTATAATAAACTAACAGTAACAATAATTATTTTCGTTATTAAATATTTTATGACTGAAAGGTTTAAATTTGCATAAAACTATGCTGAAAAAAAAAAATAAACACCAAATTAATAATAATCGGGTGTCTTCTTTTTAATTTGAGTCTCAATCTTTCAAATTTTTGGCAGCAGTTCTTCACTTCCCGCGCTTTTCATTAAATGAACAAATTAAAAAAAATACAACATTAATATAGTTGTATATTAATGTTAAGAAAAAAATAAGTACGCTAAAAAACATGTACAGTTCTTCTTTTTGTTTAACGAAATTTGCGCGATTCTGCTTCAAAATATACGGTGCAAAAATAGTTGCTTCGTGTAAAACAGTTTTTATAGTTAAATTACCGGCGGTATTACATCCTTGTACACACATATATTCTATTCATAGTCTTCTTCTCCCATTACCTTCTACTTAACCTCCAATAATCAACTTTAATGAACTATCATCGTGATGTTGTAGGTGACCTACATTAATACCATCGCATCTATTTGTTAAAATTTGCCATAGTTATTAGTTATGCATATTTTTTTTTAAAACGCCATCGTTTATTTCAAAACATGAAATCTTAAGTATCTAACAGTATAACACCACATTTCAAATGCTTATTTAGATTTATCGTACTCGCTATTCAGTTTTCATACACATACATATATTATACCTATATATGACATGTCACACTTGACACTTGATAAAGTGAGTTATTTTGAAAAGGTTCAAATTGGCTGTTGAGTGTGTACCCAACCTAACCTAACTTATTAATTATTAAGACAACAATATTTTCATATGTTTTGTAACTATTATAAGTCGGCGACTTGGCGGTGACCGAAAAAGCACACTATTTAAACAGTGACAAATATTTTTCTCCGCGATAAGTTAATTTCCCTTTCGTTTTTTGACGAACGGAAATTCCACTTTATCAAATAATCGCGAAATATTCTTGTTTCCGTTACATTGTCGAGAAATAATATTGTTATATTGAGTGGAAACGATTTAAAAAAAAAAAAAAACGCCACCTAAGTATGCTAATTGAATTATATAATCATTATTAATAACGTCCACGTCTCCGACTTGTCAAGTGTTTTTCTCGCCTTCTCGTCGGTCGTCTCGTCTCGACGCACAGCAGTTCGCGAACGCTGTTATTCGAAAATAATGTTAATCATATTCCGCCTCGTTTTTTTCCCGGCTTACGAAAATTCGTTTTTCTTTCAACAATTTTTTTTTCTAATTTTTTTTTTTTTTTTTTTTATGTAACACAAATCGTATTTATATAATAGATTCATGACGGTATATAAATATCCAGTAGCCGCAAAGTGAATAAAATATTGTGTCGTTTGAAATCCGATCTATGCATTATGATGCGGAGTGTATTACTTGTAATATATGTTTTCCTGGTGTCCAATTTTATACGTTTACTCGAGATATTTATCTGCGTCAGGAACATTATTGACATGCGTAGAAAAAAAAAAAAAAAAAAAAAAAATAATATATTTCTCGGGCAACACATAAGTAGATTGCATGCGGAGTTTTGTGCTTTCGGAACTACTCAACTGGCAACATCGTCTTGAGACGTTAACTTTACTAGGAGAGGAAGCGCATATTATCGATCGCGACAGACTGATGGAAATACATTTGTACAGAGCGATTCGAAAAACCATACTTCCGGCATAATATTATAATATATTGTTTGAAATATTGTATACAATATATTATATTATTCCTATTCGATTCTATTAATCCTGAATAAGCGATACGTTTTTTTTTTTTTTGTAAAATAACCTTATAGAATATTTTCGCCTTGAGTAGATGGAATAAACTAAACAATATTCCGCCAGTAAAGGTTATGAAAAAAGAATAAATCCGGCAGGCGGTTTTTTCTTTTTTGAAGTTTAAGTTTTGTACGTTTTAAATTAGGTATATGGTTTTTTCTTTCTTTTGAACTCACTACGTTATCACGCCATCACTAACATTGGACAAGTTTCTCGGATATTTCGTAACTGCAGTTACAATAGATAAAAGTTACTTAACAATATTGTGTATCTATGTATTTATATATATCAGTGTATTGTTACAATAAGATAATAAAGTTGCTGCATAAAGTATCGAGTTGTGTAGTTAAGATAATATAGATAATATTATTATTAAGTTATGACTGTTACGAGTTATTTTTAAGTAAAACAAAGCCTATGTCTATCTTATCAAATTTGCATCCGTACACGGAGAGACAAAGATACTATATATGTATTTATGTGGTTTTTCATGAAATTAGAGACGATCAAAATTATTTAAAGGCATGTTTTGTAAGTAAATACATTTTGTTGTCATATCACAAATAGTTCTCGTGGAAATTTGAATTAATTAATAACGTTATACAGTGACTGCTTCTGCATTTATACCGTGCTGTTAGGCTTTTAAGCAATTCTAAACGGATTCGAATATATGCATAGCACAACGATATTTAGACCTTCAGTGAAGCGATACGAGTTCCGAAAACTGATTTGAATTTAAGTTTTTAATTTTTAAAGATTCGGTTTGAAAACATATATATATATATAAAAAAAGACCGAAATTAATTTGATTAAAGTGACTGGGTCGATCTCTCGTACACTTCTCGCTGAATTCAAATCTGTTTGCAGATAAACAAGAAACCGTTATAAATTACTTAACTGCGTACGTGTGATGTGTTAGACGAAAAAGGATAAATTAACCCCTCTTTCCATTTCGAATTCTCCTTTAAACCATTTTAATCGTTTAATCGTTTATATTAATCACTTAATTATACTTATATAGTAGTCTACTCGATACAAATGTCTTACCCAGTTTTTATGCTATAATATTATTGGAAATCTGTGTTTTTATCTCTAGTTACAAGGTTAAAAATAATAACCGAGTTACGAGTAACCTAAGTTTTCCCTACCCCGTTCAATATACTTTAAGTTTATACGTTTTACCCGTTTATTACTAACAATATACAAGTATTAACTATGGTAAGTGTTATTTCTATCTCGTGATGATGATTATTATTGCGTGTTCCGTTTCTCTGTGGACATTGGCGTTAACAAAGTGTGCAAAACAACAACTACAAAAAAGCAATAGTAATAATAATAATGTGAAAAACACAACTGTAATAAGTCCGCGAGGGGATATTATTAAATATAATTACAATTATTATTGTTATTACTATTACGGCGGCGGTGCACCGGAAGCGGTATAGGCCCTTTGTCCAGAAACCGGAAATAACGAGCGTATGATGATGACGACGTTGTTGGTTGGTGTTTTTTTTTTTATGGACTCTTGCAACGGGCAAGTGACATAGAGAAAAATCGTTCATGCGAAAAGGGTTGGCGGTGATTATCGGAGCAAACGGTCGCCACAGACAATGTCATCGCTTTCTCTGTTTTTGTTATTTCATTTTATATATATACACTGACCGTCGTCGACCATTTTGTTTTTATGTCGACCTTTTATCAGTGCGGTACAGCTCTTAAAACCGTTAACAGTACACAATATATTATTATAGTTTTGTTCGGATATCATAACGTGCTCATCTTTTTTTTCCTCTCACTTACATCCTACCCCCGTCATGTACATGCGAACGACCGTCGTCGTCACCTCTTATTCTAACGTCTCGTAATTTACTTTCATATCGTCGTCATCACGATGTGATGATGAGTGTAATATTATTAGTAATGACGTAGGAAAAAAAAATAAGTTTATCAGTTTATATTTCTGATATAAAGATATAAAGGTCTCCTTGATTGTGATTCATCTTGCGTGTTTTCCAAACGGCGTGTATTATCGACACTACGGGTTGGTAATATATATTTTGCTATAAATTCGGTGTTTACCGTCTCAAAAACTTGACGAACATATGGGACATTTTATTTAAGATAACCATTTTTTTTTTTTTTTTTATGTTTTCTCATTGATCGTAATTTAACACTGTCATCACTGTGACATAATGCTCATCATAACTGTTCGCAGTGATAACGAAAAAAAAAAAGAGGCGCGTATTAAGATATTAGTGTAATATTATATCAAAAACCACTCTTCGAATTAAACATTTTCTTTTCGATTTGCCCGATAGACGATTAGTAGTATAAGTGTTATAATGTTATAGTATTATTATCTATACTCAGTGAAATTATTGCGTTATACGCGTCTTATATCTAAATTAATAATATCTAATAACTTTCCGCGTCAAAAGACAAAAAAGGAAAAGGGGGAAAAATGTACAAAAACTCCGTCTTTAAAGCATAAAATATTGGGATCGATATCGACAGTCTGCGAGTATTATTCGCGTAAATACCCCGAGTGACGAGTTTCTGCGTTATTTCGACGACCTTTGAATTTTATTCCGGAAAAGAATATTATAAGAGTATTAAAGAATGATGGTGCATCTTACCTTTTTCTTTATGGCTGGTGATATTTTCGGTTTGACCGTGGTACACCAAAAATACCAAGAAAAAAACTTAAAAAGGTTGAAAATATTAAAATTTCTTCGTTATAAATACTATTTTGTAGATTTTGGATTCGGAAATTCGCGGTTACTCGAAATTAATTTTAGCGAATCATTATAGGACTTACTATAGTCTGTAATCTGTAAGGTATTAAGAGGACGCTACACTCTCATTTACTGTCTTAGTCCAAATAACGAACAACGCAGCAAAATTACGTTATGCCTACGTAAATTGAAGTTAGAGTTTAAACACAAATAATAAAATGTACAAAGGAGAATATTTTCGAAAGCTTTACGTATATTTTTTCATAAATTATTTCCGTAAAAAAAAGTTATGGTTACTTGTATATACGGTTATTTTTTTTTAAATTTTTTAGGAAAAAAATCCATACAGTCCTCGAAAATTGTATCCATATATATTTTGTTATTTGTGCTTACACTCTAATTTAAATATAAACGCTACAATTTACGTTATAAGTAATGTGTTTTTACTGCGGTGCCCATATTGGCTAGTCCGAGACAGTAAATGCGAATGTGGCATTTTCATTTGATATTTTATTAAATTATTCGTATGGTATCGTTACCTTCTAAATCCTAACCTTAATGTAAATAAATTGGTGTACACGGTGTTTTTATAGACGTCTAATCCAATACTAATCAAATATTATTTCGTTTCGTTGTTATTTCGCGAACCCGGACGCGTAGCTCATACACCCAACCACGTAGTTTGTACGCCAAAACGGTTCGTATAGCGCATAGGTTATACGCGCGTTCGTTATTTTAAATCGGCAAGGTTCGGACGGGACGGGAAGCAGTGAAATTGTGGGGTTGTCTGATAATTGTAATGAAAAAAATTTAATAACGTGAGTAGTTTCGTATGAAAATTATCCGGTGGACGGTTGCCAAAATAATAACACACGCGCTCGGGAACTTGCCGCCCGTACACTGTGCTCGTGGTGTTTAGCAACAAGCCGCGGATACGTACGTACAAATAAAAACTGGTAGATAATTGACTCTGCGAGCGAATCTGAGGCCCGGGGGGGGCAGCCGCGTACCCGCAATAGGCCAAACGTTATTGATTAACCCGCGCCGATATTTATGTTTACGCAGTGCATTATGCGCGATAGACGTGCGCGACGGCACGAAAAATACGCGAAATAATTAATCAACGATTTCCCCCCCCCTCCCCCGTTACGTCGCATCTCATCACGTTACAGTTTACGGTATAGGCGAGACATTTTACGCGGATTAATCGATGCAGCACGCAGTGTCGGCCGTACGCGCGTGTATGTTTCGTACAGAGCAATGTCTGCGACGCGTCGCCGCAAACTCCCCGAAACCCCCCCCCCCCCCACATGCAACAAACGTCGGTCCCGCGGCACAAAGCCGCGCGTTCGATAACGCGCTTGTTATGATATTCATTTGGGGGGGGGGGAGGGTTGTAGGGGCCACGTGTGCCGCTCGGCGAATATCGTATTACGCAACGCGTTCGCGATTTTTTTTCCCGTTTTCTATCGAATTCCGAAACGTCGCCCGTCCGTCCCGCGGCCGGCATTATAATTTCGGCGGCGGCGACGGCGGCGCGCGGCGCGTCCGAGTGCCGGAACGGCGCCGGAGGAACAACCGGGTCATAATATAAAGCGCACGTTTCGCTCATAATTGATGGCCTTTTCGACTGCCCCCTGCCAAAAACGGTTTTTCACGCTAAACGAGAATGCGCTGCAGGGGTGCTTGGCGGACGGGCGAAGGGAATTCGGCGGCTGTGTGTGCGTTTCACATAAAATACATTATACACGTATGTACAAACGTTCTGTTCGTGTACACATTTTATATTCGTATATTTAACGTGTGTGTGTGTGTGTGTATGTGTGTTTGTGTGCGTTTGTGTGCGCGCGCGCGCGCGCGAAAGAGCCGTATTACTGCTGCTGCAGTGTGACCGTGTTACACGTGTGTTGTGAATATTGTCAACACAGAATGCAAATGTTTGTTCCGACCTCTTCTCGTCCCCTATTTACATACACACACACACACACACGTTAAATACGTGGACCGGATGACCAGCCGGCCGAGGGTTAAAAACCCGATCGTGCCGGCGGCCTTTTGCGTGTCTGTGTGTGCGCGTGTACAGAAAATAATACAATAATGATACGCGATCACGACGTAGCGTTGTTTGCAGTACGGGCCGCAGACCATTGTGTTATAATATAAAAATTAAAACATTAGACCGGTTTTTTTATGTTTTCTTTTCCGGGAGCCTTTACCCGAATCAATCGAAAAGGTCTATCGAATTATATTCTTTTCGATCTTCGATTTTCGTTGAAACGTGTCTATTCGGTCGATAGTTTTCGGCCGTGTGTGTCCTCAGACATCGATCGAATATTGTAAATCGTAAAATATTATTTTCTTTTAATCACTTTTTCAATAATGTTCTTATTCCACGGGATAACTCGAGTGTTTGCGTTTTATTCGATTTTACCTATTCTTAGTTATGCGAAAAACTGACAATTTGTATTGTTTTTTTGGATTACCTTGGTAACACGGGAAGAAAAATACAATTAATAATACTTTGTTCAGAATCGCTTTTCCTTTGCAATGATTTATCGTTGCGCACAGACACACATTAAAAACTAATATCTTTCCTTTTGAATTTCCTCCCAAAACAATGACACATCCATCAATATTATCAGCCATTTTTTTTTTTTTTTTTTGCAAATTTATTAATGTTTTCTATGTATTTAATGTCATTATTTGCATACCATAACTACACCGCGATATTTTTAAAAATCATTATACATTTTAATATAGCTCCGAGAGTGTGAGTCATCAATAGTAGATTGATCTTGACGAATGAGGTTTTTTCCCCGAGTACGAAACATTAGGATTATTATTATAATTTTTTTTAACAACAGCTAAACTTCAACTAACATTACACTACACCAAACCGGAGACTACTCATCGCCAAATGAACGAGACTGCTCGTCGACTAATGGATAATGGATATTGGATACTCGCATTCGTCACGGTTTTTATTTTTCGGTTTAATAAAATATTCCGGAATTATCGAATCGCCAAAAATATCCACGAAAAAAATAACCCCTAAAAGCTATTCGATAAAAACAACATTTATTTGTTGATTTAGGATTCGGTAATTCACGTGTGTTTGCTCGGATTCATATTAAATACTTTTTAGCCTTATTGAAATGTAGTTATTCTTGCCGAAACATTCATTTTTGTATAATAGTTATTTGACTTTTTTTGGAGTCTTTACTCTAAAACTTTTGAACGATTATAGTAATATTATAATTTAATAGTTATCAAATATTATTGTAAATTACCGACGTACATTTCGGTGCAATTTTCGTTATTTAATTTTATTAAATATACGGGCCAGAGCGTTACGATAATTTGTGCAAAATATGATTTACTTTTGTACAAAACTATTATTACTTAGCACTCAGGTAATATATAGATAACTTCCTAAAACTGAAATTTAGATATTTTTAAGTAAGAAAGTAGATGTCGCATCAGACGTTTTAAAGGCAAGCACAATGAAGACAAAAAAACGTTGCAATGAAAAATTACATATCTCGTTTGACGAGGGGAACTAAAATTAATTTGGGCAAGTTGCGTAGTGTAATCGATCTCATTGGTAAGGGGCTTAGATAAAAATGTCAAACCAGTGACTTGTCTGTGGTCTGACATGGAAAACGATAAATTCAGTGTTACAGCCGTAGATATGTGTATAGTTATGCGGAGGGCAGTCGATATTAAGGACGCGTGGAGCTAAATATGTCTCACTCTTCCAAGTGGAGTGGTTCTAGTATAGTGGACGGATTGTGAATGACAGAATCGTATTTAATCAGCGGACGACTGAAGATGAACAGAAAATAGTTTTTAATGAGGAGTGCAATTTGAATCACGAGCACATTCGTTGGAAAAATCTAGAGCTTTAAGAGCTTTACAGTTTGTTGTCTCGTTATACAGTCTAGGACAGGGTCTCCCAACCGGTGTGCCGCGGCACATTGGTGTGCCGCGAGACCCAAATGGGTGTGCCGCGAAATGCCATGACTATTAATAAACGTTTCCGTAAAATTTCAGTAATTGGTTAAAATAGTTTTAACGATTTTCTTATCGGGGAGGATCTTATCTTATTGTTCACTATTTCTTATTAATTCATTTAAAATGTTAGTCAGTTAGTCGTTTGTCGTCGTATGAATGTCGTATGAAGTACATTTATTATTACCGTGTTTTATTTTAACGGAAAATTTTTCCCCTCGCTTTACGATTATCGTTCGTACTACGTGTAGCACACGATGGATCGTTTTTTAATTAGAAAACGTAAATTAAGCGAAGAATTGCCTGATCCTAATTATGCTCATAGAGCTGATGTTGAGGAATTGCCTGGTCCGAGTTTCAATCCTCCTAATGTTGAGGTGAGTGCGAGTAAAAATGCTAACGTACGATCAAAAAATTATATTCGACAATATCACGAAAGCTTTTTATCATTTGATTTCACGTCGAGTGGTGGAGAAATGCCTATACCTAGTATACCTCAATGCCTCATGTGTATTGAAAAATTATCTAATGAAAGTATTGTACCAAGTAAGCTGAAAAGGCACCTGCTTACAAAACATGGTTTTGCGTCTGAAAAGCCTCTAGATTTTTTCAAAAGGTTAGCCTCAGATCAAAACAGACAGGCTTTAAAGTTTATAAAACACTCAACTGTATCAGATAAGGCACAGGAAGCTAGCTATGCTGTCGTGGAACTGATAGCAAAAAAAATGAAATCTCACACAACAGCCGAGTCAACCATTTTACCAGCATGCTGTGAAATCTTTAAAATTTTGTTTGGTGAAGATTTTGAAAAAGAAGTTAGAAAAATTCCGCTATCTAATAACACTGTCCAAAGACGTATTGAAGACATGTCTAAAGATGTTGAATTCCACGTGAATGAAAAACTGAAAGCAGCTGAATTGTTTGCCCTTCAATTAGATGAGTCTACAGATGTAACCGGAAAACCTCAGGTCANATACATAAATAAGTCAGTGACAAGTGTGCCGCGGCTAAATATGGGCAGTGTGCCGCGAGGGAAAAAGGTTGGGAAACGCTGGTCTAGGACATACAGTCAATGGGTGTAAAATTAAAGCCTGCGAGATCACGGACAGTGATTACCAGCCGGAGGTACGCGTTTAAATAATTTGTTTTATAAAATGTTTCGATAGTATTATAAAACCGGTGAAGGAATATTTATTTGAATATTCCTAAATAGAAGGATAGAAAGATAGAGACAAAGGGAGAGAGAGAGAGAGAGAGAGTTCCATAGTTGTGCAATTCGAAAATACCGGAAAAAGTCCAAATTAATCCGTCAGGCCGTTTTTTTTCGCAATATAATGTGTATGTGTATAATTCCGTATATGTACACGATGCGTTAAAAAAAAAAAAAAAATGATAAAACCATCATAAATTATACGCGTAGCAGTGGTAAATCATCGATATCGGATCTCGTATAGATCATAATATTTCCCCCGTCGTATTTTGCCGTCCCGCGCGCCAAAACCTTTTTTTTTTATTATTATTATTATTATTTTCTTTATCAACAACCCCGCACGTGTCCCGCGGTTATTACCGCCGCCGCCGTACTCGACCGCGGCAATCGACCGGAGTGCGCGTAGTTTACGGCGTGCACATAATGTACGTGTACAATTACACTGCACTACGCACTGCGCTACGCACTACACTACACCGGGCCGGGGACCGTATCACCGAAAACCGCCTCGGGCAACGTTTCGTCGTATACATCTCGCAGGGGTCTCTCTCGGAAAACTTGGCCAAAAGGGCGGCGGCAGCAGCGTGTTAACATTTTCCAGCGCGTATATATTTCTATACACATTATTTTATATACGTATACACGCCATTTGTTCCGCGCAACTTTTATTCGCACCAAACTCGATGGCGAAAAATCCAAAACTCGGCGACTATAATACTCATCGTAACTGTGTGTATATATATATATATATATCTACTCTTCGAAAACTTTTCGTCTCGCCCTTTATTATATATTATTAATATTCGCGTTACGAACAATAATGAATCCCACCTCTGCAGCCGCTGCCGCCGCCGTCGTGCAGTCTGTGTGCATGCCGCGTGCCACTGATAAAAAAAACACGTAATAAAAATACGTGTGCGTTTTACGCGATATGTCATCGTTATTATATATACACCTAATATTATACCTATACATATATATATATATACACGCCCCGATACTCGTGGCTCTCGCTCGTTTTTCTTCGCGTTTTCATATATATATATATTTTTTTTTTTTTATATATATTATACAACGCATAAAATATTTTGCTCGGAGAAATCACGTCAATATTAAAATGAAAAAGAAAAAAAAAAAAAACCCTGAAAATATATCGTGGAAATAACCTGGTCTATTTCGCCGATTTTGTTATGATAATAATGTCGTAACCGTCTCCCTAATGGCTGCTGTTGGTGTACAGCTAGCGGTTCGACGCGGTACGCGCGTTTTTCCGGTGCGATAAAGACCGCGCTTGTACATATATATATATATATATATACATATATATATATATATATATACATATAGTTTGCTGCCATTCGATTCTCCTCTGCCCCTCTCTACTTCCCCCCCCCTCCCTCCCTACCCCCTTGGTTCCGCAGTCACTTCTCCTCTACCGCTCCTTCGGGGGTAAAAAAAAAAAAAAAAATATATATATATACCGCTCGCATAATAAATCACTCTCTAATGTCATCCGTTTTGCATACGACACGACTATGAGCTCCCTCCCCTCCCCTCCACGCATACTGCCCCCTCCCGGCCAACAGCCAACCCGTCCGCTATTCGCGTGCGTATAACATATAAACAACAATAATGTTTCCACACAATCGCTTAGTGACGACGGCAACGCAGGAGGCGGAGGAGGAGGTGAAGGCGGAGGAGAAGGTGAGTTTACTACCTCCGCGACCGAGACGGGAAAAATACGCGCATATCGGCGGGTGCGGTGAGGCGGCACGGCGAGTTTTCCCTTCGGCTAATCTCGGGTAACGCTGCGCCGACGACGGCCCCGCGCTCGGCCTCGCGTCGTCGTAAAGAACTTACGCAGTCGTCTCCGTTGTTCAGGCGCTCGTGCGATTATTGGGCCGACAAGGGACCTGCCTATATAATATTGAGAATAATACGTTTCTTCCGACTCCTCGAATATATTACGATATAATCGTATGGGTACTTTACGTTATTACATTGTTCGTATGTACGTATCACGCGGGGAAACGGTTGTAAAAACGCGTGTCGGAATACGATTGTTTAGACGCGGCGCGTACGATCGACGAAAATTAATTAATACAACAGTATTATTTATATATTTTTTTTCTTTATCTTGCCCGAGTAACAGCAGCGTATAGCCGATATGGCGCCACGCGAGTACCGTGGCCGTCACCATCGTCAAGAACGTTTTCGCCCGCCAATACTTGTACTGATATCCGGCGATCACTGCCAGCTGGCGTTTTCTCCGTGAAATTTCAACATTTCCGCCCACATTCACAATTATTTGTCAATATCGGTACGCATAGAAACGCGCAGTTCACAACCGGAATGCGTCGTATCTGTATACTGTTATCGAGCATAGGCGCAACTAGACATCCGAATTCGGGAACGCTAAAATTGTAGACACATCACAGTCCCGCGGGACTGTCAATGCTCCCGCGATCCCCTCGATACGACACTTATAATAATCAACTGCACATTTCAGTCGCAATATGTTTTATACAAATGTATCTTGTCTTATTAATTTTTTTCTGTATACATACACGCACTGTCTGTACATTTTCTGTATTTTGTTGTGCATATTAACTATGAAATACACGAATAAAATACCCAGTCGTCCATAAAAAAAAGCTTGTTGGGTATTCTTTAAAGGGTTCAAGTGGACACTAGGGGGCATACTTATGTTAGGGGGCTAGCAGTCCCTTAGATGCGTATAGATGGTGTTGTGTCAAACATAAACAATATGTGATGTGACGACGGAGTAGTTTTTATAAAAACCCTACAATTTTGGAATTCCGATTTTGAGCCCGTCGAGGTTTTATGAGGCAAAGTGGTCAGTCTGATAGTTTTGATTTTCAAAATTTCCGCTGGTTTCGCAAATTATTTTACAGATAATATAGACTTCATCGGCTATTATTTTCTTGTAATTTTCTTCCAAAATGTTGTTTACCGAATGAAATAAACCCGGTGATTATAAAATTATATATTATGTTTTTAAAAAAAAAAAATCTTAAAATTGGAAGTTTTTCCTCATGTTTTGACAGAATGATAATCATTTTTTTCTTTTGTAAAACATCGCTTGTTCCAGCAACCAATACAAATTCGATCGACCCTTTTCCATATTTTATTAACTTTAATAAATCTTTTAACAGTAGAAGTGTAGAGTAGAGTAGAGTAGATTACTTATTCGAAAGTTTAATTCTACGGGTCATAACATTATAATGTTTGAACAATAATTAAGCATCTGTGTGTGTAGCGTTTGATGTAACTTAATAGTGTTTACTGCAATTATTTAGTTCATTAGGAGTAAAACTCGCCCGAAAATACGAGTAATGCGATGCAATTACTATTCATTAAAGATAATAAGATAATAATAATTAGTAAAATATAATTTCAAAAAATTTGATATTGCTGTGGATAGGCCACCGCGTTGTAGGTACTTAGAAAGGAAAGCACAGGATTTAAAAGGTAATTTAGTTATTATACATAATGTAACGATAAATCATTGTAAATTTTTAAAAAAATAAACGATTCCGACCGGAGTAATTTAAGTCGGGTATTTTTCTTTTATTGCCAATAAGTTAACTGAGATATGAATAAAAATCAAACATCAAGCTTAAGCACTTACTGCTAAAAATTTCGATAAATATTTCAAATAAAGTACGAACGGTCAGAAATTCTGCATTTGTTGATGAACCGCGGAAAGCACTATTTGTAAAACCAAAAAAGCGTATTTTTTAAAAAAAAAACATTAAAAAAAAAACTGATGCTAGGGATATTTATTGATATCTTTAAGTAACGATAAATCATTGCCTGACGAAAGACAATTCTGAGCGCAGTTCGGTAATGCATAATTTGAAGTATCTTAATTTATTTTCGTTTGAAATTTGATTTCGAAATGCTCATTAAAAAAAAAATAAGTCGTCAGATGATTTTGAAAATTTCACCACGTCTAAGGAGGTCCAATATAAGTATTATTTCCTTGTTTCAAGTCTTTACGTGTATTTAAAACCGAATTACAGTAAAAAAACTTCGGAATATTAAAATTCCTTAAAAGATCAAAAGTGGCTCAAAAGTTTTGAATACCGTAAGAAATTAAATCAAAAATGCAACAATAAAGGTATCATGTGATTTTTCGATTAAATCGTTTTTTTTGGTAGAAAACGTCGTCCGTGTTTTTATAAAATAATGAAATCGTGAAATTGTAAGTTTGCCTACGTTTTTTTTCCCACTTATGTGCTGTTAAATGATAAAAAAATGACCTCTTTAAACTTTTAATCTAGACGACTTGAGCTTTCAGAAAAAGGTGCTACACTTATACCTCGGAGCAATTTTACTAGGTGAAAACGTGTCCACTGTCTAGAATAAAGAACAAAGTAAAACAAATAAACATCATTGTAAAACCATTAGCTCCCTCGCTATGTTCAGAGTCCAAAAGCAATTTTTGTAAAAAAGTATTGCAAATTTTGAAAAGGTTTTTAATTTGGAACACATATTATGTTGTTTAAATGTTGGCAGTTTTTTCTCTTTTTTTCCGTATAGTAATATTGTGTATATTTACACATTTGTGACGATTAAATAAATTGAAATCATATTACATTTGTTAATTGATTTGAGGAAATTTACCAACACGTGTAAAAAATTGGCACGATAAAAACTTGTATTATAATTATAATTTTTTAACAATCACAAATATTAAAATTCGCCAATTTCTCTGCTAAATCAATATTGTGTTATGTATAATTTACCGTTAAATTGCCCTTTTTTATTTATTTATTTTTTCTAAACTTAGTTCACCTCGATTTTTTCGTTTAGTAAATATATATATATATATATATATATATATATATACTGGTGTACGAATTTCAGTTAATTTAATTGCATACAATTTGAGACATAAATTAATTATATTATGTTACAAGTAATTGGTTAACAAACAAGAGTCGAAAATTAGATTAATATTATTCCAAAATGCAATTATAATACAATAATTTAATTTGGACTCGAACGTTTTGTGCGAAATTTTAAACTGTTTTCGAAATGAAAAAAAAATGTAGTGTATTTATATAAATTATACATCTAATTTATATGTTTTTTAAATATATATATAAAAACGTGTAACGTTAACCTCGGCTATTAAATTAAATTAGGTTTTTTTTTGTTTATCGTTTCGTGGTACATAGTAATATACTTTAATTTTAACGACGTTTATTTATTTTTAAGATATTTCGAGCAATTATTATTATTTATATTCCATCCTAGCGTTTCAAACATCAAAAAAAAATAAAAAAATAAAGTTTAAGTAAAACAATCGGCGTGTCCCGTCTTGTGTAACAGAAAATAACGCATTCCATTTAAACGTTTAAAGAGGTCGACGTAGGTTTTTCAAATTTTCTCAAATTATGTTGAATTTTAAAAAAAAAAAATTTTTTTTTTTTTATTTACGATCATCTTAATACAAATACTGATCCGCTTATATATTGTCCGATACCCGTTTAAGGGAAAGTAGTGCTGCTGTTTTTACAGACGAATATGCCATTTTTATACAGACCAGTGGTGGTGCATACCCCGCATTGTTCGATTTCGATTTTTAATGTATATTTAGATTCGATTCCGAATTGTCTAGATTATTTCAGAATTCGATTTTAGATGAAAAAATAAACACATAATGTCGTGGAATTTACAAAATATAATATTTGACTTTAGTTTTGGATGTTTTCGGAAAATTTTGAACTGAAAAATGGTCTTCATTAATAACGTAGATAATTTACTATCTATACTTAACAAATTAGTTAAATCGAACATATGTAAGTATGTCTTATTTCCCACAATTTATAGTTCTATAACGTATGGAAAACTAGGGGAACTACTACACCCTTAAATTCAAAAGTTATTTGAATTTTAATCGAAAAATGTGTGGTAAACATATTGTTTTTATTATTATTATTTTTCAAATATGTACAAAGCATAAATACGAGTATTTGTCGCCATTAAAAACATCATTATAAAATGGAAAAAAAAAAAATAATAATAATAATAATAATGCATTTAAAACTGCATTGCCAAATTATTAGTACTTTTTTTTTTTTTTTTTTTGTTTATATATGTTTATTTTTAATTGAAAATATATACGTACACTGTTCAAATATGTATTCGATATAAATTGTGTGCAAAGATATTATACCTATATATACACTAATAAAGACCAGAAAATAAACAAAACCTGACTAAACCAAATATATATATCTATGTATCTTTTTTTCAAACACAGCGTTTATCATCACGTACAAAGGTAGTTTTTGAAGATCTCCGTGATATAAATATACATTGTTTACTATACCCTGTGTAAAGCGACTTGTTTGAAACATAAACGTGTAAAAAATAGATTTTTTTTTTTTTTATTGGTCCATTAGTCTGTTTTATAGAAGTAAAAAAAAAAAAAAAAAAATAAAATAAAATGTTCAAGGGGTCTTCCGTACTACTTGTATTATACATTTCTGATGGCCCGTTCGGCGTCGTCTGCTTTTTACTATACTGAACAAATATCAGGATGCATTTATATATATGTATATACATAAAAAAAAAAAAAAATTAAAAAAAAAAAACGAGCTGATACTGCTGATGAGCGAGCATGTTATATAGGTGTGAAGTTGAATAGATAGGTTACATGGATATTTAATTTATATATGTAACGATATGTATACTATTACGAAGTACTATTTTGAGCGACGTCCATTCAAATGCCATAATTTTAACGATTTCCGTCAAAATTTGATGTTTTATTAATGCATTATAAAGGGTGATTTTTTTTTTTTTTTTTTTTTTTTAAAATGATCAAGTGTTCTTAATTATTTATTTATTTTTAATACCAAATGCTTACTGGGCTTCACTGAGAGGAACGCGCGTGGAGGTCCAGGGTTATCTTTTACCAATCGTTAGAATCGTAACTATGACAATAGTAATATTATATTATTACTATTGTTCTCCGTTATAAGTTATAACAGTTTAAAATTTAGACCGGATGAGCAGAGAAGGTTTATCATCTTTTCGTATAAACACCGATATGTGAAATTTATTACCCTACCCTACGTCGTAGTCTATTTAAAACCGATGCAACTGATAAACGGTACCATTAGTCACATTTGGTATTATACCTATACATATTGACATATTTTTTTTTTTTTGGTTTTGTTAGATCTTTGTTGAAAACGGGAATTACGCCGCTCCGACGCAATAAAATAATTCGCCTAGCTTGTTAATTATAATATATGTCTGCCGACCTTATACCTACCGTATATCATTTTATCCATACTTCTCTCGCACAGTCGCACATCCGCAGGTCGTTTGTCCGGTTAATTTATTATAATGCAGTTATACCGTCCGCATAGCGGACCGTCAACCGTCAGCCATTCTTACAAAACGTTTTGTGCGGCGGCGATGTACTTTATACTACCGGCTATTATTGCGATTGGATTTTAAACTTATAGTACCTATTCTTATATATATATATATATATGTATACGTGTATTGAATTTCTATTGTTAATTAAACGTCGTCGCCGCCGTATATTTAAGAGGATTGCCGTAGAAGTCGTGTGTTTCTTGCTGTTGGGGGAGGGGGGGNGGGGGGGGGGGGGGGGGGAGAGAGAGAGAGGGGAGAGTGTGGGGTTACGGTATAATACACATTATATACTGTAGTGATGTAATATGGTTAATTGGAAAACTAGGTTGTCAAGCCGCACGGCCGTCCGAAAGTTTCGTGCGCGCAATCTAAGACGGTACCCCTTTTGCTAGCAGCAGCAGCAGCAGCAGCAGCCACAGTAGATAGGGATTACGTGTTTATTATGCCGGGAAATTTACACGAAGAATTTCACGACGGTTATACGCTCGCGACGGAGAGTATACATATATATTTATATATAGGAAGGGTATAACATTTGCCGGATTTCTATTTCCTTCCGGTTAGCAGGAGCTTCCGGCAAAGTTCACCTCACTAAACCCTGTCTGTTCCAAACATTTATATATATATGCATGTACTATGTATCGAGCCGTGTGTTGACTTTTAAAATTACTAAACTTCGTAATAGAGCGTGATGATGGAGACTTTGGCATGAAATGCAGTTGACATCTTCGATGTAATTTTATCATTACGCTTATGCGATACGCGTATAATAATATTTTATAGCTTTTATAAATATACATATACATATACATGCGCATTGGAAGTGTTTACGTGTCCGTGTATTATCTCATTTTATTACCTACAGATTATAACGTCGTGTGTGCACGCGTAAAATGTGCAGTATATTTCGTGAAATACACCGAATAATGTTTTTTTTTTTTATTCTTTTCGGCCGTATCTTTAAAAAAATAATCGAAATATTAAATTACTATTTAATGCTCTCGCTTTTGCACAGTAACGATATTATAATAACGACGTGTAATTTCCAAAGAGGATCGCAAAGTACGATACTGTTACTATAATACATTACTATCCGTACGCTTAATAATTTCGTCGTTATACGACCGTATATAATAATTTATTTGTCATCACACCGTGTACAATGTTAAATACTTTAGCGCCTATAATTTATAATGTTCGTCGATAAAACCATTGGCATATAAGTACAATAGTTTTAGTAACACAATAATTTATCCGGTATTAATTATTTATTTATTTGTAATATTTTTTTTATTTTTTTTTCAGAGATTGGAATGGCACTCGACCGATGTCGATTACAAAATGTGTTTAGTCAAAGGCAAAGACGAGGTAAGACAATATGATTGTAATATAATACATTATACGGTTATGATTCGACGTCGGACATTAACAAATTAAAAAGTTCAGAGTCACGTTAACTTACTACTTATTGTAGCGTAAAACCCCATTGATTTTCGTGTTAAATTAATTTTGCACAATAAGTTTATTTTTCGTTTACATTTAGATGATAAATTGTTAGGTGATTTTGAATTACGCGTTATGTTAGTTTAAATTTTTTTTAAATTTTAACACGATATTAAAATTACAATATTTTCATTATCTATCGTGTGCATATTATATATTATGTAGTTATTTTTTCTTTACATTAAATAACGTCCGAGTAAAAATTAGTATAATTCGATACTTCCTATATGCTTATCCTGTGTATATACTTAAACATTAATAGTTCCTAATTCTAAAAACATCACAAACTATAGGTTTAATCAATTTTACTACATACGCTAATAACTATTATTAGAAATAAAAAAAACATGATAATAATCATAAAAAGTTGATTCAATTTTTAAATTAACTTTGACTTAGCTAATTTTAATTTAACTTAAATCAATGGTAAAAAATTACCGAATTAATAAAAAAAAATTACTTTAAACTCGTTAATTTCTTTACAATGAACTTAACTGAGTTTAGTGATTTTTATTCATCAACTTCCCCAGCCTTTACTTTTTATGACCGTTTCACTTGTATTCGTTAGAATTTCTCATAATGTTTATCGAGTTATACGGTTTGTCATTTAACAAATAATACTGTTTACGATGTTTATTTCGATTAGGTGTGGAATTATTATGATTAAGTATTGTATAATAATAGCAATACTATTAAGTTTAAATAGCCTCGGAACAAACGCAACAATATAAAAAAATTATTTTTATACTACTTGTATAAACGTTTTAAAACGTCATGTTTAAACGATTTCTAACATATGTTTAGACACATTATATCTCCCTTGCGTTAGTCTGTCCGTAGTTATCAGTATAAAGTTACGGTTGTTGATTCGGTTAAAAAGGATATATTTCTATATATTTTTCGTAAAATTATTATTATTATTAATTTAAATGTAAATTCGTTGTAAAGTTTATTGTTCAAATAACGTTTCGAAACCGGGAACCTGACTTGCTCGTAGATTGGGTTTTCCTAACATGTTTTTTTTTTTTAATTTTTAAGCGATAATATTTAATTTCCATAAGCTTTATTGAATTGAAAATAAAGATGTTGGACTCGTTTGTCTTAAATTTGATTTTCTTTATTCTGACGTGTACAGTGTGATATCCGAAACCATTTTATTAAACAAACAACGTGGCTTTTATACCGGAGTATTGAATTTATCCAGTAATGGAATCATAAACAAGCGGGATGGAGGGAAATGATGATAATAATAATAATAATAGGATATCAGTTATCAGACTAGAAAGCAAAATGGGTAATGGATTTACACAATAATATTATAATGCTTCAATGCAGTTATTTTAGATTATTAATTTTCTTTTCGTATTATGCTTTCACGATGCAAATCAGAATTTGATATTTTTACATTATTACGATGGAAATAATATATAACCTTATACTGTTTTTAACTATGAAAAAAAAAAAAAAAAATTCAGTATAATATGTTACCTACCTTATAGTACCTCTAATTTTTTTTTCTCATTTTTTTTAAAAATTTATTAAATAAATTAAATTTTTAAAATATATTATAAATCACGATTCCGTGGCAACCGTTATTTTATAAATATATATTTTTTTAATATTATTAAAATGAAAAAAATATGGAAAAATAAAACATTTTATCAATGATTTCGTCGTAAAAACAATATTTTTTATACCTTGATAAAATATATTTTTCTATCTGGGTAAAGGGAAACCTTGCGGAATATTTTCATGCCAGCCGAGTATGAATGTATTGTAAAGCGCATAGCTAGGGATTCGCTTATTCGAAATTATATTAGAAGTAATGAAAAGGATAATATATATTTATGTATAGGCGGGTTATAGACTTGTTGGCATTCAAAATGGGCTAGTAAAATAATCGGTGATAGAGTAGAATTCGTATGGAAAATCTCATCTGGGAAGACTAAATACGACCTAGATAAAAGAAAAAGGAAATAAAATAAAAATATAATATGGAATTACTCGGTGGACGTTTGTACCTACTTGATAAAAATTTACATGATACGGGGTACATTATATTCTGAATGACTTTAAAACAGAAATAATAAAAAATATTAAAATATTATTTAAACGTGTGTAGAGTATGTGAGAGATTAATGAAAAATCTCAAGGGTACTTAATTGTTCGATCGATTTATATTTGTAAATGAATCTTGTTACATTTAGTGTGGTTTTACTGTTTGGCGATTTTGAAGTTTTTGTCTAAATCAATATCGTTTGGTTTGAGCCGTTTTAAAAAGTTTCAGCGTCCTTATATATTGTCATAATAATAATTCACTAGAATTTTTCGCGCGTAATTTATTGCACAGTGACGTATTATACGAAATATATACGAGGTTATTAGTCTCGCGGAGACGTCCCGACCGGGGAACATGTCAAAAACTGTTCCGTCGATTCGTCTAGACATTTTGGTCACAGTTTTTTTTTTTTTTTTTTTCCACTTGCATTTCTTTGCTTTACTAGCTTTGTTATCATTAAACGAGCGGTTATGTGCCACTGAATATGGCGGTGTCATCTCCGGGCACTGTCGATCAATCAACATATTATTATTATTATTATTATACTTAAAAAGTATACGCCCCCATCACGGGCCCCCTTACTATACTTCAATGAGCATTTTTAACGGCGCCGGGAGAGTGATAGTTTTTTTTTTTTTTTTTAGAGTTTAATAAGACGTAATATTGAGCTTTTCCCCGGGACAGGAAGGAGGCTTATATACTGTGAAGCGTGATGAAAGAGTACGGAGGATGTCATCTATCACGAGTGTCTCGAACATGATCATTATATATATATATATATATATTATATACCTGTGACTCGAACTGATATTATTTTTCACGACTTTTATATATTATATACTTATGTCTGTATTTTTTTTTTATTTTTTAATTTTTTTTTCTTGTCGCTCAATCATTTAAAAAAATTATAAAAATTATTTTCGACGATGCCTACGATATGATAAATTATCGGAACTGATTTCAATCCGTTCGAGATTTGATCGTGGCACTTGATATTGGACAACTATGCGTATACTCGTGTGCACCTAATCAATTTACACGCAATATAATATAACGGTCGATCGATTCCCGTATAAAAATGTGTGTTATTTAAATATTATTTTGTACAGACTAGAAGAGAAATTTACATTTCACAATTAGTTTTCTACGAATTATAATATTATTACTTTCCTAGCCGTTTTCGCCCTTTTTATTATGAATATATTATTGTTGCATTATATAGAATAATAATAACTCACTCTTGTACCCCTTACTCTTGAAAGTATTAATATTATTTTGTCGAAAATGAAAATATTTTCGATATTGTTTTCGAAACGTTTATTCCATAAAATTAATTCATAATTATTAAACAATAACGAAGTAGATTTTGTTGATCCCTCAAAATTATTTATTAATAATTTTCAATTTTACAGGTAAGTTATTATTGAAATATTCAAATGGCAGGAATAAATTTTAATGAAAACTAATTAACTGTACTTTCATTCGCATCGCAGCTCTTTTTTATACCGATTTATCGTCGTTTCCAGTTCGTATAAAAATTAAATCTCTCTTATCCGTCGCGTTCATATTTCTAACCATTGTAGGTGGGTAAGTCACCGTTGTCAGTGTTTACGTTTATTTTTTTTTTTTTCAATATTAATATTTCCGTGTTTTATATACATGTAGTACTATCATATATTCATGTGGAATAATTATATGGAATATTAATTGTGATAATATATTACAACATCTGAAAACAGTGATAACGCGGCGTGGTGGATAGGCAAATGCGGTACTAACTTGCGTGCGTGTACAATGAAATCTTTTTTTTTTGTAGATTAATTATACTGATAAATACAATAATGTTTTAATCATTTAAATTTGCAGTAAAGTCGAGCATGACGGTTTTGGCGTTTTTGGTGTTCGTTAAAAAATAAATGATTTCATTAAAAATCGAATAGCTTTTTAATTTCAATGATAGATTGTGAGTGCTAGCTGTACTAGAGCCGCTAAATTGTATATCAAATATTCATATTATCATTATTATTATACAGTCGTCGTCGATAGAGAAACCTGACGTCTAGTGAAATTGAATTATTTCAATCAAATAATAATAATGGTTGTGCAAAATATGATATCTCATATAAATTGCATATATTATTTGTGATGATATTACATTATTATTTCTTAATGAGTTCATTTTTTTTTTTGTTATTTTAGATACACTTTAACCGAGATTATCGAACTAATTATAGTCTTACAAAAAACGTGGTTTACTTTTCTTTTTGTTATTATTATTATTATAAGTATTTATGTTCTTATTTGAAAATCTTTTTATTTATTTCTATTGGTAAAAAATACAAATTCAAATGCAAATTACTAGTTAATATTAGATTATTTAAGATTCTGAGTGTGTAGCGAAAGAGCTATTAAATTTATTAGTTTTACAAGTGTGATGCATTTTGTTCACTTAAAAGTTTTTTTCGATTGATAATAATATTCTATTTTATTTCACATAGTAATCTTAAAAGAAACGTAGTTATAAATTCCGAACAGTTTTTATGAAAAAGTAAAATTAAATGTCGTAAAATTTCGGGTTTTATTTGTGTTAATTTACTTACGTTAACCTGTTTACACAGTATAATAGTTGGTACTCGGGGACGGGTGCTGCCACTGTTATAGGTGATTAGTTGGGATGGTTGTATACATAAAATAATTAATTTTATACCTGTAACCAACGATAAACCATTGCTAACGAAAAGCGATTCGGAGCGATGACTGAAATAAATAATCGTATGGAATTAGACCATTTTCGATTCTTTAAGTCTAACATGCACATAACAGAATTAAATACGATTTTTAAGTATATTTAAAAAGTAATTGATGAAGTCACAGAAACACTGATAAGCATATTTGTATAAAATTGTTAAAGAAAAAGAGTAAATCTTTTGCGTAATGCACCTAGTATACACTGTTAATAATAATGCCGAGAAAAATAACTGCAGAAACAATGAACCAGAGCTCCGTATAGTTTTCTCTGTTATAATAATATATTAGCATTGTCATTTGTAAAGAAAAACGCCTTTGCCGTAGTCAGTGCCGCACACTCAGACACATTACGAGGGTTATTTGCATTAGGTTTTCTGATAAAATTGTTTATCGCCTTATCCGATGGTAGAATTTATATACTGTTGGTAAAGAGAAGCATGAATAGACGAAGAGAGAGGGGAAAGCCGATAAGGAAAAAAGTCCCATTTTCCCCTCCTAAAATAAAAAAAAAAAAAAAATGAAGGGATTATTTTCTTTTTCTACACTACGTATATACCATTTGCTCTTTCTGTTCTTTAATCATTTTTTCTCCGCTTTTCCGTCCACCAGAGCAGAAGAAAACGATACACTTGATAAATTATACTAACAACCAGCAGCAAGAATTTTAATCTTGATTGTAATATTACATTTTTTTTTTTTTTTTTTTTTTTCATTTTAGTACCTACTGAACGAATTACTTTATTTGCATATAAACGAACACGTTTTACTAAACAATATTATATTATAACTCTGTATAACGATATAATATAAATCATTTTTAATATTATTGTAACTGTCGTTGATAACCCGTTTTATATTTGCTTTTTGATGATATTTAAGACTTAACTTAGGATGATTTTTATATTTTCGCTGTTAAATAAAATTATTTCAATTAAATTTTGATATATTAACGTAGAATAATATATCATTGTTATTAATAATTTTGTTGTTTTTTTTTTTCATTCTGAATAAAATATAAAATGTATAGAAAAAGAGAATTTTTTTCTATATTATTAATACAATTTAATTCAGTCTTCCCGTTTATTTTTTTTTTTTTTTTGGTATACAAAATATTTTTGTTTTCTGTATACGCAAACAATTATTTATATTTTTTATAGTCGATTTTATTTTTTTATTTTTTAGTTCAGTATTTCAATTATGATCATAGATCACCATTCACTATACATATATATATTTATATGTATATTCATTTTTTTTCAAGAATGAGAGACAGTTTGATTTATATAACAATGTAGTTTTTACTAATTAACTATCGATTTTCAAAATATTTTATGGTTTTTTTTTTCTTCACAACCACGATTAGACTTTCAGCTATCCAATTTAAGTTTCTCCATCTTTCCCCGTAACAGTAATACATATATTTATTATTTTTGATCTCTTCCGTCAGAACTGAGCGTCTACCATAAGTTCTCCGGCTCTATTTTCATCCGTCTCTTAACTGGACTCCTGTAGTCTTCCTGTGCTACTCATCTCTACAACTCTTTGCTCGTTGCCCTGTTCAGCCCGTCATCCGTTCGCCATACGGACCCAGCCTATTATGCCTTTAATCGGACTTCATTTTCCCTTTTGTATATTTCGTTAACCCGCATGGAGTTCAATCTTGCTTTAAATGTTTGTGCTTTTATAAAATAAAATGATAATAATATTATTAGTTCGCCGTACTTAATATTTTAAATTACTAATACATATAATATAATAATAATAATGTTAACTACATGGAATGCAATTAGTCACAGTTGCAAAAACAGTATTAGTCTCTGTTTTTGTAAAGGTACCCGTTTTCTTTTGTTTTTAAAGAAATCTGTTTTTAATTTTGTTATTTTTGAATCCCTTGCCCTCGGACACGTAACAAAAAAATAAAACAATACAAAATCATAGCGACAAGGAACACGCCTCGGGGGAGTCGTTTTGAGATTTGTTTCATGCACGTTCTCTCATTATTTTTTCTTCAGCCCGTTTGAGCATTTATGATTGCAATGCATATAAAAATACTAATCAATAATAATAACAAAAATCGTAAATATCATAAAAGAAAACTCGTCTATATTCGTTTAACAAAATGATCTTACCGACACCAGCTATATAATATATATATATTGTATGCATGTTATGAATTGATGAGGTAAAATTATTATGTAGAACCTACTTGGGATAAAATAGGCCTAAATAATCCGTATTTATTCCGTGCTGACTGAATATAAACCAGATAGTATGAAAATGACTAACATAAGATTCGTTTTATCACGTTCAGATTATATTCCTTTGCCAAAATGTTTTCAACTTATTCATACTGCAGTTATTACTATACAAGTAGTTCAAAAATACAATACAACGATTAAATTAAAACTTGTTCGAAAATAAAACTAAATCCAAAGAGTAAGTTGATTAAATCTATATAATAAACAAAAAAAAAAAAAAGAATAATAATATTATACAAAACTAAGTTTATCAAAGAATATTATTACGAGATGACGAGTTATAAAGACTACTTTAAAATTTACTTAGGTAGGTAGTATTGCAATATTATTTTTTTTTGTTTTAAATTGAATATTATAAAAAATTGTTTAAACTATAGTACTTTTATTATACTTCAACAAATACATATTTATTCCGATGAACTTTAGACTATAATTAACTAATTGTGAAATTTGGTTTCTTTTTACTTTCCAACGAATGAAATATGATTAATATAATTGTGAGACGTAAGTTTCAGAATAAATTAAATAACACAATTATATTATCATATATTACATATAACTTAACATACAAAAGTCTTGGTAAAAACGTTTTTGTAAGTTTTATTAATTTTTCAAATGTACCTTTAAAAACCATACAAGTATTATATTATATTATTCGTCCTTTGTATAGTTCACTTAAAATGCCTAATTACCTCATTTCATGTTTATTCACTTAGTAATCGCTTTAGAATATAATATTCGTATGATGTAGGCATTGGTTTTATTGTTTTTTTTTTGTATAAATTGCTCAAGTATCAAGCCAAGGCATAATTTGTACATTTGTTTCTTATTGAACTATTGAACACACAACTTATGTATTTATATATTTTAATACTTTTTTTAGTTATTTTTAATTTTGAAACGTACTTTCTTTATTTTTGTTAGGTGTATTAAATTGAGTTTTATAAACATTTTTAGAAAAAAAAAAATTAAAAGAAAATGTGAAATAAAAATGAAAACTCGTTCCCGCCGAATAAAAGAAAAAAACCTGATACCTACCAGATTAGCGCACGTGAAATATAAAAGTTATAAAAAGGCATTTGAGTTTATAATGAATTATAATAATTAGTTTTATACATATATATATATATATATATATATATATTTATACGTAATATTTTTTAAGAAATTCTAGAATTATTACTAGAACTTTTATAATGTAGCTGTGCCTGTTATAGAATTATTACCTTTCATGTATACTATTGTGCTCGTTTACTACTCTACCCTTTTATGTAAAGAGGAACGGAGAGGTAATTTTTTTCTTCTGAAAATTCAACTTTGCCAAAAGAAAGAATCTATTATTGTTTTACAAAACGCACGTCAACTTAACGGTAAAATGCATTTCACTTTGCAATATTCACCTAAGAATATTTCAATTTTATATTTAGGGGTGCTTCCAAGAGAGAGTTCTGAGTTCTGATTTCTGGAACTATAAACGGCTGGAAAATCGATAGCATTTTCTCATTTTAAAAACTTAATTACAGATTCTAAATAAATTATTATACAAATTAAATCTAATATAGGCAAATAAAAATAAATGTTAAACTAATTCGGTTCTATGAAAAATATGTTATTTCATTATTTATATAAACTCGTGTTTGTGTGCACACTTCTTTCGATAATAGAATGAATACCCATTGCATAGATTCGAAATAAGACATTTTTTTTTTTTTTTAAATCTATTTACATACAAATTCGAATCAAACGCAATTTTCTTCAGTATAGTATGTACCAACACAATACTTGCAGACTATGAATATTATAGTATACCATATTATCAGAACTCGGCTGTATCGACCTTTTTCACGTATATTATCGTTCAATGTTATTTAATAAAGGTAGTAGAAGTTTGACGAAAGATTTAGATATTTTCAGAGTTTGAGCGAATTATTTAACTGTATTAGTATTACTTCAACGTTTGTTTTTTTTTGTTCTGTCTGTGATCAAGATTTTAACTAGGAGTCTTGCTTTAATTATCAACTCTGAAGTTATTTTCTAAAAGAAAATTTTTTCTAGTTACGACATTAAACGGGCCTTTTTTTTTTCTTGTAGTTATCTTAATACTTGGGAAAACGTTTGGAAAATAGGTATATGTGTTGTTTAATTTCTGTTGATTTCTGGGTTTTCTTGACAACGAGTGGAAAAAAACAATATTATTCCTCTCAGAATTTGTTTTTCATTTGTAATAATTTCTCGGTGTGTACAGTTTGTTACAAACTAAATTACCTTCCCAATTGCTCATATGCAACCGTTTTGAAAAAAAAACCAACTGTGATAACAATATACAATATCAACTTGTTTAACATTTGTTTAAAATGAAATTTGATATGGGAGCAAAAGTTTGTTGTTGCCATCTTATCGACCATGTACATTACTTTCCGAATTGAACGTTAATTTTAATTGCATCTTAGCTGACGCGCCAGTACTAACGATTTTCCTTCGTCTTCTACCCTAGACATTTTTGAGCTTCATTTAGTTTTCCTTACGAGCACCACTAAAAGAATAAACACTTTTATACTCATTATGTAAATAATCAATTTTATTTTTGTTTGATACTTACAGTGTTTGGCTTTTTTTTTTGTCTGTGTGTAATTGCTCGAAAAAAATCTTATCATAATAATATATACGTTAAAGTTAACACTAATTAAATTAAATTTACACTAACATTAACATTATAGTCATAATAAATGACAGCGTTATTATTTTTTCTAATCGCGAATTTGACATATTATTGATGATGCGAATAACGCGCATACAGATAAATAACTAATTATATCTAATATAATTTTTACTTGATATAGAATGTAATTTTGAAATAATTGTGTGTCAATGAATTTTTTATTATAATTGGATCAGGTTTTTTTTTCTGGGGTACAAAATCAGCTTCAGAAATTATCCCGTCAAATATCCAGGTTAAATATGTAGTATCCGATAGCGATGTAGACAAAATTTCCCAATGATTACGAAGGAAAAAAAATTAAATCGAAATTGCATGTTTGTTTGTTCACATTAATTTTCTATTAGATTGTAATACTACATACATATACACTATAAATTAATATAAACATGAAATACTTATGGTAACAAATATTTACCCACTACATTGCTGCTATCTGATGTCTGTGCTTTCCAATCTACTTTACGAATTTCCAAATTGTGCTCAGATCTTCTCCCTTTCCAGTACGAAGTAATGAATTTTGGCTTCTCCGTAATTTTATTGTAATTTCTTATATCCGATGACTTTTTCGATATTCGGTTTCTGGTGATACTAGTTTTTCGTACTTTCTTTTAATCAGTTTATCACTATTTGTATGGTTTACATTTTGTCATTAGTTTATATCTATGTTGATGTGAATTTTCGTTTGTGCATTTATTAAATGTTTGTTTTATATTTTGAACGGATCGTGAAAGTTTTATTAGGTTTTTTTATGTTAGACATGTTTCTCCCCCCCCCCCTTCCATTGAAAAAATTTTAGGTTAGTATAAATAATAAAATACTTGTATATCATGCGTATATTGTTAAAGTATACGGGTTCCCCATCCAGTGTTACTAGGAATTCTCTTTTTAGATTTTTAACAGATTGTCCAAAAAATCAGTATTAGAATATGATGAAAAATGACGGTACTGATGTTCCGAGACAAATTTTGCGTTAGAATGCCAGAGATGATTTAAAATTTTGAATTGTCATGCGTATTTACGAGTGACATGTTTTTTTGTTTAAAACCATTATATTTGCAATTTATTCAAAATTCAATAAATGAGGACCTGCAACATTATTCGTGTGTCTCGCCAAATATTTGATTTAGAATTCGAGCGAATATGTTTATACTGTGCGACAACGGTCATTTAATAATACTGGAACAACAATTATTTTCCTATAATATATACCGTTCGATATTATTCCGAACAATAATTTTGCCAAATTCTATACATAACGACATTATTAATTGTGATGGGTTTACGGATATGTATAGATCCGTCGCAGCTGCTGTTTGATGTGCTATCAATTTAACCAATTCCTATGAAAATAATAAATAACTGTGCAATTGATAAATTATTAATTTTAATGTAAACTCATTATCATATTGCGTATGATTTCTGTACTGAAATATTATAAAGACACGCGAATTATTTTACACGTTTATTTATTATACATTATATTATTATACGAAACAATATTTTGTTTGGCGGTCTTTTGATATTGCGTATGCCCCCTTGCCTTTTTTTTTCGACTTATCTGTTATTATTAATTGTTAAAAAATGAAAATTGACATTTTTGTGTGTGTGGGCGACGGTGGTAGCCTCTATTGTCTAAGACGTTCGGTATAATATAATATTATGAGTAAGGTGAGGACAAATTACATGAGATAGAAAGTTTTGGGTTAAATGTTCGTAAAACTAGGGTTCCGCTGTCAGAAAATAGCCGAGACGTCATCAATAAATTTCAGCCGCACATAACACCATCAATCACCTACCCCCCTGGAAAACCAGACGTGACCAGAAAATCTGCCGCCCTCTCTGCGCCCGCAAGGAGGAAAAGAGAGCAAGGGGAGGGGAAAAGAAAGGTTGGTTTGCGGGTAGGATAGGGAAAAAAAAAACTGAAGACGAAGGTTGTACGCCGCGTACGGTATAAGAAAAGTGTGCACGAAGAAGGCCTTGCTGCAAACGACAGAACTGTACGCCGCTGATGAATCGTTACGACTGCTCGTGTTGACTTGTCGTCAAATATAACAAATAAGTGTAGGAATTAGCAATATCGGTTTGAACGCTGTTGCAGCACAACGTCCGCCGGGTGTATAAAAACGAAAAATTTGTCCGATTTGACCATGAAATCGTACATTCGTAAAATTAAACAATATCGATTTATGTCAAACATAATTGCTCACCGAGTTGACGCGTGAACACGTGGGTTTAATTCGATATTTTTTAAAAATTAACCGTCATACCTAATAGAATTGCAATATTCTCAGTTTGTATACTCACCGATGACGAGCACCGAGAGTGTACGATTAATCGATTACTTTTAAATTTTCCCACAAAATTAAATACGTCATTTTCGTAATTATTTACTGTGATATTATTGTTTCTGTGTTTTACATCGTGGATTATTGTGTTTTCAGGACAATTGCCAAAATTACATCAGAGTGCTGGCAAAAATGTCGGGTGGCCGTCTTCTCGTATGCGGTACGAATTCGTACAAACCTCTGTGTCGGGAATACGCTATTGAGGTACGGTTCGCTCGTCTGATAATAATATATTAGCATACCTATAACCATTAAAGTAACAATGTATAGTAAAAAAAACATAAAAAAAACTCATCGTAAACGTTTATATATTGTTTTTAGCCCGGCAACTATGTGTTAAACAAAGAGAGTCCTGGCCAAGCGGTGTGTCCGTACGATCCAAAACACAATAGTACTTACGCGTATGTCGGTAAGTGTTTTCAAAAAACGATTATACTTCGAGGATCAAACGCGTGAAATTCTCACGTTTTTGTCGTTTTTATTCGTATATCTGTATACGTTCTAACGTATTTTTTAACCCGAAAATATAGTAACAATCATGGCTGGAATTTCGGTGCTAATGTTTTTTATTTTTCTGGCGTTTTGATATAGAAATAACTTCGTATCACGTTAAATATTCCGTACTCAAAATATTTTTCTACGCGTTTAAGACATTTTAGATTCTGAACGTAAGCAAAAAATACATTGGCTTCATTATAACAAGTGTTTAATTTTCGTTTTTAAAAAACTTAGGAAATACGAGCAATGATGACGAATCGAAGAATAAAAAAAAATTTTGGTTGAGATTTCATTGCTAATGTTTTAGTTGGTATATATTGAAAAATGGAATATATAACGTATTGTTTTTTTTTAAATTTTTCGACAGGTTTAATAAAATTTTTTATATTTTCAGGACGTTGTTTTAGACCATTTTTCGTAGTTTTAATTTTATTCATTTCTTTTTACATTTTTTTTATTTTTTGCTTATCAAAACACAAATACGTTTATAATATTTTTAATTTGTATTTACGTCATTTTATTTATTTATCCTAACAATATTAAAGAGGGCGCATAAAGAGAGTTGTTTCTATACATTTAATATGGAATTGTACTTTTTTGTTATTCAAGTCTATTCAATTCCCGAAGTGTTTTGTTCCCTCCTCGTTTCGTATTACACGCAAACAATAACAATTATTGTTTTCCTTTTAAATAATAAAAACGACCGAGATCCGATGTTAAGGAATTAAAACAAAATATTGTCGTGTTTTATTAAATAATAATTGTAATTTTTTCTACCGAAATAGATATACGCTGCCGATATTACAAATTAACAACATTACTGAGAGTTTAAAATATACACGTATAGAATATCATTAATTTTTTTTTTCAAATTATTTTTATATTCTCTTAAAGGCATAAATAATAATTGTGTACACTTAGGTACCTATACTTTTTTGTTTTTACAACTTTATATAGTTTCGCATTTGGTTGTACGTTTGTTTTGTTATTTTTTTTTTGCAGATGGAAATTTATTTTCCGCCACGGTGGCCGATTTTTCCAGTATGGACCCGATAATTTACAAAGAACAACTACAGACGGAACAATATGATTCGCTGAGCCTGAATGGTAAAATCGATATTCCGCTTTCTTTTACTCTCATTAAAAAAAAAAAAAAAATGTATATAATGTATAAGTATATATTTCGTTTATAATATATACAGATATACCTATACATATTTATATTATTTATTATTTTATATTTATACAATATATATATATATATATCTATTGTATACAATAAATGCGCGTGCTTGTGTTTGTACCGTATACATTCAAGTGTCGAACAAATAACAAGGACGCAGTATCTCTTAATTTCGTACGACACTGACAAATTGTCTTTTTTTTTTTTTTTCTGTTTTTATTTTTTTCCAGCTCCGCATTTCGTACATTCCTTCGCCCATGGCGATTTCGTCTACTTCTTCTTCAGAGAAACGGCTGTCGAATATATAAACTGCGGAAAAGTGAGTTATTACTATCTTTCTCTCTCTCTCTCTCATTCTCTCTCTCTCTCTCATTCTCTCTCTCTCTCTATATATATATATATTTCTCCCTTTTCCATACATTAAGTCTAAACGCGTTGAATCCCGGTAATACTGACCCATGAAATGGCATTTTTCCCCCCCCGCGCCGAAGTCGATTCGATTTTCATGACAAATTACGTCGAACACACGTGCCAGATGTTTATCAACTTTATGCCGGAGTTACCGCCGCCTCCGCGCTATTCCGATCACTATATACGCGATATTATATTATACGAGAACAATACACGCGCTTATGGAAGCTTATTGCACGGACGGCTCGCGTATATTATAGAAAAATCTCCGAGATTTTACACCGGGGCATATACCTATTTACGCGTAATTGCGTGCCTACGTACACCTACCCGCCCGCACGTGTTCGTAGATTCGTTCGTTCGGCGTGCGCAATCATCGTCTCGCGTAATAATATACGTATACGCATTTAGTTTAACGGCCGCGCTCTCAGTGGTCTTTATTTTTTGTAGATTTTGAACTCGGAATATATTGGTTTTCCAATGATGTGCGCTTATTTTCGGCGCCCGTTAAAAACGTTTCCTCCGGTAATCTCGCCCCAATCGAACAATAACAAGAGAGCGTTTTTTTTTTCCGTAGAATTTAAGAATTTTAGATCTAGTTCGTGAATATTAAGAAAGTCATCATTTCGTTTTTCCGGTAGTTTTCATAATGGTTGAGAAAAACCGTATACATGTACGTAGAAACGAATTTCATTGTTTTCGATTTTTTCGATCGTTTTTACCGTAAATTTTATACAGATTTTAAAGTGCTACATCATTTTTGGAAAAAAAAAACAAAATTCCTTTAGTATGCTTTAAATTTTTTTAATAATTGGGAAAACCCGGGTAAAAACGTATTAAAATGTACGACAATAATTGTTTTATTATTTTAGATCTTGTTTTTTTTTATATGCATTCCTTTAAAATTGTCATAGAGACATGAAGTGTTCACAGAATACTTAAATTGGTCTTTTCTAGATATAGATCAATTTTTATATCATTCTAGTAATTTACGAGCCATTTATAGGTATTTTACATTGTTAAGTTTACAATTTTTATTTTGAATACAATTATATTTACCAAACAGAAATGTTTGAAAATTTTACATGACGTTCATCAGGTAAGTTATTATGTAGTAGTAGTTCTTTTTTATGAGCATTTCCAGTTCGAATTATGTATACTATAATATTATACTACCACGGTATTGTAAAAGATAATTTAATAAGAAAACATTATGTAATATGCTGCGGGGAGTTTGTGCTTGAAGTCATGGAAAATTACTATAGCGAATTTTGAATTCAGTTTAGATGTTTTAAAACGGGCGAATTGGCACTTTATCCTGGGCGTTTTCACGCAAACACGATTTCGTCGTAAATTCTGCAAAGGGTATGAGTAATTGACCGAGTGGAGTAGGCATATAGCGATGAGTGACTCAATGAATCAGTCTTCCGGAGGCTATGCGTCATATAATAACGTACCGATTTACCGAGGAATGAAATTCGATGTTTGCATTATCGTACAGAAAGAATCACATTTGTGGACATGCGATTTCTTTTTTGATTTTTCGTGTTTATCGCAACGAAACGTTGCTAATATTACTCTTATGCCTATTCGCAAATAACTACCAATATTATAAAAAACGATCAATAATTTGAAATTAATAAGCATAATATAATATTATTCAATAATTTACGTTTACCGCTCAAAGTACCCTAAAGAAAAACAAAAAAAAAAAAAATAAGAAAAAAAAAAACTTTCAACGTAATTCGGGTCAATGCAGTATTGGGGGTACGCCTGCTATTAGACGAGCATTTAAGATGAAGCGTGTTGTCACTTTAAATTTGAAAACGACGATGATAGATTGCGTCGTCGTGGAAAAAACGGGCCTAAACCGAGTTATTGATAACTTGCGTGTTAAAACTTTAGAAGAAATACAGAAAAATCTGAAAATTTCAGCGCACATTCCATCCAAACATGATGGAATACTTGAATTAAATATTATATATGTACCCGTGTACATTAAAACCTACGGAAGTACATATTTATATTTAATAAAATTAAATAATTTTTCAGAGTTTGAGTGGTGAGTGTAGCGAAAGTCCATTCGTATTATTGTTACTAAAATGTTTGTAATTTTTTTCTGTCGGGAATCACTTTTTTCGGATTTTTTGATGTCACGCATTAAAAGATATACATTTCTCGACTGGTGGTTTTTATTTGTAAAATTCATCGATAATCGACGTGTTCACCCTTAAAGTTCCTTTTTTTTTTCTTTTTTTTAGTTATTGTTGATTTTTGAGTTACCCAGTTGGTGATAAGAGAAAAATCGCGGCGTCACTTACTACCCAGTTCAGAATTAATTTTTCGTTCAAAATGATTTGTATATTTGTTTATAATTTGCATACAGCAGTAGCGGATTTACGGAGGGGATCCAGGAGATCTGTATCCACCGAGACACCGATGAAATTCCAATAAAACGTTCAAAAAGAGGCATTTATTAGTACAGAGATGCCTTTTACCAAAATATATATAATTTATCAGGACACCTCTCAGAAAAATGGTAAAAATCCGCTAATGGCATGTAGTACATATAAACCAAACTATAAACATAAACATGTGCATTCGCTATTTTTTCAACTTCTCATCAACGACAGTAGTTCACTACGTCCATGAATGGTATATACTTTTAGATTCAATAGACTTTCATCGGTTTCATACTTTTTTAAATTTTTTTACCGAAATCTTATTCCAATTTTCAAGTGTATTATCTTTTCTGAAAGGAAATTTTATTTAGGTTTTTATTATTCATTTTTTAAGCGGTTTTCATAATAATTGTGAAAAAACAGAAAGAGATGTAGGAAAAACTGGAAAAATAATTTTAAATTTTGTTTTTTTTTTCCTTTTATGGACATTTAAATTTTCTGAATTTATCACGTAATTTTTATTCGGTAGGTAGTACCTGTGGGTAAAATTGTTAGACCAAACGTAAATGGTTGAAAATTAAACAGGAGATTTACCATAAGTCGTACTTTGCGATCAGAAAACAAAAATTAGTACAAAGCAGATTTATTTTTTATAATAATTTTAATATCAAATTTTGACGAAAATCGTAAATATTACATGTTTTGAAAACATTTATAACCGAATTCCGCCCAAAATCGTTTTTCTTTGACAATGGGTAATCGTTGCGTACAGATACACATACGATTCCTCTCGGTATCCTACCCATCGTGCGATGTATATATGTATGCCCGTTTTTTTTTTCGTTTATAATTTTAACGATATATAACTATTATTATTGGGTTTTGTTTTTATTTATTGATCCGAACAAAAAAAAAAAAAAAAAAACAACACCCCGTTGTATATTTTATTATACTAGCTAACGCACTATTTGGCGTTTCGATTTTTCGAAAAAACCAAAACGCACGCCATATAATCAATACGTTACGAATAAACAAACGCAACGCCGAAAAACCGACTATTTAATTATTATTTAACGGTACCACACGTTTTCACATCGGTTCGCGGTATTCGTTCGGTTCGGCTTTATTTCGGTACGGACCCGGAATAATAATAATAATAATAATATTATACTAAACCAATAATATCGTCGAACCCTAACGTTTAAACTTAATTCGGCATAAACATGTTATTATTATTGTTACTATTATTATTACTGTTACTCCCGTATAACGTTGATATCCGGATGCAGGTTTTTCTCTTCCTCGGCGTTTCGGCCCGGCGTAGAATATTATTATTTCGGTTCCGTCGCGAACCGCCATTTTGTTTGTTGCGAACACAGTACTATACGTACAATATACGTTATGCGTTTTCCGTACAAATAAATCTCGTCGCCCCGCGACGTTTTATCGTTTGGCGTTTTTCCCCCGTATTTTCCCCTCATTTCCCCCGCGTGTTTAATGAGAATCCGCTATTTAATCCGCTAAAATTCGTTAAAATATACGACCGCGCGATATTGTTTAATCGACATTTTTTTTTTTTTTGTCACTTCATTATGTTGTCGCGTCCAAACTTATCAATTCAGTGTAAGCACATTACGAATCATAATGCTCACACGCAAATAATGCCACCTCCGGGACTACAAACGTGTATTAGAATAGTAAAACTGCAGCGGCTCTCTTTCATATATGTTTAATATGCAGTTTATAAACAATATTATATACACTGCGTAGTACCGTTTCTTTTGAAGTTTATAACGAGTTTTTTCTCGGTCGAATACATTTCGTTTTTAAACACTATTCGAATTTAAGTTTATCATTATCAAGTATTCTCGCCCCCCCCCCCTCTTCTCTCTCATCACCGCCGTACTCGCTTTGTCACGGTTTTCTCCGTACAACTGTTTATGACGATTCTTACTCTCCGGATTATTACAAACGCACATATTAACGCACGTTTAACTGCCACTTCGTCGGCTGAGAATATATAATAATAATAATTTTAATCGAAATTAAATTCTGTTATAAACCGCGGTTACCACACTGCGCTCCTACATAATATTTACGTATTTACCGCGTGTAGCGTGACTCTTTTACTTGATTTGCGAGAAACTCGCGTATTGTATACGTGAATCGTTTGTAGCCGTGTTTGCAGTAAAAAAGAAACTGTTTTGTTCCTTTATGATACGATTCGCACTTAATAATTGTATAGCGCGTACCCTATTATATTTCCTCCCGGAAATTATAATTTGTTTATTCATTTTTAAAACTAGGTATTAACAAATATCATATATTACATAACAAAACGTGTTCGTCTATGGTTAGACGACCTCATTTTCTCCCTCTTCCTCCTCTATAGGGCTTATTTTATATCAAAGATAAAATGTTTAATTAATCACTACAGCCGATTTAATGGTTGTTACCGATAATATTATGTACGACGGTATGTCCGATCATTTTTCACGCGAAATACGAGCAATGGGTGTGTACGTCGTCTGGTCGAATATGCAGTTGTGGGCGGAATGCATTTTATAATTAATGGGACCGCGCAAAGTTTTTAACATGGAAATAGCCTGCAATTATTATTTGACGTTTTCGCCTTGTCCGAGATACAAATTTATATCAAAGTCGCCATAGCGTAATGCCCCGTATTTTATTTTTAATAATCATTTTGAAATGTTAAACCATTAAAAAAAAGACGAAAAATAGTATATTATTTTGTAGTTAAAAAAAAAAAAAAAAAAAAAGATAAATACAATTACCTACCAATTAACATTTGAAATTAGTTCAATATTGTAAATTCGTAGCGATTTTCTTCTTCCTAGCAATTAGCATATCACAACACTTCGAGAGATTTTTGCCGCAACCGACAATGCCAGTTCACTTCACCAGTTTCTGCAGGTCTTGTGTTACTCTTACGGCATCAGTCTACAATTTCTTTATACGCTTTGTACGGGCTTTTAGATTTATTAATTTGGGTCTTCTCGAAACATGTCAAAATCGTTGGTTTTTATGTGCCTTCACAAAAAATATTATTTTCGGTACTTCTGTAATTTACCAGATTTTATTTTGTTTTTCTTCCTAAGATTTTTCTTTCGTTTTCTAGCCTTAGATAATTTTTAGTAATTTGTTTTTAAACGACATTATTTAAAAAAATCTTTATTTACTAAGTTAAAATCTTAAAACAATTGTATAAAAGTGCACATTAGTTCTTCTTAAGAATAGTTTCGATTGGCCGTACATAGTATATGCACACAATGCATTTAAATATGCGGTTCAAATAATTCAGTAAACCGATGGATTCAATGACTGTACAGATAGTGTTGACTTTTTCAAATTTTTCTCCTTGAACCGCTAAATTAACGGAATTATTATTATTTGGTAATAATACCAAACTATTCGTTTTGTTTTAATCTACAATCGGACTTTTGGATTTAGCTTGTGACAGTCAATGCGTTTTGGATTATACTTCCTTTATCGTTACTGATGATTATAACACTCAGGTCATCTGTAAACCCTTTTGTATCAATTTTGCTTGTTCTGCACTCAATACTATTACAAACTCTTGGCACACTTGATATAATTTTCTCCAGTGCGGTGTTAAATAACGGTGGTGGAAGACGGCATCTAGTTACTACTACTTGGAATTCATCTGATAACGTATTGTCAGCTCTCGCATGGTATTTGGAACCTCTTATACACATAGTTTTGTCAAAGAAATGAGCTCACTACGGGAAAATCAATTTCATTTATTATAATGTCGTATTCATTATCTGCCTTTTAGTTTAATGTAATTGAAATTAAATTTAAATAGAATTGTAAAATTACTATACGTTTTCATCAAGTATATCATTTATTGAAAATTCCGGCGATTCGACAATACTCTCCGGCCATATAAATTCATAAATCGGTCCGTGATCAGGTCTATCTCTAATCAGGAATCATTATAAATCAACTCCGTTGTGGTTATCGGAGTTGTTTTACACGATCGCGAGTGTCTTAAAAGGCCGAGAAAATGACTTTAGGTACGCCATCTCGCAAGCGATATATATTTGAGTAAAAGTAAATTGACGAATTCGAATGTTATTATCGGGGTTTCCGAAGCAGTTAAACGTTGGAATTAACGCGTTTAATCTTATTATTCTATTGTACTTTATATTAATGTTGTAACAGAACGTTGCAGTTTTCGTCGTCTTTATAATTGTTCTTAAAATAATTGTGTAAAGAAAGTTTCTCGTAAGTATAATAATAATAATATTATAATTCGATACAATAACGATATTCTACATAAACCGTTTTAATCAATTTAACTCGAGACGCGGAAAATTTATACTAATTATAATACGTTACATAAAATCTGCGATATTGATGATGTTGTATTAGATATGAAACGAAATTTCTTAAAAAAACCGCTCGTGTATCATACGTAAAACGTAATTGATCCCGATAAATCAAAAACTCCGTAGTAAGACGCTCAACATCTCGGAAAGTGTTAATTTTCGATGGAACTGTACGAAAGAAGTATTAACGTTATTGTTTTTTTTTTCACTTTTACTTTCGGGAACGAAACCATTGTATCTGTTTTTGAATTATAAAGAGCAATTTATATTAAAAAATCCAAAAACAGACTGAGTTCAAATACATTTCGGTGTTGACGTATTTTGTTTCCTCCGGCAACCCGTTTACGAGACATTCCACTTTTGAATTCTGCTGTGGGAAGGTAGGGGAGCCATACAATCAAATTCCGTGCATCCGTCACCGTACAAATGATGCTCAACTACTCTACCCCTAACGAAACTTAAAAACGGTCGAGATAAAAAAAAATCTCGACAGTGGGTGGGTTCGATGGGAATTAAAAGTTTAAACGCCGTATACGATGTTGACTAATACAGATAATCTGTTGATGGAATTTTTAATATACATTTCTATATAAAAATCATAAGTAGGTATATTGGTTTTACTCCCGAAAACAAGGGCGACGAAAAACCAATGCAAATGTAACATTTTATGGCCGCGTGCAATAAAAATTGTCCGAAGGAGCAAATTGCGATAAAAAATTTAATACTCTCCGCGACACTCTGCGGTGTCTTTACTACGTCATATTGATCACACTATGTGTGTTGCGAAATATTTTCCCTTCGGTGGTTGGGCGCGGTGTTTCCCGAACAAGATTTTATGCCTATAGCATGCACAGTGTGCACACCATAATACAAATTATTATTCGCGTAAATATTTTTCGATCTAAACGCGCGTATGCATTTTTATCGTAAGCTAATACTCTGTCGTCTGTTTCGTATCGACGTGTCAAAATAATATTGTGCAATATGCGATTTAGTGCCGCGTGAGATTATTCCCGCAGAAACTGCGATATCACGGTGGGTACACGCTATATAATAACATTGTGTTTACCTATTTCCGAATATTTATGTTATCAGATTCGCCTCGAAATGGAAAAATCAATATTTTAACAACAACCCGGTTGTGCGTGCGCGCGCGCGCGCGCGCGTGTGTGTGTGTGTGTGTGTGTGTCTAACAAATAATAATTATACCGCATAATACGTGTTAGGTTACCTAACTCTGGCGATATTAAAGACCGGATATTCTCGCGCATTTGCATCTTTTTCGTATTGCGTGTTCCGTATCAAGTCAGAAAAAAAAAAAAAAAAAAAAAAAAAAAAAAATGTTATAAATCCGAATCAAGTGAATAAGATTTATGTTGCGCGAAATTGCACGTTTTTCGGAGTTTCGCTATTAAAATACGCAATTTAAATTACGTTTCATCAAAATGCACGTGCTTTTATTTTGTTTACAAATATTTGTTTCACTCTATAATATATCATCTTTGTTGTTATTCCTGCGCGTATTTCACGTGTAGGTTTGTAATTTATTTATTTTTATTTTTGCGTTTTCAAAATATAACATTTTAACACGCCGACCCGGAGTAGACTTGACGTAATTAGATTTCTTAAAGGAGAGAAAACGCCGCCGCCGCCGCGAACGCAACGACATTAATACGAAATAAATATTTACAGTAACGGAAATGGAATTTTCCCCCGCGCCGAACCGCGAATTGTCCGCTTAATTCCTGTATAAGTGTAATAACACACCAAACGCGAATGTTCGTTTCGCGCGTTTCGGTATTTTGTACGTACTTCTGGCGCGAATTCGCTGCACGAAATCCCGATATATTATCGTATAATTATTATTACTGTCGGAAAATATTACACGACCGTGGGTGCGTACTATCCATTATTGTTATCCGTACGCCAATGTGTACGACGAAATACGATATAACGAAAAACTAAATTGTTTTATACGATTTAACCGAACAGTTTATCGGATGGTTCGGATGTCGTTCGGGGCCCCATAACTCGCGGCCAAACGCGGCAATAAACCGTCGCCGTCCGTATGGGGTCCCGGGTAAAATGGCAAAACGCGAAATTAATAATTATCGCGGCGGTACTACGCGTGCCCGCGCAATTTTACACACCGCGCATAAAAAATATAATATTCAGGTACGCAAAATGATTCCGCGCGCGGAAAAATTCGGAATAAATAAATAAATAATAATAATAAAAACAATAATTCATTCTCTATCCGCGAGGCGCAAGAGTGTATAAGATAGACGTGTTACGTGGACACGCCTGTCTCGTATATAAATTAAAACGTTTGAAATTCCTTTTCGCGCGCTTTTCGTCATATACTCGGAATAGTTCACCCGTCGAGGTTTTAAAGAGAAAAAGACCGGCCGCACTACGAAATATTATTATACCGTATAATTTATACACGTCCTTCATTACTAGGCGTGTACAAAATGTCGGTACTTATAGACGTTTTTTTTTGGGGGGGGTATTGTTTAAAATCCGAACGGAACGGCGACGAAATCGCGTCGGTTTACTTTATGACTGTCGATTTGTTTTTTTATTGTGTCTGTAAACCCTGGCGCCTCTTCGACCGGAAACCTTTCACCGATCACCGACATCAGATGCGTTCTCCGGTGGAAAACGATGTCCAGGAAGTCTCGCGGATCGGGTCGTTTTTCGGTGTCTATTTTTTTTTTTAATAATTGAAAGCGTGGAAAACGGAAATACTAATTCAAGCGATATGATAATAATTTAGATTTGTTTTGTTTGTATTCAGTGAAAAACAGGAGCCACATGATTTATTTTCAAAATTTTTGTTTTTTCTCAATGCACCGGATTTTTCCCGAAATTACTAGAGACTGTTACACTGTGTGCGTGTGTTTTGTCCATTTCGTTTATCTATTATTTCCTTTTCATTCCCTTTGGACACATTTAACGGTTTCCACCGGACTCAATGTGCTCAAACTAGGGAAATAGAGTTGTCTTATAGGCGGGTCGAAGTGATAAAAATGCAAGTTGGAATTCAATATGAATTTCGCGGTCTTTTTTTGTTTAACTTTAAACTCTCCTACAGATCTCTCTCCCTCCCCTAAAACAAAATCAGGAACACGACATTTAGTAAATGCACGGTGTCACTTCGAGGTTTCTTGACGGTTACCGTTTTCGCGTTCAATATTTTTCATTACTTTTCGGGAGTCGTTGTATTGTTATTTTCTTTGGCGGGTGTATACCTAATATGTTTCATTTTTATGTTGCGTAACAAAAGAACAGTAAAGTTTTAATATAAACAGCATGTATTTCTATTTTTTTTTCCCTCCCCCCTCTCAAATATCCGTTCGATAATAATATAATAACCAATAATGTATTGTAACGGCGATAGTATATTACATAAAACTGCGAATAACCGTGTACAATATTCATATTAATGTCTCGCGTTCTCGCAGTTATTTATAGCTCGATCTCTCTCTCTCTCTCTCTCCCTCTCTCTCTCTATGTATTATACACGGTAGGTACCTATACGAATATACGCGGACGGATGTATGTATATATATATATATATATATGCAATATACGTTATTATAACGATAAAAGAAAAAAAGACTAGGTACATAAATCTTCGGTATAACTTTACAATAAAAACCGTAAAAATTCGTATCTTTCCCCGAAATTAAATTATAACCATAGGTAGGTGTGTGTATTGCGTATTGTGTATTTACTGCGCTATTTAAGTAAATGTTTTATCGGAAAATCGTTGTGTATACTATAAATATTTTAGTTGTATATCTGTGCAACGTAAACATTTTATACCGGATAAACGTTGTTAATTATTATTGTAGCCGACTATGAAAATGATTTAGAAGAAAAGTTTTTGCTATAAAAATATTACCGAAATTAAAAGACTTTCGATAAATTATCGTCGATTAAATTCACGTTACAATAGTGTATGATAACACGCCACTCCCCCTCTCCTTCCTCGGCGTCATGATTCTATATTGAACTTATATGTTTTGCATATTTTATAATTGTAGCTACATAATTCGATTTCGTCTCGTAATATTTTTAAGATTCGGAGGGATGAAGCAACAAATACTTTTTTCGGTTTACAAGTTTCCAAAATCGGCTTTATTTGGGTAATCGAAACCATACATTTAATAATTGTTTATTTTGTTTTTGTTTCTTTTAAAAAAATATTCGTGCATTTCGGTGTTGCACTAATATCCAGTTTATTTGTTAATTATATTTGTTACGATAATATAATCTCGGATTTCATAATACGTTTTGTCTTCTTGTTTTTATATTACTAAAGGTCTCATTTGAAAATTACGGTCCTTCTTGATTGTAATCATGTATAGGTGGATAAAGTGTGTATTATTTCAACAGAAGCTAGAAATCAGTAGTTAATTACTTTCCTCGTTAAAAAAAAAAAAAAAATCTTTAAAAATTATATGCTTTAATATTGTAGATACAATTAAAAAGAAACAAAATGATTTATGGTTTTAAATTCATTTATAATATATTTATAGATGTAACTGGATGTATACAAGAAAGTATACATTTCTAATTTACGAACAAATACATCGAAAAGTCCTAATAATTCCGAAATAGTTCGTATAGTATGTAATATAATATATTCCGAACAGTTATCGTTTGAATGTTTCAAAACTTATTGATATTATTTCAATAATAACGAAATAACGCTCAAACAGTTTGTGAAAGTAAAGGATTTTTCGTTGAAATTTTAACGCCGAACACTTATTAAACCGAATTTCGATTTACCGATCGAATTTCCGTTTTATTTTTGTTTAACCAGAAATAATATTGAATTACCACAATTTACAACAACGGCTACATGTAACGTCGTGCCTATCGAATTGCCTATGCCCTTAATTTGTCTTTAAACACAAATATATTGCGATATCATTTTTTTTTTTTTTCGAAATTTTAAATAGTTATAAGATATCCCGTAATTCATCAAATTATAACGGAAAAAAGAAATACCCAATCGCAAATAACGGAAATCGTTTAAGATACCGCGTAAATATTCGTATTCGTGTTTTCCGATTACGTCTACAAGGGAGATCTAAAACCGCTCACGTATACACCAACGTTATAGGCACAATTCACTACCAGAATCCACTCTGGAAGCCGAAAATTGGACCAAGACCTCCGGTGGAAAACTTGTTCGTCGTAGACAGAAAAATAACCGCACACGTCAGTATAAAACCAATTTTCATTTCTCGTTCCGCCCAGAATTCAAAACGATCGAACAGTGTAGTATAAATATATCTGAGTAAACATAATAAGCCGAAATGTACATTGTGGCTAAGTAGATACGTATATACACAGTGGATATTCAAATTATTATTCATCCTGCGTCCGTGCGTTATATATTGGATTATAAAACGTAGTATGTTAGATATCATTCTTTTTTTATTTTTTTTTTTATTTTTCTTATGTTACGTAGCTATTGTATAGGTTGTGATCTAACCTATATCGTGTTCTAAACGAATATTTTCAAATTTAAAGTGGCAAGAAGGTTACTCGTGTGCGTTCTGTAACTTCATATATATAGTAAATATCATTCGTGAGTCATGGGATATACCTAAGGTAAATATTATATATTTATACGGTTCGATTTTTTTTTTTTATTTTTTACTATTTTTAGAGTAGGTATTTGAGTTACAACGAAGTACTATTTTGTTTCGTATTATGTTTCTCTTTTTTTTTATTCTCGTGCGACGTCACAGTGTGTTATTATGAAATTTAAATAAAAAATATTGCAATAACTTTGAAGAACACCAAAAAAAAAATATATATATATATATATATAATAATAATACGTAGGAGCGTGATCATAAAAACACCGTGTCGAAAAATAATTTTACTTCGAAACGAGAACGTATGTTATCTAGCGTAAAAAAACCTGTATTATGATAAATAATCAAACCAAATCGACCGTCTGGTCCGAGTGAATTTATAATCAATATGTCATCATATCCTTGATAATGCTGTTGTTTTTAATTTCCATCATAACCGGTGAACTCACGGCTTTAGATACTAGGGTTGTGCGGGATAAACGATGCCAGGTAGTAATATTCAAACAAACCATGCACTGCTGTCGGTTCAAACGGAAAACAATAGAAGACGTTATGGTTGCGTATCGGACCATGGCAATGTATCCGTCAAGAGTTCCTATGCGATTCCAGAAGAGTCACGTTATGGTGCCATGTAGTAGTCTCATATGAACTAAGTTTGCAAATGATTCACACGGGAACCACTAATATAGTAGTGAACATCCACCGGGGGAACGCTAAGACCTCATTCTTTTCGTATATTAATAAGAACGCTCGTACGCCCTTGCCATAGAGTAAAATTTAGAGGTGACATTCAGTTTCCAAGTTCATGCCTGAAAATGCCTCCCGACAGTGTTGGTAATTAAAAAAAATAAATATCGTACTTTTTTTTTTTAGTACAAAAATTATCATATTTTTAATTTTGACTGTTATATTTTAATTACGATCATTGCTAATCTCGATTGATTATCATTGTTTACGTTGCGGTCTAGTGTTGCGTAGTGTAGACCTAACTACACCTAAGTTCCGTAACAAAACGTACTCGTACGATTTCAATTTTATATTATCGTCAAGATAGACCAGAGTATCTAAAACCATGGTAAAAATTCTAAAATCATTTGAAGAGTGTTTTATTGTTATTTTTTACTTGAACAAGTGTTATTGAATAAATTTCACGATTACACAATAAACATTTCTGACAGTCTTTTAATTCGTGTGTAAATACGTATGAATGTCTTCGAGTCGACTAGTTTTCATTATTTGTTTTTTTCGAAAATGTCCTTCAAGTCCCATAAACGCAACCCTTTAAATATCGGTAGTGTGTCCCTCTTATATAATAACGGCGCGAACACCGCGAGTGAGTTTGGAGAAATATTATTCGACCCACCCGTTTTACGACCAACGAACCCACGCCTTTCCCTTTATGTATAAAAAATTGATATGCAAACAAGTAATTCGTATTTATAAATTGCATTGTTATGATTAAGTCGATTGATTCTACGTCGAGTATCCGTGCATTTTCTATCTAACGCCCACCAAATTGACCCGCTCACCTGTCCGTTCACCTTTTCGTTAAAACCCACCAGTCTTCATATTCACAGAACTACCGTCGTGTGTCAGTAACCGATCGGTTTTCAAGTCTGGTTCTCTCAACGTCCCGTAAAACATTGGTTAGGTGTTAACCGTGAGTCAACCGATCGTGGCATATTTAACGGCCGGTTAGCGATAACCGGACACCGTAAGAACTTAAGGGCTTAAGTGGTCTCGTATTAGTAACGGTGATTACTTTTAAACATCCGCGTACTCAAAAATCAATTTTTTTTTTTTTTCGACTTAACGATTCGATTTTAATCGCACTCACTCGTGCAGGACGTCTTTCTTTCGCGAACAAATAATTTGGCCGCGCGATTGAGATTTTTTTTATGATTATCGCACCACGGTTTAGAATTATTTTTCGTATTATATTATATATATATATTTTTTTTTTTTTTTAAACTCTCGTTTTCTTTTCGCATTATATTATTATATTATACACGTATACCTCGCGTAACGTCGTCGTTGTCGTCGTCGTTGTGTCTTCACCGTCGTGCCATAAAACAGATTAGTATTGTAGACTCGCACACAAATGCGGCACATTATGATCGCTATTTCAGAAAACGTGTTAAGTCGTACAAGACTAATGGCTTTAAAATGTAAATTCTCGGAATTACATTTCGGCCCTAAGTGTATATTATTATAATAATATATATATATATATAAATATATATTTTCAAGTTTATAATCCGTCGTATATAAAGCCTATATATATATACACGAGTATATAGGTGTAGGTTCGGTAGGTAAGTGGGTGGGTGGGTGGGTGGGTAGGTAGGTACGTTAACGATACGGTTTGTTTAAAGAAAGCGCCTTGTAATCATTTATCATCATATTATTAGATAAAACAATATTATATTATAATATCCCTGCGTGTACGGAGTTTCCTACGGACACACCTGACAAATACCATAGCTTTCGTATGGCTCAACGTGTTGTTTTTTTTCTTCGTAATTACCATTGCCTTGCGCCGCTATGATTTTTCTGTTTACAAAATTCAGTACGGCCATTTAATACATTTGTCTACAACCGATATGAAAACCATTTACACGAAAACATTTTTCTACTGTCATTGCGCATTTTCCATGGAAATGTTAATAACGAACCGGTTGATATCGTATATTGGTGTCAATACGAACGATTTGAAACTCTCGTAAATTTCAAACGGTTTTCGAAAATTAACGGCTCATTGTTGGCGAACATTTATCGAACCAAAATTTGTTTTGGTAAGATTAAAAAAATAGTTAAAAAATCTAAAATCGTTGTATTTGATTTCAAAAAAAAAAAAAAATAATGATATGAAAATAGAAGTAATATAATCATAGCACTAGACTCTCGTAATCGTTACAAAAAAGATAAAAACCTGAAAATATCGAAAGGAACAAACGTTTAAAAAAAACGCAATAAAAGCATTTGTCCGATGTCTGTGGGGCACCCTTTTTAAGGATAAGTATATATATTATAGTCCACAATTAAAAAACCTCGTTTGCGTACACTTTTGAATTAAGGGGTTTTTTTTTTTTAATACCTATAATATATATATGAATATACGTTCGTCGCAACGGGTGAAGGTGGTTAAATGATTTTGTCGTGGAGCTGGATAGGGAGTGAGGAGCCTGATTTCTATTCATATAGCCGATATAGTATGTGGTTTATTATATTAGTCTGTATAATAAATGATTATAAAAATATCGAAGGGAAAAGAGTTACGGAAAGGGGGGAGTGGTAGAATATATCCCACCAATCTCTCACCCCTGTTTGACCGTCACTGGCCGCAAGCTAAATAATTGACCTTTTTTTATTTTCTTACCTACGTTATTCACACGTTTTTCGCATATAATTATTTAGGTTATGCGTTTTTTTTCCGTATCTTTTTTATTCCGCTGCACGCGTCTTTTACATTTTAATAATATACAAATATCTATGTAAATTTATTATTATTTATATTTTAACGTATTACTCAAAAAATAAAAAAATAAATAAATAAAAAATGAAAAACACCTTTCCTCGTATATACCTATTATCTGTAACCTACACGCGCGCGTCCCTTTTTATTATTATTATTATGTCCACTTCCGTTACCTAGTTTTTTTTTTTTACCATTTTAATGACAAAATGGCCGCCAACGGAGACCGGGAATACTAATACAACAGCTGCAGTACTCTCTAGAGATTGTCGCTCATTAATTCGACCACTTAATAAAGTGTATTACAAACTCGTAATAAATCGTTGCGTTTTTTTTTTTCACTCGTGTTGTTTTTATATCCTCTCATCGCGTTCTACCGAATAATTATCATGGAATCGTTTCGTTTCGTCTTGCCTGGTGTGAAAACTTGGTGACGGCGACTATGCAGTTAACATTATATTAATTATTTTTATTGTATTTTCAGAACGTGTTCTCTCGGGTAGCGAGAGTGTGTAAAAACGATCGCGGTGGACCGCAACAGCTCAAAAACCGCTGGACTTCCTACCTGAAGTCTCGTCTAAACTGTTCCGTACCCGGCGAATTCCCTTTCTATTTCAACGAAATACGTGAGTATTCAGTATATTATACGTATTACGAATAACGGTTAAATAAAACAATTTATAGCCAAGGTGCGTTGTTTAGATTCTTAAGGGCCAATCATCAAACCGATTTGAAACGTTATTTCGTTTAATGATAATCGAGAATAAGCTCCTCTACCGAGGAATATGTTGGTTTCACTATTATATTGCATGCGATCGATTTATCAATTTTAAGGGTGGTTTCTGGTTCCACATTTTGTTTACTTGGGGCGGTAATTGTATGATTTTCCTCGAAGTATTCTTGACCATAAGGACTAAACGATGGACAAATTGAACGCAATAGAGATTTGTATAATTTGAATTTGTTTTTATATTTGATTGTGATTTAATCTAAGTAATCGCAGGGATCCGAAAATATGCGCACAGAATAATTATATCGCGTGGTTCTTTCTACGCACGATTTTGAAAACATTCTTGCGATTGCTGAGCTGTTTATAGTCATTTTGAAATTCCGTCCATATTATTCCGGTTATATTAAAACGTTATTATATCTTTTTTTTTTCTAATGTCCCGGGAAGTATTTAGAAATAATAAAAATATCGCGGCTCGATATTATTTCAGGTATCGAAATACACGGTTTACCTAAAACTGTTGCGATGAATGTACAATTAATCAACACTCGTATAACAGAGCGTGTATTCAATTCCGTTGATTTAAAATAATTAATCTAAAAGAAGTTGAAGGTTTATTATATCCGTTTTAACGGGTTTGTGAAATGTTTAATTAATAACGTTATAATACATAGGTGTGTGAATATATATTGAATCCGATCCCGAATTTAAATTACTGTACTGCAGTTGGCGAAACGTAATTTATGGATTTTCGATTAGAGATCAACGAGTTTTTATCAGATTATAACAATGTCGATATATATATATATGTATAGGTAACATAGTATTACGGTGTTAGTAAATTAATGGTTATACCGCGGTTACCGATGATATTCGTTGGACGGTTTTAATTGATAGCCGTCAAAATAATTGCATGTAGATACGCTGGCACAATAAAAACCAAAAAAAAAAAAAAACACATGGTGGGTTTGTTTAATGCCATTATATACATGTACTTTTTTTTTTTTTTAGATTCTGAATGTTCGTTTTACTTAGAAAAGTAATTTTTATTCGACTAAATAGTAAAAATTCTCAGATTTTTTTGATCGGCATTTTGAAAGATACTCATTTTTATGAAATTCTTAATTGCTTTGCCAATTGATTTTTTTTTTTTTTGAAAAGACTTGGTTAGGGAAATGTTCCAATTTGTTTATTAAACCATTTTCATCCCAAAAGTCGAGTAATTTCTGACCGGCACTTTTTACTTAGAATTGAACTAATCATTAAAAGGCGCCAAAAAACTCGCACAGTACCTTAACAATAATTACATAGTTTCACTCGGTAGTACCTACTTTAAACAAACCAAATGTTTAGATTCCCAACAGTTTTCTTATGAAATTTTAAAAACCAACGACAAATTTCGATAGAATGGTTTCATTTTTCTTAATTTCTGGCTGATACTTTGGTGGATCTACTTTTGAAAAAAATGCACGACTAATAATACTAATTAATACTATTTTGTTCAGAATCGTTTTTTGTTTCGAAGTTATTCATCGTTGCATACCGTATTTTATAAACTAAACTTCCCGGTGTTTCCATTGTCCCATATACCCACCCAGAACAGTAGCTTACTCATGAGCAGTACCTATCGATTTTTTTTTTTTAAAATATTTTTATTTATTTTGCATTTTTCTCGTCGCAATCCCGTATTCTGTCGTGATATTATTTTACTGGTATTTCTAAACAATACACATAGATGGATAATATTACAATAGCAACAGCAGCGGCAGTATACATCATTGCAAATCGTGTATTCTTGCGGTTATCGCCGAGAAATTATTGAAATTAATTTACTTATTTATTCTTTAGTTGTTTAGCCACGGGAGTGAAATATCTCTTCGTAGTTCCGTTATACAAGACGAATAATCGTAAACACCGTAATATTTTCTACAACACAACAGTCGTAAAGAATCGGAGCTTTTCTTACCCCGCAGAGCGCAATTTATTATCGGAAATAAAACCGAAAACAATAAATCCAATACGGGTGTTTTGATATTATCGTAGTGTTGTATATACGATTCCGTTCCTCGGGGATGCGAAACGAAAATAATCGTTTGAGGTGATTTTATTATGAATAAAAAGTCACGTTTTCCTCCGTGCGGGGTAAAGTGTATATAAAGCATACGAATAAGTAATTCAACTAAAACTCTGCGAAGTTTTCATAGAATATAACTTTTTAAACATCGTGTTATTTCACTGGTACACCGTTCTAAGAAAAAAAAAAAATAATAATAAAAAACCCGAGGGAGGAAAACGGTCTATTTTTATTTTTTTCTAAACTAATTATTATTTTTCATTTTCCTCTAACTACCGAGGGAAAAAAAGTCCACCGCTGCCATTATGGAACGAATAAAATACTTAGGGAAGTAAAAAAAAAAAAAAAGTGAAAAGAAAAAAAAAGAGATATGAGGTTTCATTTGAGGAAAAATTATTCGAGCACATTAAAGGTTACCCGCTTATGCATAGTTTTAATTATAAAACCACTTTCGCCTTGCTGAACTTCTTTTATTCTCTCCCCTCTTCGTCTCTCTCTATATATACGAGTATATTTCTTTTTCCTACATTCTTTCGTTCTCCCACGCGTGCTAGCTTTATTTTTTTATTTTTACACTTTCGACTCACTATAGTGTGTACGGCAGTTAAAACTACACTGCGATACAATGACGATAATAATACGTCGTCATTGTCGTAGGTACTCCCAGATTTTTTCAGCGTTGGAACAAAAAAAAAAACCTGCACGTGCAGCGTATACGAATTTAACTCGGTGTCCTTATATTATTGCTATTTAAGATTCTGAGCGTATTGGTATTTTTTTATTATGATGCGTTTCGTTTTTTTTTTATTTTTAAATAACTTTTCTGCCAGAAATCTTTCTCCGATCATCCATAGAAATAGTGGCTTTTGGTAATAAATATTGCATAGATAGTGCATTGAGAGGGTAATACGTTAAATTTTTTTGTAATTTTCGTAGAGAAAAACGGGAAAATATAAACAAGTAACGGGTTTTATAGTTTCAATTTTGAGGTTCTCTTGGAATTCAGTTAAAACCATTATATAGAGACCTGGAAAATTTACCGAAAATGTATAATAATCCGTTCTAAACGTGGTAATTTTTTAAATTATTCCGCTTATTTGTTAATTTAAATATTAAGAGACCAATATCCAAAATAATTTATATTTATGACGTTTAAAATTAAAGTCGTAAAAACGGCAGCGTTTTAAAATATGTCTAACCAATATTCGCTCAGACTCGTTTTTCATTAGTTGTTATTTATCGTTAATATATAGATATAAATTTGATAACTCAATGATATTGTTCCGCTACCCCGAATTCCTACCTATAACAGTGACACTGGCACATCCGTCAGCTGCAGTATTAGCTTGGGGTTTTTTTTTTAAATATTTTTTTTAACATCGAAAAGTCGAATAAAAATAATAAATAATCTTTCGTTGATTGGGTCGTATAGCTGTTAAAAATCAGTGCTTCGATTAATTTCCAATCGATTTTTAGTAACTTATTTTTTTTATACTTTTTTTTTTTTTTTTTTGCATAACGACAGAATAATCTAAAAAAAAGAGTTGATACTCTTTGGCCATCGTTGTAGGTAAGAAGTTTAGGAGGTAGGGTACATAAGGCTATTTCATTCATATTAGTAAGCAACGATAAACCATTACTTGACGTAAAACGATTCCGAGCGCAGTTCAGTAATACATAATTAAAAAAAAAAAAAAAGTCAAATAATTTTGGAAATTTTATCACGTCTAAGTAAGTCCAATATAAGTATTATTACCAAGTTTCAAGTCTTTACGTGTATTTTTAACCGAATAAAATCAAAAAACCTCCCAAACATTAAAAACCCTTAAAAGCTCAAAAGTGGCTCAAAAGTTTTGGCGATGTTACTGTAAGAAAGTTAATCAAAAAGGCTATAAAAAAGGTAATTTGTGATTTTTCGATTAAATTATTTTTTCTGGTAGAAAATGACGTCCGTGTTTTTATAAAATAATGAAATCGTGAAATTGTACGTTTTCCTACGTTTTTTCCCACCTAAGTGATTTTATTTAAAGATGGCGTAAAAAGTCCCATAATGACTTCTTTGAAGTACAATCTAGATAACTCGAGCTTTCGGAAAAGTTGCTACACGTAAAAATTTAGAGCAATTTTACTAGGAAAAAACGTGTCCACAGACTAGAGCAAAGTAAAAAAAAAAAAATAAATAAATAAACAGCATTTTAAAACCAATAATTCCGTCGCTGCGCTCGGAATCTAAAATACGTAACGAAAATTAATATAATATAATGAAAATTATCTGTGAAGTACCTTCTACGACCCTTGAACGATCCAGTCACGAGTAGTTTACGCGCCTATAAGAAAACCTAGCAATGTTGTAAATGTTTTATTCTCATACATTCCGAATATCCACTCGTGATCGTGGTATTTTTGCTTTCAAGTGTTTCCGTCTGGCGTTGGTTCTGCACTCGTTGGAAACGGTCTCCTTACTCAACAATCACAGCGGTTGCGTACGTCATTACGGTTTTTTCTAAGTAGACTTGATGTAAACATTTCGCTATTCGCTGACTTGAAAAGAAAAAAGATCTCTAAATTACCGACATCAACAAATCTTTTCCAATAGCCGTATACTTGAATATTTTTTTTTTCGAGTTTATTCGGTCTTTAAAATTCTGAAGTGGAAATTTAATTCGAAATAATTTAAAAAAAAAATCCTTTAAGTTGTTCAGTTATTTATTTTGACGCTAGACGTTTCTTATTAAAAAGAAAAAAAAACATGTACTTTTACAACGTTTAAAACTTTGATTCGTCCATGTGCTGTAAGAATGTCTGAAAAAATCTAGTAAGAATCGACTAATATCCATTACCCTTCTTCGTGGAAAAAAAAAACAAATTGTGACGGAGTTGCAGAATACGTAAATTAAAAAAAAAACAAAAAAAAAAAACAAGTAAAATTCCGTCGAAATTAGTTTTTTTTCTTTTTTTCTCGAAGAATAGTTGTTTGTCAAGCTGAAGATAATTTCGGATACGCCGGCAATCGTAGTAACTATTATACTGAAATTATTTTCGTCATTTACTATTTGTCTCGTTTCCCATAGGTTTTCGCCCGATAAGTAATACACGTTATTATTGCAGTATTATAAAATAATATTATTATTTCGCTTTGTCCGAACCGATATGTTTTTTCTTTTCTTTTCTCTTGAACCGTTTATCGCCACGTATTGCAGTTCGGTATTGCACCGTCACCCGGAATCGGTCGGGCAATATCATTTTCATTCCCCCCGAGTGCTGCACGTAGTGAGTATACAGAATGCCGAATCGAATATTTCGAATCGCTACCTACAAAAATGTATGTATATACCTATACTGCTACTATAAACGCGCGCGTGTTTACGAAAATAAATTTAAGGGTCCAATCTTTATAATGATACGGTGGTTATTATATACAGTGGACACCGCAGCCGTTTCGGACACCGTACCGGATATTTCAATACTCGACCCGACGGCGTCCGGGCCATTAAATAAGTGTTCACAAATTAAACACTGGACAATGGACGCCGGACGCGATGCCGTTTACGAAAAGTATATTTACCGAAAATATCTACTGCGCGCTGTGTACTGTTCTCTAAAAATATCCAGGCGAGTTTCTCCGGAGAAAACGATATCGATATCGCGTTATACCGCGTCAACCGAGAAAAACCGAGACCACTCACTCAAGGCTCCGTCCGATCATTATACTATTATGTGTATTGAATTGCGTTCGTTATTCGATTTTGCGGAATTCGTGCCTCGGCCATGGGGGGAGGGGGGGGCACACTGAAAGTTGTTTTTAATTTCAAAGAGCGGTTCTCAGATTCTGACCGTAGCGAGGAATGCGTTTTACGATCGTGTCAATTGTCTTAAATATCTCAATAATCGGATAACCGTTACTTATAATTGTATCAAAACTTACAGAAGTCAATATTGTTTAAGATTTTTTTTCTAGTCTAGTCCGAAACTCGACCTTTTTCCGATTCAGTCTTTCCGTTTTTGTTACCCATGGTCAGTCTAATTGGAATTTATTGTACCATTTAGGAAAGACATTTGGCATTTTTCCCCCGAAATATGAACAGTCGAATGTTTATTGTTACGATTTAAAGTATACAATTTGATATTATAATTGTGTGTACTGTTTATAATAAAATGCACGTTTTACCAGTACAAACATATTATGTAAAATATACCTAGACTATAACCTCGTGTATGCGCATTAAACGAATACAATATTTCAAAAGTGTTTAAAACGTAATAGATTTTATTATTATTGTGATTATTATTAATAGTCTTATTATAACCCGCTTTCCGTTTTAATTACTTTAATTGAATTCGTTTTTTTTTTTTTTTATTCTCCCTTATTGACGCGACTATGATATTACGGAATAACAAAAATAAATATGTTCTGCACCTTTAATCCTAACGTATCTAACCGTGCTTTATTCGTCTGCTTTCAGAATCTTCGACGGACCTGGTGCAAGGCGTCTACGGTACCAAACAGAACATGATGATGTACGGCGTGTTTACCACACCCGTGAACAGCATCACCGGGTCGGCGGTTTGCGCATTTGCGTTGGCCGACATGCTCGACTCTTTCGAGGGTGAGTTCAAGGAGCAGAACTCCATGAACGCCAACTGGCTATCGGTACCCGGGTCAAAGGTCCCGGACCCGAGGCCGGGTCAGTGTGCCAACGATTCCAGAACGCTGCCCGACCTCACGCTAAACTTCATCAAAAGCCATTCGCTGATGGACGCGGCCGTCCGGTCGTTCTACGATCAGCCCATTATAGTCCGCACAAGTGTCAAGTAAATATTATATGATATAAACTTTAAACGTATTATAAATTCACGTTCTGGAAAGGAGAGAATGACAAGTCGAACACGGTGCCCATCAAGTGTTATAAGTGAGAGTGGCAACAACGTTTGAGCTTTTCTCGGAATTGTACGATAATAATATTATATCTTATCGCGAACTATCTCGGAGAAAACAAAAGTTTTCAGTCCCGTATTAAAAAAATCATGATGATATTAATATAATGTCTTTATTTCTCGCTCAATTTACGGATGTGATTTCGAGTGCATAAAAAATCGAGTGGATAAAAATCACGCGCGTAGGGAAAAATATTTCCGTCGGCGTACCATTGATCGTATATAAATATATTTATTTATTTTTTTATACTAATCCGTCTTGTATTTTTACAGTTATAGGTTCACGGTTATCGCAGTGGACCCGCAAGTGAAAGCTATCGACGGCAAAACCTACGACGTCCTTTTTATCGGCACAGGTATTGCACTGCAAACATTAATTTTTGTTTCCCCTTTTCCTGCGTCATCTGTATTGATCTCAAAACCGAACACAGCGAAATTATCATCCGCAATAATCTAAACCCGTCGAATCGTCCGGAAAGAAGTTTCGGTTTATAGAAATATAATGACGACGATAATAATAATTATAATAACGATATTTAAAAAAAAAAAATAATAATAATAATAATACTTTTAATACGGTTTACCGCCGCGGTGAAATTCGTTTTACGTGCATATCCGCAGTCTACCGTTTGGGCTACATAATTATTATTCAATCGTCACTGATTCCCTCAAGTCGTCGAAATACGATAAACTATTGCTCGAAACTGTATTTTTATTTGAACTATTCTAGTTTTCATATGATTTTAATAAACGTGACTTTCGACGCGAGCACACGCATACGAATATATTGGGTGTATGATATAATATCATATATCGGTAACTACTGCGGCTTGTCACTTTGTTTGCAAACATACTAACTTGGATAACTTATCGAACTTGTATATTGCGTGCACCTATATTATTAGTTAGCTAATGTTTCACCAACGCTAACAGCTAATTCATTTTTAAACGGCAAGGAAATCTCGCTTTCGAATTGCATATATTATTATTTAAAGCAGTAAACGTATTCGGACATTTTGACGGGCAAACATTAATTATTGAATCGCCGCGAGTTTATTATTCAAACGCGTTTAAAGTTCAAACAAAATAATTTGCAATTCAGTGAATATTTTCCGTTAAATTCCGATCTGCTATGGGTATGGTCTCAATAAACTGTATAATATTATGCAAAACATTTAAAAAAATCAACAATGGGTGTGACATTTGTTATCATAACGTTTATCGATTTTCAAACGAGATAGATAGAAACCGCCGTTTGAATTAAAGCTAAATAAAAAAAAAAAAAAAAAATCTTAAAAAAAAAGAAAAAAGGAATTGATTTTCGATAGTCAGTATATGTAGTGTCGTTGTTTTATCAATATTTAAATATCAAACACTTTGAAACAAAAGGGGTTAGATACATGAGCGGTTATTATAACAATGTTATTATTTTATGGCGGGACGCGGATCGTGCCGATGAATTTTTATTTTGAATTTGGTTATGCGAGAGGGTGGCACCAGTGTGCTTAAAAAGGTCAGCGTGTTTCATATTATTATTATTATTATATTAATAAACGGACGGATCCCGCGTGTGTTACGGTCTCGTCGCGTTGTCGTGAAAAAACTTACTCTAATTACAAGGATGTATAAGCTCGACAATTTTTATTTGTATGTTTTAAGAAAAATATTGTAATGGTTGTTATCACTGGTAACAACAGATAATAAAACCGTTGCTTATCAGTTGCACTATTGTTTAATAATAATTGCGTTTCGTCGGCTTTTGTATGTCGATTCCGTAAAGAGCATTTTGTGGCCCTAAGTCTAAAGACTCAACGAGCCGGTAACAGTGAAATGTCGAGCAAGAATAACATAAATAATATTTCAAATCTAGTAAAATTTATTTCGCGTATTTTTCGTTTCAATTTTATAAATCGTTTAGAAGTAACACACTGTACAATATTAATAATAATAATAATATTATTACGCATGAATGTTGACAAATGTTTGAATCCCGTATAAAAAGAAAAATTTTAATATTTTGTGATACAATGTCCAAGATAAATTTAAATTTGTTTAATTATTTACAACACAAAACATGAGCGACGAATGTAGCAAATTCAATAAATAAAACGATTTTATGTAAAGACTATTACTACTCTACACATTTTAGCGACACGTGTAATGGCTTTTTTTATAATTTTTATGAACTGTATTAATATATTGTAGACATTGTAGAATTGTCTGAAACTTTATTCAAATTGACGAAAACGATTTTTATTAATAAAAATTAAAGTAAGAGTTAATATATTTGGTTTTAAACTTTTCGAAAATTTACACCGTTATCAGATCTCCCGCGGAAGCACGAGATATCTGATAACGAGACGCATCCGATGAGATTGGTGAGACGGTGGGAGTCGCGTAGTTATATTAACTGACCGCGGCAACTGTTAAATCATCACGCGTCATACGTCAATCGGGGGCGTAGCCAGACGTTTTTTTTTCTTTTCTTTCCGGGCAGGCACAATACGTATTTGGACGGGAAAAACTACAAATTTAAACACGTTTGATTTATTCGAAATACTGTATCGCCGTTGTTGTTTTTTACCGTGCAGACAGCGGCAAAGTGCTGAAGGCGATAAACGCCGCCAGCGCCGACACCAACGAGAAGGTCACTCCGGTCGTCATCGAAGAGCTGTACGAGTTCGGCGGGCCCGGCACGACGGCCGCCGTGAGAAACATTAAACTCGAAGACAAGAGGCTGTTGGTCGTCACCGACAGACAAGTGGTGTCGCTGCCACTCGACAGATGTCAAAACCCGCTCATAGCCACTTGCAGGTATTGATAATAATAACATTTTTTAGTATCGCCGTGTCAGATGTATGTGTATGACGCGAGTACCGCGAGCACGGTCGGCGGCATATTATTATTGTGGGGGAAAAAAAAAGCAGCGAAACAAAAACGCGCCGTGCAAAAATGTTCCGGTTTCTAACCATCACCGCGGTATACGTACGTACCGTGGTCGTATATTATGTATAATGCCCGGCCCGAGTAGTAAACGCATTACTCTATACCCGTGTCGTCGTCGTTGTCGTCGCAACTTTTTGATTCGACTGAACTTTATTTTTTTTTTTTTTTTTTCCCCCGCCCGTTTCGATCGACGATGAAAAACGATANCGAGTAGTAAACGCATTACTCTATACCCGTGTCGTCGTCGTTGTCGTCGCAACTTTTTGATTCGACTGAACTTTATTTTTTTTTTTTTTTTTTTTTTTTTTTTTTTAGTTTTTAATCAAAGTTTTGATTATATTTCGTTTGTTGTAACGGCGTTGACGGCGGCGCCGACGTGTGTGTATGCGTATATACGATCTGATTCAGTGCACTCCGCTGAACGTAGAAATAAATTAAAACAATCTATTTCTCGTATATTCGTTTGTATGTTTTATGTTTTTTTTTTCCCCCGCCCGTTTCGATCGACGATGAAAAACGATATATAATATTCTTTATTCTCCCCCCCACCGTGTTTTTTTTTTTTTTTTTTAATACAATTTGTATTGGTTTACATTTACGTTTTCTTTGTGTACACATTGCCGTCGTATGTCGTTCCCACGGAGAGTAATAATATAATTGGCAAATATCCGAAGTAAATACGTATTATACATCTGTAGCTACGGAGGAGCTCGAGGTGATTGTCTTTCCAAAAACAGCCAAGCCCTCTCCTCCGGAATCAAGTCCTTACCGAGCAAAATTCCGAATATAACCATAATCGATATCACGAGGGATTCATCTCTCCCGTCCCGAAAAAAAAAAAAAAATTAAATATTCAGGCTATTCGCGCCTACACGAATTACATCATTTCGAAACCAGACAGTCTTTTAGGAATGTCCGATCTTTTTTTTTTTTTTTTACGCATTTCAGAACAATAAAATTATATAGTTACACGAAACCGAATCAAACGCACTCCCCGAGTTCCGGGACGGTACACCGATTCGGACACCGAATAAAATGCCTACCGGAAATCGCATTTTCGCACGAGATTAAACGTAAACGCCTGTGGGGAGGGGGCGCGTGCCTGCGACGTGCGTGGACAACAATCGACCCGAAATATCGAGATCCCCCCGTAACGTGGTCGGCCGCGAAAAACCGTTCGGCCGTTACTGCACCCGCCCGCGTCCTCGTCGTTTATCGTTATCGCCGCAAGCCCGGCGGCGACGCGGCCGTTGGCGAGTCCGAAATCGAAACGGACCGCCCGAGAAACGCGTCCCCGATCCGATGGCCAATTGCGCTGCGCCGCGCTGCCCCGATCCGAGTAGACGCGCGAGTGTTCACGTTCGGACGGCCGAACGCTTTCGGAGGAAATGTCGCGTCGACGTTTTCCCGACGGTAGGCGCCCATAACTCGTTGTTTTTTTTTTTCTCGACCCCGTTAAGACGCCCCCGAACAAGTTCCGTATTGTCTCTCGCGTCTCCCGGTTCGCGACGACCGCACGCCGAATGCCCGTGCGCGCACAAAGCGATCGACGAATAAATAACGGAACGCCGTCGTCAACGGCGGTATAACGCGGAAGTAAAACCGACGTACTCAATTTGTTTTTTTTTTTTTTTTGGTTATCTAGCGAATGCATCGGTCTCCAAGACCCGTACTGCGCGTTCGACAAAGTCAACAAGAAATGCCGTTCGATGCGCGAAGTGCCCACCAGCCGCTGGCACGAATTCTACCAAAACATCCAGTCCGGTTTGCACCACGAATGCCCCTCAGGTAAGCGCGCGTCGGGAACCGTCCGCCACACGGGCTCGTGTTAATCGTTTTGCGTTCCACAAATTTCAGTTTCGAACAGTAGAAAAGACACGAGCGTCGGATTCGCTTCGAACGCGCAGAGCGGCGCTATCGGCAATCCCATGGACGACATCGGTGACACCATAAACCTTTCGCAGGACGATCAAGCACCGCCGTACGGTAAGCGCATTGCACCGATTGCCGATCCCCGCGGATTTCAAAATTCTCTCCCCCTCAATCGATCTCCGTTTATCTTCTTCTTCCGTCCCTCGACTCGCTATTACCGTTTACGCGACGATTGACTTCCGATTGCCGGTTTTCTCGTTTTCCGAGAATATCAACGTGCCACACGTCCCGTTCCGATATGCTCGGTTCAAGAACGGCAACCAATTGTCTGGTTATCATCGTTTTTATCTATTTTTTTTTTTTTTTTCAATCGCAAAGGCGTCAACAACGACGATGTCAGAGTGGACGAACGGCAGGACGGCAGCTACACCATGGAAACGGTTTTGACGGCGGTGTTCGCCGCGTGTTTGGCGGCACTGTTGACCGGTTTTTTGGCCGGTTACGCGTGCGCCAGGCGTTGCACCAAAAGCGAAGACGACAACTTACCGTACCCCGACACCGAATACGAATATTTCGAACAGCGGCACAACATGAACGCGTGAGTTTAACAGCATATAATAGCCTCTAAAATATTATCATCGAGACGGCGACGATTAATTATTTACCACCATTTTTTTTTCCTCCGGAAAATGAATCTTAAATTTCCATTAAAAATTAATTTTTTTAATTGTTGCGGTTTTTATTGTCTCCGTCTGTTTGCGTTATTAGCGTCTTAAAAATTGAATTATAATGGCACTATTATTATAATATGCGGAAGATAATCACTTTAATAATAATAATCAAAATGAAAATCCCCCTGTTGTTTTTTTTTTTTTTTTTTTTTTTTTTTTTTTTTAATTTTTTTTTTTTTTTTTTTTTTTTTTTTTTTGTTTTATTTAAATTTATTACTGTTATTATTGTTGTTTTTTGTTTATTTTAGTTAAAAGCTTTTTTTTTTTTTGCATACTAAACAATTAGACGAGCAGCGCGTTTCACGATTATTATAATAATTATCGACGGGCGTAACGCAGTGGTATGAAATTCCAGTACCGTCGACCGTAATACGATTACTATTAATACTAATCGCAGTGTGCACAATATCGGATCGCGTCACACCCCGCGTCGATCGTAACAATATCACTGCGACACTACGCGTATGACAGACACCGTTCGACCGGCGCTGCGTTTCCCGTGGCCGTCACCGCGTCGGTTCGAGACGCGCGCGCGTTGCGACCGACGCGATATTGTTGATCGCGGTTCGTTATTACTCGATTCGGACGAAAACGGGAAATCGCGGAGGTGTGGTCTGACGAGAGCCGGACGTCGAATCGAAACGTGCGAGCCGAGCAGAGAAACGTGTGTTAGGACGGACGGACGTAACGCGTGACCGCGAGTTGACCGGGCGGCCGCGTCGGAAGCGCGCGGCGGCCGGGCGTGCGTCGGGCGCAAACTTCTCCGGTACACGGGAAAACGATAGAGAACGAGAGACGAGACGGGCCGGTCGAACCGGACGGGCGAGTTGAGCGCGCGCGCCGGTGAGGAGGTGGAGCGGCGCGAGTGCGACTGCCGGGTGTCCGGCGGTGGCGGCGGGGGTCGCACGCGGGAAACGCCGACGGACGACGGGCGAGAATAAAAACGTGGCGGCCGACCCCGCTCGCCGGAATATCTGTTTATTTTTTTCCGAACACCCGGGGTCGATCGTCGCGTTCGCGATCGTCCGTCGTCGACGGTATCCGGCTGGTAAACGTTTCGATCGGACGGCGTCTACGCAACAAACTGGACCGCCGGACCTCCGGGATCTGTGCGGCAACGGACTCCGGCACCCGGGCGCGTGCGGCCCGAGTCGTGCGCGCGCCGAGAACAGCGCGGAACCGTTTGATTTTCCCGCCGGTCGAACGTACGGGCGCGGCTCGCGGTCACGTCACGGCGATAGGTTCCGGTGTGTCGACGAGCAAACAGATCGCCGTGACGACGCGGCGACAACGCGAACGCGTCGTTCCCGCGTTCAAAACGGCCGCGCGACGCGGTTTGAAAACTGTTTATATCGACTGCACCGCGTCCGTTTAAAAACAAAACGGAAAATTATAAAAGGGATAGTGTGTTATTGCCGTGCGGTAGGTGTACAAAGTAATAATTATAAACGGCCCCCGGGGAATATAATTTATATTTTACGTGCGCGGCGTAATAAAATACGACTGCGTCACTAGTTTGGCGGCTGATTGGACGTATACGAAATATAAGTAATCGTGTAACACCCGCCGCTGCGTCACCGTGACAACGCAAAGGGTTGATAATTATTAACAGCGCTATTAAAAAAAAAAAAAAAAATCGTTAAAATATGAATTGAAATTTAAAAAAAAAAACCGAAAAACGAATGCACTGTGCAATAATGCACTCGACAATTTTATACGGTCGTGATGAGCGATTGCTCGCTAAATGTGAGCGGTAAATAAAATGAAATAATAAAGTTTCAACGTTACAATTTATTTACGGGGTGAACGGGGTCACTGCAGTACAAACGCACTCACCGCGGCGACCCGACGAAAATCGTTTTCTGTTTATTATTTCGTCACCTGGGTTATATCAAAATTATGTTGTGAATATTCTTTTAAATGCGAAAACGGACACTCGAGCGATATTTCTTGCGAATTTCTCACACGAATCGAGATCGTGTAACGTCGTTTTCCCGCTGCCGAAACCATAAAAAAAAATATGCGGTGTGGCCAAACACCGATTCGTATCCGAGAGATCGAATCTTCGTTGAGCCACCCCGGCGAGTACGCGTATACCGGCGGCTTTATTCGTTTCCGGAACACCCTGTATGCAATTAATAATCGTTTGGAATTTAAATTTCCGCGAAACTAATCACGACCAATAATTATGACAATCTTTAATTAAAATTCACAAAAAAAAAAAAAAAAAAACGTTCGGCCCGGAACATTAACGAATTTTGTCCGCGATGGATTTTCGTTCCGCCGTCCTACTGCGGAATTTACCGCTATACAATACGAGTTTATTGTCGCGTTTCCTACTCACTATCGGGTAGGCGCAACTGGATCGCCGATTTCGAGGATGCCAAAGTTTTATATATATGGTAGACGCATCACAGACCCACAGGGCCAATGCCCCCGCAATCCCCTTTACACGACAATTATTATAATAAGCAACTGCAAATTGCATTTACAATTTTTTATATAAAATGTAAAAATGTACCGTAACTCTTTTAAATTTATTTATTTTACACACATGGATTGTCTGTAGGTAAACTGTACTTTGTTCTGCTTATTAATATTATGAAATACACGGATAAACTGTTCAGTCGGTGCTGTAAAAAAGCCTATTGGGTATTTTCGGGAGTACAGTGGCGGCGCGAGGGAGGTATATCTGAATCACGTGATTCAAAAAAAAAAAAAACTGTCGAGTAGACCGCGAGTGTCTGAGTGTTTAGTAGTATAACACAAATTATTATGTTTTTACAAAACAACAGTCGTTAAGTTAATTTTAGACCGCGGAAATTTGATAAATTTGTGACGGAGCTAAGTCAGGTTGGACGGGGGTATTTATGAGTCGGGACTGGTGTAAAATTATACCGACAGTTCAAGGTACAAATACTTCGCGCCGTCACCGTTTGGGAGGTCTCATTTTAAAACTCGGGGTACTAGAGACCCCCTAGCACCCCCTGGTTGCGCCTATGCTCCCCATATACGCATTCTATTCATTCGGATTCTTCCCGGTATACCGTACGCCGTTCACTTCGATCGGATAGATAATATTTTACACTATTATCACTATTATTTGTATAACTGTTTGTTTGTCAAATTGTTTTTTTTTTTTTTTTCTTATATCGTTTTTGTTTCGCAGGAGAAGACTCGGCGAACCCAAACTTTTGCCCCAAGAAGAAGTCACGTACGCCGAACCCGTGCTGATACCGCCCAACAAAGTCATACACGGTTCGCCGAAAGCCACGCTCAGACACGCCCCGATGCCGCCGTTGGGCTTCGCGCAGTTCCAACCGAACAGCGCTCAGGACAGTTACTATTCGCAACAGCAGAACATTCGCGATCACTTCGGCACGCTCCGGTCACAGAGGGAACACAAAGTAAATGAAATACGTGCAAGACGTGTTCACGCAATAGCTTTTTTTATTGTGGTTTTTATTATTTATTTTATCATGTTTCGAGTTAAAATTTTAATGGAAAAACAGTGTGTAAATCGCGACACGACCGTACGTTTAATCGAATTTCGCTCACAATCGTTTCCGTCGGCAACGATCGATCGTCGCTTACAGATATTAAAAATATAAAATCAATCCCGCCACGCCGTCCCGAATCTTAGCGTTAAACCCGCAGTGGCACGCGACACCCATCGTCGGCATTAATCGACTCCTCTCTCTCTCTCTCTCTCTCTCTCTCTCTCTCTCTCTGTTTCTTTTAAGTTTTGATTTCAGATCGATATTGCACAATAATAATATATACGAGTGTATACAAAACGCCATTCGGTCTTCCTCCGGTGCCGTAAAAATCGTGTTGTATAAACAGAAAAAAAAAAAAAAAAGAAGCTTTATACAAATATTTTACTACCTATACGTCGTGTAATATATTATTTATTATAATCTACGTGCATGTGTGCCGCAGCGTACGGTGACGGAGCCGCTTCGGGGTTCTTTGTGAAGGATATATTATTATTATTAAACGAGTAGGTATATCGATTTCATCCCCTACCCCTCCTTTTACACACGCACACACTCATTCATTCTCTCTCTGCCGTACAAACGAGAAATACGTATACCGCGGTGCACTGACATACAGAACGATCCTTCGTTCGCGTTTTCGTCTACGGATATTGTTTCGAATTTTTTCCTCCCGTATAAAAAAACACAATGTCGATGGTTGAACGCCGGGACGGACAAAACAAAAAAGTAACCGAAATCGACATCGCAAACATATCACCACCCTGTGTAATAACGATCCCCTGTATCTCTAGGCACGAAAAACGTTTTCGCTCCTCTGTATCAGTGTTTCCCAACCCGATGGGGGGGGGGGGGGCGTGAACGAATTGCCCGGGAGACGGAAGCAGTCGTCACGAAGTGAAATTCGTATCTATTCAATTATTTGTATTGCGCGGTGTAGGACAAAAAAAAAAAAAAAAAAAATAAAAACGACCGGTTTGCGAGTGTCGACATAAATGTTACGAGCGATGCCGTACATAAGTAGGCGCGACGAGATGGAGAGGGCAGTCGCCCGAGAGGATTTAATTTTTATCGAGATCGTTCACGTAAACATTCGTTCGGGTATCGGCCTTTATACGGACATTATACCACGGGTGTCTGTAAAGAGGTTGGGAACCACTGCTGTGTACCGTAGTCTCGTGATACCCGATATCGCGATTGTAACCGAACGCCTATTTTAGGCGGATTTCTAAACGGGACGCGGTTGTCGCTGCAGTCCCCGTCGTCACGACGACGACGGCGGCGGCCACGCGGTGTAACGCGTTTAGAGGAAAATATACGTACTCGCGCCGCGGTAATCCCGAGCCCATTACGTGCACCCCGTAGTTCCACGGTTACCCGCCTCCGGGGGTGTGTATGTGTGTGTGTGTGGGGGGGTGCCATTAATCGTATACATATACGAGGAACGGAAAACGACTTCGGGAGCCGTTAATATGTATACAGGGTGGTCGCGGCGCGGACGATACCGCGGCAGACTTTTCCGCCGTCGATGCCGCTCCGCCCCGGACGGGTATTCACGTGGTGCGGCGTCTGTAACGAGACGTTCGCGAAAATCCACGTCGAAAAACGCGGGCGGAGAAATCGTTTTCTCGCCGCGTTAAATGCCAGGGCGCATAGTTCGCGTGCTTTTCGCTTCTTATCGTTTGCTAGACCCACCCGTATGTACCGCGAAGGGCCTTAAACCCCCGGCGATTATTCCGTTTCCTACCTGTTCCCGTCTGGGCGATTGTTCGGTACGAAAATTGCTTAGGCGTAGAAACTATAGGTCTGCTCGTCCATAAAAAAAATTCAATATCCGTATTTGTTTAATGCCGTACCTATTTTCCCTTTTCCCGGTGTTTCTAATTTGCCGGGAAAACTGAATAACGGCCTCTCCGAAGTACGTCTCCGGTCGGTTCTCTCGGGGAGCATCGACTTTCTAGCTCTCTTTCTGCCCCGCTCTCTCCGTCATCTATACAACCCTCTGTTAGGTGTCTGCCGCCGAAGCAGTAGCAATAGCGCGACATCTATCATTGTGCTGGACCAAGTCTCGGCCGTCGACTCCTCGCACATTCTTTGGATCCTCTTCAAGAACGTCGGTCCACACCTTTTCCCAGGAGGTTTACCGCGGGGCCACTCCTCCGTAGGATGTAACGCCGTTTTAACATCATCGTCGTCATCTCGTCTATACGGTCTTGCCGTCCGTGACAGTATTCGTACACTCGTAAAACCGCGGTCACCGGCGCAAAGTCCGTCTCGTCGCACGGCTTCCCGCGGTATACTATCTCCTCCGCCGTATTACCGTTTGCCGTTTCATCGCAAACACGACCGTCGGTTGTTTTCCGTACTATACATTTTCGCGTTTGGTCTTATCTTCGCGAAAACAGTGCATCGCGAAAAAAACAATTTTCAAACTTCCGTTAGAAAACTACCCGAACCGAACAATCGCCCTCTATAACGGCCGCCATAATTGTACATTGTTTGTTATCGCTTACAGAACGACGGGAACAATTACCATCACCGGGACGGTTTCGGGACGACGCGCAGCGTGAAAAAAGTGTATCTCTGAGGTGCGTCGGAGGGGAGGGCAAGACCACCGCGTCAACACAACGCGAACGCTAGCAGCTCGTCATCGCCTTCCCCTCCGAGTTCGTCGCCGTCACCGCCGGCATCGCCTTCACTGGCCGCACGCATAATACCGCAACAACAACAGCAACAACAGCAACAACAACTACAACTACAACAACAGCAGCAGCAGCAGCAGCAACAGCAACAGCAGCAACAGCAACAGCAGCAGCAGCAGCAGCAGCAGCAAACCCTGCAGATAATACAACCGACGTCGCAGCAACAACTGCAGCAACAGCAACCCCAGCTGCAGGCCCCGTGCAGTTTCATCTACAGGGCGGGGGTCTGATCCGGTCCTCCGCGGCGCCGGTTTCGATTCGATAATCCGTTTTTTCATCGCACGCACCGCCCGGCGATAATCGATTGATCCAAACGTGCCGGCATTTAATCGTGCCGCATACCGGCCGGCACCGATGTTGTGTTTCGCCAGCCGCGTGGCCGCATCGTCGTGCGTGCGTGCCGTTGATATTTCGCGACGTTGAACGCGCGACGGATTTATCTGTGTATCGACGCCACCCGCGCGCACAAAACGATACCGTGTTACGGACATCGGCTGGCGATTCGGAATCGCACTGTCGATTTTGTGGGTTTTTTTTTTTTATCTTTTTTCTTTTTTCTTAATGACGTACTGTTAGAATTTTTTTTTTTTTTTTTTTTTTTAATTTTATCTAGATCGCTGCATAATTTGCTGCATAAAATAAAAAAAATATGTGATAGTTATTTGAAAAAAAAAAAAAAAAAAAATTAACGCCTTTAACGTATATAAATTTACATCATAATATATTTTTTTTTAAATTTAGAAATTAAAAACGATTTTTACACGCTTTAATTATATTATAATTTATTGTATTTTGTAAGCATATTTTATATATATAGTCTATATAAATATGTTTATCGTTTTATTCGCCGAATGAATAATATTATGATTATTTATTTTGTTTAGAAAAGTTACATAATTATGTAAGTTTTATAAAGCCCGTGTTTTTTTTTTTTTTTTTTTTTTTTTTATCATTATTATGCATAGATGAATAATGTCAATTTGTGTCCTGTAAATATTATTATTACATTGTAACCATCCAAAATCCGCTCGTCTTAACTTCATTATTTCGTTTTATTTTTTTACTTTTTTATTTACTACAACAAAAAAAAAAAAAAAAAAAAAAAAAAAAAAACCAAAGCAAAGCAAAGCAAATACTTTATAATAAATATACTTATATATTATGTAAACATACTTATTTTTCTAGTGATTTTAATTTTTTTAAATAATAAATCCACGTATACTTATACTTAATATATTATTATAACATTACAATTCATAATTATTATTAATTATTTATTAATTTTTTTTTTTTATTTTTTATAGTTTTTAATTATAGTTATTTTATCGTATTTCATTTTCTTTTTCATCTAAAATTCATATTATATATCATGCTTTTTACCAATTATTATTATTATATAAAGTTTAATAATTGTAAATAAGTTAGCTGTTTAAAAAAAAAAAAAAAAAAAAAAATTATTTCCCTTATTTATTTACAATTAAAAATTAATAATAGACTCAACGCTAATAAGATTGTTCTTAAAGATGATATTTTTTATAGACACTCAAGTACTAATTTAAGGGTCGTTTACATGATGCTTATTTCTTAGTAATTAGATTATAGTGGGCCGTTCGCGTATTTGCTACTAAGGAAAAAAAAAATAAACATCAAAAAAACTATTTTTTTTTTTGTTTGTGAGATTTTAAAATCACAACCGCCGAACTTATTGGACAACTATAGTTGGCTATTTTATTTGTTAACGGCTGAACTAGCATTGTGTAAACGACAAAACCTAGTCGTCGACTCACTTAGCTCAACTAACTGTTCCTCCGTGAACGCCGTATGTTTTCTATTTCGTATTGTATTCTCCACTAGCTATTCTCATTAGGCAGTAGTCTACTCTTGTGGTAGTACTAGTCTACTAGTCTTGAGTAAAAAACCAATTGGGTAAACGACCCTTTCACTACCAGCCATTGTGATAATAAAACATATTTTAATTTAGAATTATCGTTATCATTTGTACGGCGTCCAATATTATGATGTAGGAAACATTCGTGTTTCACTCCGTCAGAGTCACGGACAACAGCATATAATGTGATAATATACGATAAACTTTTTGAAAAAACCGGAGAGCAATGTAGGTAATGTTTTTTACCCGCATACAAATATCTATTGTCTCATGCGAATACCACTAACTAAGTATCTCTATCCAGCACAAGCATTTTTCACATTTTGTACACGTTTATAAATTTTATTGTCTTCCATGGAAATATTATTGTAATCAATATGCACAATTTAATGACGAGAGTCATGGATTTATTATACACACACAATTTTTAACGTCGTTTGTATTATTAAATAATAATATAGCAACTATCCCAAAGATAATAATTTTTATTAAATTGTATTTTTATTTTTACTATATTACGCATCATAACTACAGACTGTACCGTTGGAATTCCATTTATTTTCATTTTTTTTTTTTTTTTTTTTACATACAATCGGTATAAATTATTTTCGTGTATCATTCGCTACTACGATTTCTAGACGTATAATATATTTTTGAATATGTACACATAATATTCTGCATATGTAAACAAAACCGATGTATGTAAATGCATTTTTTTTTTTTTTTTTTTTTTTCTAAATACTTGTATGTTTCATATTATAATGTGTTCAAATTTGTGAAATGATCGTGTTTGGCGGTTCCTATGAATTTTCGTGCTCGAACAAAACGTCCAACGCAAACAATTGTTTCGAAACGTTGACTTTAAAAAAAAAAAAAAAAAAAAAAAAGAAAAAAAAAAAAAGGGATAAATTATATTCTTATAACAATAATGATATTATTACGCATTTGAGCACATTTCTTTTGGTAAATTATTTATTACGTATTTACTATTAACTACACACAGAAATAGCTGAAGGAGATTATCATAGCTGATTACATTCTCAATATAATTATTATTACTCGTTAAAATTGTAATTTTATTTTTTATTATTATTATTGTTAGGTCGTCGCGTACAATGACATAATATTTGAATTATTGTCTTAGACGAAACCTCCATATTATTATTATTATTATTATAAAATAATAGAACTAGTTGAAAAACATATATACTTACATTATATATTTTATTTATCACTCAAATTTATTCTAAAACTAATTGTAAGTAAAGTATATTGTATCGTGATTAATATTATTTTATTGAGATGTTTCTAAATATTGTTTTTTTTTTTTTTTATGTCAAAAATTATTATAATAATAATATTATTATTATTATTATTATAGTCTGCCGTTGTTGTTCCACTGATCGTTTTGTATTATTATAATGCGTTATATTTTATAACAGAACAGAACAACAGAACAGATTGTAAAATAATATTATAGAAGAACTAAATTTTTTTAATTCGATCTTAGTTTTCCAAAATCAAATTATTTTATGTAGTTAGGTTATGGTATAGTTCAACAAATTAAATATGTAAAGTTTAAATATATTTGACTGTGCTTAGTTTATTTTTCTATTAAATATTATTATTGTCGCGTCATAAAATGTATAGGCGATAACGATTCCATTGTAAATTTTAATATGCTAAAATTAACATTCCAACGTTTCTAAAAAAAATTTGAAAATCCAAAAAAAAAAAAAAAAAGAAATAAGAACGAAATATCGAGTACACGTGTAGTTGTATAATTTTTTAACTGTTAGTAATTTTATCGATTTATACTTATATATATATATATAAAAAAAAAAAAAAAAATTATTTGTATTTTATATCTTTTTTTTCTTTTTTATAATATTATATTTATTTTATTTACTTAGGAGAGTAGTTTTAATAAAAGTCGTTTATATTCTAGAGCTTGGCACTAACTTGTATGAAAACGTAAAAGGCAACGAGACTGTAGAAGAAGCTCTGAGATATTATAAAAATATTATATTATATTGCATGCTAAATTTTAAAATTATCGCATAAATTGTATATTCGTATGTATATCTACGCGTAAGTTAGCATGTGAAAGTTCCATTTATTTATATAACTAAACATTTTTTTTCTTTTATTATTATTATTATTATTATTTGTAAGTGAAATCAAACCAAACGTACTGATGATTGCATATACCTAATATTAATTACGGTTATTATAAAATGGTTAATAGTTTACATATTAAATAAAAAAAAAAAAACGATTTCTATTAGAAATGTGGGTTGTTTTTTTTTTTTTTTTTTGTATTCCTTTCTATGAATATATGTAAAACCGATTGTGACTATCATTAGTAGTATCGCGCGGACACGCGTCTTAAACAATACTATATTCCCATCCGAAAATCAAAAAATATTGTCCTTCTTATATTGTAGTCGTTTTTATTAAGCCGATGTTTATTCACTTCGAGCCCTCCTGCTGAAGACTCTGTCGCGATAGGATTTACCGTCTCTGTCTTTCTAACGAGCAACACGGCCAACACACACGATTGTGTCCACATAAACCAACGGAAAGACATTTAATCAATGTTTAGACATTTAAATACCAGTTATTACCATTTTGTGAAATGTGAGTTTTTTGTAAAAAAAAAAAAAAAATGAATGTTATTTTTAAACTGTTGCGAAGTTTGGAAGATATGATGCATTAGATTATTTGATTTTTATCCGTAAGCAACGATAAAGCATTGCTATTGAAAAACCATTCCGACCGAAGTTCGATTATACATGTTTTGAAAGACCGTGATACTTAGGATTTTCGTCAACATTCAGTATTAAAATTCTTATAAAAAAAATTTTATATTACACTCAATTTTTATTTTTACCATAATGTACAACTTCTAATAAACTTCCTTTTTAATTTCCAAGCATTTCTGTTTGGTTTAACAATTTTAACTACAGAGTATCTATTAAATAAAAATGATGTAAAAAACTCTCAAAATTAAATTGTTTAGTAATAGCTCAAAATAACTCAAATGTTTCGAAAATGTCATCATGTCTAATAAAATAAAATATACGTCTTGTGTCAAAATTTCAATTCTCTTTGAATATGTTCATCTAAATCCATCAAAAAAACAAAATTGAAAATAATGAAATTATTTTCAGTAAATGTTCCCATTCTTACTATGTTTTTTCTAAACCACTATAAAAACACCTTAGAAAATCGAAAAACAACTCTGACTCACCAACTACATTAAAAATACAATAATAAAAAAGATCTTCTGTTTTTATTCTATCGGTGCAATATTTTTGGTAGAAAACATAAGCTATACAAGTTTAAAATAAAGGAATCTTGATGCCGTAAATTTATCTGTTTTCATAATTCGTCTTTGTTTGGTTTTTTACAATTACTATAAAAACTACTTAAAAAAAAAAAGAAATGACCTTACAGTACCAACTAGATAAAGTTTCCTTTCAGAAAAGATAATTCACTTGATAAATAGGAGCAAGATTTTTTGTAAACATTTTATAAGTGTTAAAAAAATTAAAAAATAAACATTTTTGTAAAACCAATACATTACTCCCTATGCTCTAAATCAAAAACATTGCGAAACCTTCCATAATTAGTAAAATGATATTTAGAAGATTAAAAAACCGTTGACGTTGTTGTCTTTATAATGTTTTTTACTACAAAGTTTAATCACCAAGACAAATTTTAATATTTTACAAAAACAGAGTTGAAAAATATAAAAATAAAACCTTTAAAATATCATACAAGTTGTATACATAGTAAAAATTTGTAAAACAATTGTGAAATTCACATGATTCAATTTTCTTTTTTTTTAAGTTTTCAATAGCTCAGTGAAATTAATACAAATTTATTTAAGTCCTTCCAAGGATGATAAAAAAAAAAACAATCTATGTAATTTTATTACTTACAAATTATAGCTAAAACTAAAATGATTATTCCGGTATTATTAGAACACAGGACAAAGATAATGTAAAATGTTTTCATCGATCCATTGACGGTTTCAATAGTTCAAATTTTAAACTGTTGGAATTCATAAATGGTAAATTCACTTTTAGTGTTATGTATAAGTATCAACATTTTTAGAAAATAAAAACTCTTGTGAAAATTTAAAAACCAAACGTTAATAATGTGTGTTTAAGTCTTACAGTATAAGAGTGACTCAAATATTTTAACAATTTCACTGCTTCTAGGAAATTTTAATGCACGTATTTTTTATCAATGTTTCAAACCTACGAATATTTTTCCACTGACTTAAGATAAAACGAAATTGCAAATAATAAAAACATTATTTTCGTAAATTATAAGGTTCTTTTTACGTTTTAGATTCTTAGTGGAACAAAGAAGCTTACGGTTTTACAAAGATGTTCTTTATTTTTTTTTTTTTCATTTTTTCCTACCAGAAGACTTGCTCAGATTTTTAGTTATAGTACCTTTTTTGAAAGGAAATTTGCGTGGGAAGGTACTTTATGGGGAGGTCATTTTTCGATTTTCTCAAGATTTATCCCTCTCGAAATTTTTTAAAAACCGAAAATAAGAGAAATATATTATTAAAGTATTCAACCGGGAAAAACGTCGGAAACTGGGAAAATCAGTACAACATTAAAAAATTATTATTAAAGAAAATATATAATTACATAATTGTTTTACCATAACATGACATGTATATTGTTGATAAAGCATAATCACTATCGAATGAACTCCGCTTAGAATCGTTTTTTCGTTAGATGGATTATCGTTGCTTACAGGCATACCTACTTAAAATACCTATATAAGTGGCCGCACCCGTCCCCATTATCTTAGGATGTATTTTTTTTCTTTTTTGCTTAATAATAATAAAAAAAAAAAAACTATAGGGAAAATTAAAAACCGATGTTTGGATAATTTAAAACATATGACCTTTCTGTAGATTATATGTTAGAAAACCTATAATCTTTTAAACCGGCAATCTTTCGTACACTTGACGTTCAAACACAATATTACACGCTACCCAAAACAACAGCTAAAGTATCACGTTCACGTACCAAAGTTTATTGTCCGTCTGGTTTGCACGTTAGTTTTCCTTTGTTTCTTCGTCACCATTGTAATTTATAGTGGCTAGTAACAACGGTAGTGGACACAACGGGAGGGTGCGTGGGTATCAGGACGATCGCCCCTCCCCCCCTCTTAGGCCGATTTTTTTATACTTAATTATTATATTTTACAATTTTTTGTATAATATTCAATTTTAATTTTAAATAAAATCCATTCTCCCCACCGCTCTTGAACAACCCCTGGATCCGCCACACGAGTATCAATCGTAACAACGATTCGCGCTAAATCGATTAATCGACCGCGATTAAAAACAGCCTTGGACATCCCTGCTCGGTTGCTTACTGAGAGTGTTTTTCCCTCCAATCTACACCGTATACTTCTAAGTTTCTGTACTCTACAGTTTTTGACTCCCGGACTTCAAAAATCTTTTTCCGCCATATCCCGGCGGTTTTCTGCGTAGGGATTTCCGTTCCGTTGAAGCCCGAAACGCGCCGGGTTATCGTTCTGTACGATCACGATATTGTTCATTAGGCACCCATCAAAAACGTATCGACCGCGTATGAGAAAATCAAAATTGTGTACATAAACGGAATGCCCACAGTTTGCCATAGCGTACGGATGAAAATAAATCAGTAACACTAAATTATCGGTGTCGCCCGGCGCGGCAACCCGTATAACAGACGTCTATACAAAGGTCGGCCAATGCTAATTATTTCCGAGTACTATTGACGGTTATCACGGGCTCCGCCGTATTACGAGCAAAGGTAAACCCGTAGCTAGGCAGTTTGTAAAAAACGTCGGCGTACACATTGCGAGGGCTCGCCGACGAAGAAACAATGCCGTAGACGGGTGGCTACACAGAAACACAAATAATAATTATTATTACTGTTGAAAGGAGACGTTATTGTTTTCGAAAATGTCAGTTGGATATCGGTAACGACGCGCGTATACCTAGTGTACTAGTTATAATCACTCGATCAGGTATGAAATATAACGGTACAAAGATTCCGCTTCTTGGCTATTATTTACACGGTCTAGTGGACAATACCGTACGTGTACGGGTACACATATTCTTATATGTATAACACACGTAGATGTTATTTTTTTTCGAATCGACTCGATAAACCATATTGCTATCGTGCATTTGAGCGACCCGGTAGCGTACGGCGTACTAGAAAAGCCAACCGGAATGATATGGACCCGAGTCCGGCGCGCAGCTGCGCGATTCGAGGTGGTACGGAAATTTCAGTCCCATCCCTCTACACCTGCAATTCGGGATTTTTCTCTACAGATTCTGCGTGACAGGCACCTGCAGTTGTAAAATCCGTATTACGACCACGGACATTTCCCATAGTGATTTCGAACACGTGCGTTACCTGTAACGCCGTGCGCGTCGTCTGTTTAGCGATCGATTGTCCCGAAAACACGTCCAAAAACTCGTTCGAAATCGATACGCGAAAACGCGAAATCTCGAGGTCGTCGGTGAACTTTTTTTCCAGATTTTTTTTATTTATTCATTTTTCGCCTAGTTCCCGGAGCCGTTTCAATAGCATCGCTCGAGTTTAACATTTCCCAACAGGTACGATATATATATATTAATATTGTAAAAATCGAATTTGAAAATAGTATTGATAATTTTCCAAAGTGAATACAGAGTAAGCGTATTTTTATATTTGCAAATTATCTGTGGACTGATACGTCAAAAGCGTACTGTGGTTTGCATTACAAATTATAAACATGCACACGTTTCGCTGGTTCGCTATAAACTAAACACCGCCCCTCGTTGGAGAACTGAATTTAATATAAATAATTTTATTTATAACACATTACACTGATAAACCGTTTATGTTCAGCTTTCCATCGTCAGTGGCGTATTTTCGAGTTTTTCTGAATGTCCGTATGGTAGTATACTAGCCATCTCGCGCCCGGCGTTGCCCGTGCCAATTTTTATTGTTATTATTTTACTCTTATTCACTTTTGGTTTTGGCCGCGGTGCGGACTGAATGTGTTCTATTGTGAATTTTTAAACAGTGTAAATAATAGTGATAATAGTAATTACAGCGGTTTCATTTTGCCTAACGCCAAGGTAACCCTTGAACAAGCAAAAATGAATGGATAAGCAATCGGATATTGCGTACCGAACATACTTAAACACACCTATTTCACGCCCGTAAGGGTTGAGTTTTCAATAATCCACTGCTATT